GGGGCACGCGCGTGTCCGAGTGTGCGCGTGCGCCGGGCGCGGATGGAGCCCGGTTGGCTCCAGAAAGCATTGTGCGCGCGCCCGGGAGAGAGGCCACGTGTGTTCATGCCTGGGTATGCCATGGGGAATACGGGGGCAAGTGTGTGCATGCCTGGGTGTGCCGTGGTGAATAGACAGGAGGACCCGAACTTAGGCGCAGAGTATGGGATTGAAACTTCTCTCCAAATGCAAGATTCTGGGCATTCAGCGTTGCTTATGCAGGTTGATAACTATCTGATAAAGACTTCTGCTCAAAAGTCACCATGCCACGTGTGTGCATGCCTGGGTGTGCCATGAGAAGCAGAGCAGCCACGTGTGTATGGCTGTATGTGCACTGAAGAGAAGGGCCTGCTGAATGCATATAGGCACCTCAGTGTGTACACGTGAGAGGTTGGCTACATGCGGTGTGCACGTGCCTGGAGAAGTGGTGTGTACATGTAGGTGTCTTTGACAGAGGAATGAGGAGTGCTTACACAGGAGAAAAGGGACCAAGTAGATGTGTGGGCACAGCGGGGGCTGTGTGCACAAGGCAGAAGAACGGAGGCCAGGTGCGGGTGTATTTTTGAGTGCCTGTATGTATACCATGGGGTGGAGACCAGGTGGTGTGGGCAGACAAGTATGTACTGGGCATTGAGGAAAAAAAAAGGGACCTCTACCCGCTGCTCTGCCATCAGCCTTCACTCACGCAGCCTGTGGGGAATTCCCAGCAATTCCCAAGTCCTGAGCACAGGGTAGCAGGGGAAAAAGGAGGCAGAGGGGCTGCTTTTCCACAGGCAAAGGCAGTTTTGTTGCAGGTGGGCCTGGTGGGTGTGGAGCCATGGAGACAATGCCTACTTCAGCCACCACCACAGTGAAGGACAGCTGGGCCTCTGCATCAGGGCAGAGGTCAAGGCAGCACTTCGCACCAGCATGACTAAGGTCAGCCCAAGACTGGGGATGGGGGCTGAGTACGTGACCTCTTGCAGGACACCACTCTTAAACAGCTTCACAGTTAAACCACTGTGGTACTGACTGCCCACTCCTGCCTACCCAGGGAAGCTGCGCCCCTTCTTAGGCTGCCAACAATTTAATGAGCATTGGCTTCTTTGAAAATAAGCAGAAGCAGCACTCCATGCGCCGGTACTTGGGGAAATTTGATGAAGAGACCAGGATTGGAGCTGACCTGTGAAGGTCCTCTGCAGTGGGTTCTGCTCGCCCATGTGGGGTCCCCTTTATTTCCAAACCTACCTGTTGTCTTGCTCTTCAGAGGGCCTTAAATTCCCATATCTGTTCCTTTTCTAACATAGGAATTCCTTATTCTTGGCCAAATTTAAATACCCCACCCCAGGTGACAGCATAAGTCCCTGTCCAGCCACCTGAGCAGCAAGCTTCTCCTGGAGACCTGGAGCCCAGAGGCAGGAGGACCCGAACTTAGGAGCAGAGTATGGGATTCTCTCCCATACTTAGGAGCAGAGTATGGCATTCTCTCCAAATGCAAGATTCTGGGCATTCGGCATTGCTTATGCAGGTTGATAACTAATAAGACTTCTGCTCAAAAGTCACCATCAGCTGGAGTCAGTGCCACAGCAGTTTCCTTGAGGCTTCAGTTTACTTGGGAAAAGGCAAAATAACACTCCTCCTGGCCTCTCTGAGGTCTCCTACCCCACAGAAAGCCTACTTCTGTATCAACAACGTTAACAAGGTTCTCAAATTTCCAGATGAGAACTCATGTATTTTGATGGCACTGCTGAAATACAGTCTCCTGAGTAAGCCCGTTACTCAAGGTTCCCTACATCTCAAACACCCACAGCGTCCCTGGTCCCTGGAGCTGGGCTGTTGGGGAAACACGACTCAAGCATTCATTTAGATATTGATGGGCACGTTCCATTGGTTGGGGAGAGCTGTCCTGTCTCACACACTTGGGTGCCAAGTTGTTCCAGGGTCTCTGGTGCTGCATGGAGGTGGGCAGAGCCATGTTTAATTTATTAGAGGAAGGTGACCAGTCCTTCCCAGGACAAGACATCCCCTAAGGTCTCACCATGACTGGGTCTAGTCTGTGGTATCAGACACAATGACACAAATTCTCCCTTTTCGTTTCTTCAATGTCACTGGTACTTCCTCCTGCCATTTCTTAGTTTCCTCTTATTGAGTTACCAAGTTTCCCCTTGTATTTATCAAGTTTTTAAAAGTAAATAATATACCAAAAAAACATTTTATACTATGATCTGAGTAAATTGCATGACAGATGAACTTTTCTCATTAAGACCTCTCTTAAAGCATAATTAGGGAAGATTTTACATGTTCCTCATATTAGGCAAGAAGAAATTATTTTGCTAGGTATGATAAGGGTATTGTATGAGATTGACCATACTCTTAGAAGCCCAAGGACAGGGATAAAAATAAATTTCATGTTTATGTTATGTTAAAAAGCTATGTACTATATAATTCTATTCATATCATTACAAAAAAAAAGCCAAATTGAAGAGACAGAGAACTGAATAGCAGTGCCTCAGCTGGGCTGGTTACAACGGATAGGAGGGAATGTGTGCGACAGAAAAGGTGACAAAGTATTAACCTTGCCTGATGACAGGTTTGTTTTAGCCCTCAGCTCCTAGAAAAAGACAGGTTTGATTGTTTTAGCCCTTAGCTCCTAAAAGGCAACCAGAGAGACCATGAATTTCTTGCCTGATCGGTGTCTGTTTTCTGGGGGGAACCTAGACATGCTAGATGGTCTATGATAATAACATTAATAGCAAATTATTGAGCTTGAGGGTAGTCATGGAAACTTGAACTTGGTGTCAGAAACGAGGTTGGTCTTTAGTATCCCCAAATTTATAGCTGGTATTATTAGTGACTGGTCCTGGGGAGCTCTGCACTTGTAGTATCAGAAATAAGGTGGTTGTTGAGACTCCAATACAGCAAAACTGCTTTGTTATCTTATTGTGGCTGCAACCTAAATATAAAAGTGTCATTGAATTGTGTATGCCAAATCAGGGATATTCACTGTATGTAAACTAAAAACCAAATTTCAAAATTAAAAATATTTAACATTGTACAAAATAAAAAGCATGGTGATTAAATTGGGTAGTATCACAATATGAGCAATTTACTTTTAAATGGCTCAAATAATATGCATCTTGTGTATATGCTTTCAGATAATAAACACCAAGTGTGTAAATACAGCAAAATGATAACACTTGCTTAATATGTGTATATTTTACTATTTGTTCAACTTCTCTACATTTTGAAATTTTCAAAATAATTGAGAGAAAAATTTCATCTTTTCAACAGTAATTAGGCAGTCCTAAGCAATGCAATAAGACAAGAAAAAATAAAAAGACATAAATATTGAATAGGAAAATGTACAATTGTATTTATGCTCAAACAATGATTGCTACAGTTAATCAGTAAATTCATCAGATTCTCTGGATACAAGATCACTGCAGGCCAGATGTGGTAGTGCACACCTGTAATCCCAGCACCGTGGGAGGCTGAGGCAGGAGGATTACAAATTTGAGCCCAGTCTGGGCAATTTAACAATTTGACAATTGTCTCAAAAAAAAAAAATATGTCGAGTTTGATCCCCGGTACCAAAAAATAAAAAAATCAGCAGTGGCTCAATAGTAGAACGTTTACCTAGCGTGCAAGAGGCCTGGGGTTGGATCCCTAGTGTGACACACAAAAAATCAGTACAAGCTAAATCACTTAGATTTCTAGTTCTATACCAATAAGCTATAGGGAAAGTGTTTTTAAAGTATTACTTATAATGGCATGAAAAATCAACTAATCAGAAATTAATTTAGATTTTCAAAAGTTACAAAGGAAAACATAAAACATTGCTATATAATAGAGCAAAAATAAAGAGATTACCATATTCATGGATTGAGATTCAATGTGGCAAAGATGGCCTTCACCACAAACCTACATGTTCAATGTAATCCCAATCAAAATCTCAGAAACATTTGTAAAAATTGACAGCTTTTTAAAAAACTGACATGGTTTTTTTGTTTGTTTCATTTTGCAGTCCTAGAGAATGAACCTGGAGCCCAGACAAACACTTTACTACGGAACCACACTGCCATCCCCTGCACTGTATTTTTAGAGCAGTTTTAGACTCACAGCAAAACTGAACAGAATACGTGGTTCCCATATGGCCTCTGTGCTCCCTGACCAATCACAGCCCTCCAGCATCACATGTTAGAGTGGCATGTGTGTTAAGATCAGTGACCCAATTAGCACATCACTGCCGCCCAGAGGTCACAGCTTACCCTGGGACTTAGCTGGTACTGTCCTCTGTGGGTTTGGACACAGCCACCCCTATGACATCACACAGTAATTTCACTAAACTGTCCACTGGCCTAAATTCCCTCTGGCCTGTCAGTTCTTCTCCCCACCTCCTGGAAACCACCAGCCACCCTACTGCCTCCATAATTTTTATTTTACCAGGATGTTATTGTTGGAATCATGTGGTATGAAGGCTTTTCAGATTGACTTCTGGTTAGCATAGGTATTTAAAGTTCCTTAATGTTTTTTCATTGCTTGACTGCTCATTCCATTTTCAGTGCAGAATAATATTCCATTTCCTAGATCCACCAGTTTATGCATTCCCCTGCTGAAAGACACTTTGGTATTTCCAAGTTTCAACAATAATCAGTAAAGCTGCTATAAATGCCATGTGCAAGTTTTTGTGTGGACATGCGTTTTCAATCATCTGGGTAAACACCAACAAGCACAGTTGCTGGATGATATGGTGAAAGTCTGTACAGGTCTGTCAGAAACTCTGCACCTCTTCCACAGTGGCCATGCCACCTTGCACTCCCACCGCAGCGAGTGTGAGTTCCTATTCTCGGCACACTCGCCCCTCGAGCCCGAGAGGCGTCCTATACCTGCCAATACCCGGGACACAGTGGTGCTTGGAAACTTAGGGGTCACTCAGCTCCTGTGTCCTCCAAAGATGTCAAGTTCTTTTGGGATTTAGTCCAAGTATATTGGCTGTGTCAGGGAAAACAGGGCAAATAAGCACCACTGGCACGAAGAGGAAATGGTACCAGATGTCACCTTAGAATTCTCCACCATGATTAGCAATATGAATGCATGAACACATCTTAGACCCAATAATTAAGTCAAATATGCCCTTAAGATATTGGAAATGGAAATGACTGCCCACCAAAATAGGCAGTAATGCTACTGTGTCTCCTGATGCTGGAGCCCAAAGCCAGAGTGACTCAGGCCAGGAGCTCAACACGAGCTGGTCATTTGCGTGACTGCAACTGAATTATTTCACCCCTTCCGTCACTCTGCTTTCAGTGTGGCTACCATCTTCTGAACCCATAGTTTTCCCTTTATGTCTGATCTCTCGCTCTTTAACATCTGCCTAAGGCCCACTTGGCAGGTATGGAGGAAGATGGCCACACCCAGCACACCTCAAAGCCAGCCATACTGATGAGGGAGCCCCACTCTGGGGCCGACATTGCTCAGCTGCACTGTCCCGTGCACGCTGTCCTGCTTTACTGGACATACCCACAGTGCCCCTCCAGTAAGTGATTCCTCCTCTGTAAACTGGTGTCCCCACAGGGGCCCTTGCTGACTAGGCCCTGGCACCCGCCAGCCAGCATGCGGGCATCCATCGAACACCACGGCTTGGCTTGTGGCTCAGCTTCCACCCCACTGGGCCAGGATGTTGCTCTTGTCTTTGCCTGTCTCCTCCACACCCACATGTGCAGTACCAGTGCAGGCTGTGTCCCAAGTCCCTGCCCCTACAGGGACACAGGCTCCTCTGTGAGGTGTCAAAGTCCTGATCAGCAGGCCCCAGAGACACAGTGGGAAGTTGGCCACAGAATCGCCTCCTTCCTGTCCACACAAATCTGCCTCCTCTTCACCTTCTGAGCAGCGTCTCCAGCGCTCCTAAAGGCTTCAGCGTTTATGAAATGAACCTCAGGAAAACTGGCAAGTCAGCTCTGTATCCTGAGCAACCCAGCTCCCACCCCAAGACATGCAGCACGAGGCTCCTAACACATCTGCACAGCATGTGGGGTACAGGCAGATGCTTGCCCAGGAAGCCCACAAATTACTGTCCTTCCCTGCTGGCACATACCTGCCCAGGTGACACTGGCTTGGGAAACAAGTCTGAGCCCATATCAGGGCTGACTATAGCAAGACTGCCCCTTCCAAACCTCTTACTTTGAAATCCTCACACCATTCACTTGGACAACAGCAAAACTGGCCTCTGAGTTACTTCTTTTCTCTGGACCCCAGGCACTGGGCCTACCCATTCCTGGTCTTGCTCCTGGTCAAGTTTAGCTCACACAGTGTAGAATACAGCCATTAGCTCTAAGAATTAGAGATCCTGGATACATGGCCTCTCGCTGGCCCAAGTCCTATTCTTCTAGACACTACCCACCCCCACTGGGATTACACCCACCCATGACACAAGGTGGCCCCTTGCACATGCTTCTTACTGCTGCACATGGCCCAGCAGGAGCAGAAGGGGTAGGAAGGCATCTTGGTGTGAACCTCCTGTCCTTCTCCACATAATGCCCCACCAGCCTGTCCTGGCCTTCCTGCTGTATGGACCTGCGAATCCTCACCTCTCTCACAACCTGTCCTGCCTGTGTTGAGAGAGAGGGCTTGGGAGTCAGGGTCGTGATTTGGTGCTACTCAGGGCAACAGGCAGAAAGGTCACAGGAGCAGAAATATAAAAGGAAGAACCCTAATATGTGAGAACAGATAGCAGACTGAATATTGAGACCAGCAAGGAGGTCACACAGCACATGCCTGGCACTCACAAGGCTGTGAATTTGGATCCCAGCATTGATAAGAATAATTAGCAAAAGTAACCAGGCGTACAGGGTGCGAAGTCCTCACCAGACTTGAGGCTGATCCTGAAAGTGCTCTGAACCTGCCTCTCCTAAGACCCCAGTAGCAGCACCCTTGCCCAGCCTGCCTTCGAGGTCCAGCTCAAGGGTCTAATTCTGTGAGGTGGCTGGTTCTGGTGGACCAGGTCCAGGGCTTGTTCTGTGAGTTAGCTGGTGCTGGTTCAGGAGATCCCTACAGGCTCTCACTCAAGTTCCCAGGTCTGCCTGCTGACTGAATCCTTGTCAACAGAAGACTTCTAAGCTGCTTCTCAAGTGGCTGTCAGAGTGGCACTGAGTCATATCTTGGGGAAACAATGTTATCCTTCCTCCCTCATCAAGTAGGTTTTTTTTGGGGGGGGGCGGGTATTGGGGTTTGAACTCGGGGCCTCGTGCTTGCGAGGCAGGCCACCAAACCACTGAGCTAAATCCCCGGCTCTCATCAAGTAGGTTTTAATCAGTTCCACAAAACCATGGAGTCCTGGCAGCCACAGTGCTGAACACAGGAAGGAAACTAGCCCAGAGGCCCAGGCGGATGGAGGCAGGGCACCCAACCATGTGCAGGAAAAAAGGTGCCAGTGGCTTGGTGTCCTTTAGACATAAGACCAACATCATTTTCAAAATAAATACGTTTGTATCCTTTCTCCATGACTGTGCTTCAGACCAGATGTAACAAACTTCAACTCACTTCAAAGTGGTTTATAGTATTGCAGTTCATGATTTATATTCACAATATGCAATAAGAGCTAACATTAAAGTACCTGCTCTGCAGCAAATGCTTTTGTGTCCCTAACGTCACAAGCCCTTCCCTGAGCAGCCGTGCTGGAGTGGGCTCGCTGGAATTGAAGTCATGGGCTTGCCCTCGGGTGTATCCATGCTGCCAGAAAGGGCTGTAGGAGAGGGGCCTTGCCCCACTGCTCTTCTCCACGTGAGGGCACAGGACAGTTTCAAGGTGCCATCCTAGAAGCAGAGATGGAGCCCTTCCTGCCCCTGCCGTCACACCTTAATGTTGGAGTGCCTGGCCTCCAGAACTGTGAAAAATGAATTCTTGTTCTTTAGAGATTTCCCAGCTCTGGTCTTCTGTGATAGTATGGTAGCACAAAACAGATGAAGACAGTGGCCTTAGGGAAATACTTGAGAGGGTCAGACCTTCAACTCTGGGCAGCTGATAAGGGAAGCTTTCACATAGCACTGCATTAATTTGGTCTTGTGGAAAACAGTATGTGTAGCAGACATCCCTACCCAAGATTAGTGGGCATGAGCAGCACCTGCTTCTTGCCTTCCATAATTCGGCTGTATTGTTTTACATCAGGAAGTCAGACCAAAGCTCCACATGACTCAAATGGGCATGTCAGAAGATGGCCTGGGTGGGCACAGCCCCTCCCTCGATGGCTGCCACAGAAACCTAGGCCCTGCTCTGTGAAGTGGCAGGGCTCTGCTGAGTTATGCACAGCTGTCAGTGTGACCCCAACTAAAACCCTTTCCCCCGAATCATGGCTTCTCACTGACCCAAAGGATTGCCTGCTAATTGTACCCAGTCCCAGTACCAGTCTGTTTTATCCAAGTAAGATAAGCAGTGCCAACTCCCTAACAGCCTTGCCTGGTGCCATCACACCAGTTGTTCAGCAGTATTTCACTAGATCCCTTCTAAGCACACCCTGCTCCCTATTCCTTCCCATGCTCATGAATTCAATAAATCCTGGATACACTTGGGGGCCTTTGTCTTTGTTGCCATCCACAGTGCTAATCAGGACTTAAGACTCAGGTTCTCCACTCTAAGTGTTGTTTCCTGTTTGTTCGTTTTTGGGTTTTTTTTTTTTGTTTTTTGTTTTTGTTTTTTGAGACAGAGTCTCACTATATAGTTGAGATTGATCTAGAACTCACTATGCAGCCCAGGCTGGTCTCGAACTCACAGCGATCCTCCTGCCTCAGCCACACGAGTGCTGGGATTATAGGCGTGTGCCACCACGCCTGGCTTCCTGTTTGTTCTTTAATTCTCCTTGTGCTGTGGCTCACAAGCCAGGACCCACAACAGAGGTCTTGGTAACATCCCCTTCCCAGTTCCCCATAAGTATGGTGATATATGAATCATCTGATTTATAATTGGCTGAAATTTTGCAGATTTGCTTCATACAAAAATCTAATCAAAAAAGACTCTCAACAAATTATAGTTATTTATACCCTTATCATAAATGGTCTTTATTAAATAATGACCATACCCTTATGATTCAAAATCAAATATTTTATGAGTGATATACTCCAAATTAACATAAGAATTTCTTTAAAATAGTTATGAGGCAAATAGATACCACACGAGTGCTGGGATTATAGGCGTGTGCCACCACGCCTGGCTTCCTGTTTGTTCTTTAATTCTCCTTGTGCTGTGGCTCACAAGCCAGGACCCACAACAGAGGTCTTGGTAACATCCCCTTCCCAGTTCCCCATAAGTATGGTGATATATGAATCATCTGATTTATAATTGGCTGAAATTTTGCAGATTTGCTTCATACAAAAATCTAATCAAAAAAGACTCTCAACAAATTATAGTTATTTATACCCTTATCATAAATGGTCTTTATTAAATAATGACCATACCCTTATGATTCAAAATCAAATATTTTATGAGTGATATACTCCAAATTAACATAAGAATTTCTTTAAAATAGTTATGAGGCAAATAGATATCTATAAGATATTCATCTCAACTAGAAAACATACTTTAAGTATCTAAGGTAAACTTCCAAACTCATTGCCAGAATTAAAATCTCATATCATAGATATGTTTACTAACAAACATTTGATCTACAGACTTTAATTCTAAAGTTGAACAATAAATTAAAAAAGCTAACTTTTCTTTACCAAAAATCATGAACTGATGAATTAACAATAAAGAATTAAAAATAATTTCAGAAAAAAAGGCACATACAGGCAAACAGTCCGGGCGATTCATAAAATGCAGTATTACGACTCTACCGTGCATAATCAACTGACTGCAAATAAATTACTCTGGAAAATTCTAAAACAAGAGAAATATTCTGTAAAAGCTGGCAAACAATATGACATCGCCTCCTTGCTAGTGTCACTCTGTCTCCATGTGCGAGGCTCACAGGATTGTGATGACAAGACACTTGCAGAGGGCTTCCTCCCAAGAGTCACCACCCTCTGCGCTGTCAGAGACTGGGCCGGCGCTCTGGTCTCGGCATACATTTTGTTATTGCAGCTCTCCATAGCACTGGGGCAAGCAGGAGACTAAGGGTGGTCACACTCAGAATGAGGAGGTAGACCTGCAAACAGGAACACGGCGGTGAGTAGCAGGGGCACACCCCACACAGGAGAGACCAAGCATCAGGGGCAGAACAGGTGGAGCGTGGTCACGCTGAGGACTGAGCCTAGGGCTTTCATACTGAACAACATCCTCAGCCCTTTTTTTATTTTTTATTCTCAGACAGGGTCTTGCTAAGTCACCAAGTTGCCAGGCTGGGCTGAAATTCGTGATTTTCCAGCCTTGGTCCCCAGAGTACCGAGATTAGAGGAGTGTGCCGCCGCATCCTGCCTTCACTCATCCTTTCAGAGCACACAAAAGTACAAGGTAGGTGAGGGGACAATGAGATCAGGCCAGACCTGATGAACCTGAGGTGCTTCCTGAGGATGAACCCTGGGGGCTCACTGTACACAGACTGTGGCCACAGGGTCCGGCTTCAGCTCTGCATGCTCCACAGTGCTGCACGGTGGGTCAATGGCCACTCTGCACACAGCCTGCATCTGAGGGTTAGCTTTCTTAGATGTCAGTAATGTGCATGCTAGCAGGTGAGATTTCCTCTTTTCATACGAAATACCAGTGACTTAATTATAACTGTCACAAAAGAGAACAGTATGGGTTCAGGCAGTATTCACAGCTTTCATTTGGAAAGTTCTATGTGAACAGCCAAGCCCACTCACGAACCCCCCTCAACACGCGCTTTGGAGCCAGCCCAGCCTGGTACCCACAGGCACCTCCGAGGCTGCTGGAGTGAGGAGCACCCAGCCCTGGCCAGGGATGCCCAGGCGGAAGCAGCAAGGCTGCCGCACTCACCTCCCGAGAGATGATGCCCGCTCTCCGTGCCCGGCTCCCCAGAACGAAGGAGAACTCGCTGACCTGGGCCAGCCCGGCGGAGACAATCCACTTGATGTACTGGCTGCTCTTGGGCAGGATGAGAGACAAGACGAGCACTGCCAAGACAAACTACAAGAGCAGTTAGTTTATCACACTGCTGCCCGAGACCCAGGCCCCAGCAAACCAAGCAGGCAGCACAGAGAAACACTCGAAGTCAACCGCTATAAACTAGATGTGACAGCACCGTCATGCACACACTAACGGGGACTGAGCTGCTCCTGATCAGAGGACAGACACCTGGAAGGCGTCATCAGGTCCCAGTGCTCACCATGGTGCTCGCCTGTCATGGGGGAGCTCTAGTGCCGCCCCCCACAGCTCCATTCAGGGAAGGGCTTCAGAGAGGTGCTCCCCACTCCAAACCCCTCCTGCCGAGCACCTGACACCTGGCCACACACCCTGGCAAGACCTGCCTTGCAGGACCCACAGGGCAGCCAGAGGGAGGCCTGTTTTGCTAGGGTTGTGTGCCCAGGGGGCCAGCACAACTACACCCTCTGACGGGCCCTTTGGAGATACATGGCACCTAAGGCTTCACAGGCTGGGGTCAGAGTCAGGGCTCAGCATGGGGAGCTCTCAGCCATGCGAGGCCCAAAGCAGCAAGGGTTTACCCACTGGGACCACTAGAAATGCAGATACCTTCATGACCACCACTGCCAGTGTGAGGGTCACCAGCACAGTGAGCTCGTAGATCACGAAGGTAGGGAACACGTGCAGCCCTGGAACAGAACATCAGGTCACCTCGGCACAGGCTCCAGCAGCACACGCCACCCTCAGGGACAATCCCACAGCTCCAGGGCATGCCTGAAACCCTCTACAGTGTCAAGATCAAACAAAACCCTACAGAAGAGCCCTGCCCCTCCCAGCCACGGGTGAGAGGAGCAACCAGGTGCCACCTGCAGAGCAGCAGTGAGGCCCAGGGCAGCCCCAACTGCATTCCTCAGGAACAATGACAGCCACATGACCAGCTGGTCCTGCGCCACATGGCTCACGGGTTTGAGAAACCCAGGACCTCATCCACAGACACTTCCCTGCCCTCAGTTCCCCCCTGGCTACTTGAGTTAGTGTTATCGAGGGACAACAGGGACAGCAGTCCCGGGGAGGAGCTCCAGCCCCACCTTGGGCCTCCCCACCCTTGGAGGAAACTGGTACCAGAGACCTTCTTTCCACCCAAAGCACCTATCCCGGAGCTGTGGTGTGGTGCGCAGGAACACGCCTGCCAGCCATCTCACGAGCCACGTTGTACTCAGCACAGTCCATTCTCCTGAGACGTGCATATTCCTCCCCTCACACTGCCCAGGCTCTCAGTGATATGCCCACCTGGCCTGAGGCCCCGGCTGCCTCCAGTTCCTCTCCAGGCCATCCAGGGTGCCTTCCTCGGCCCCACCCTGTCAGCATGGGGAGCTCTCAGCTGTGCACCCTTCTCTGTGCACATCCTTGGAGACTGCTCCCCAAAATGGATTGTCAGCCAGATCCCGGGGACTCCCTGCTTCCCCTCACGGTGTCACCAGCCCTGCAAGACCACCCTGGTGCTCCCCAAGATGCTGTCCCTCCAGCTGCCACAGCCGCCCTCTGCAGACCTCTTCAGTGACTCTGCTGTCACAGCCCATCCGTACATCCATGCAGACATGCGAAGCTCAAGAGCAGAAGGGGCATGTGGTGATGTGCATCATGCCTACCAGCCAGGGCACCCAGGACCCTTCATCCATCGCATCCAGCCAGGTGGAATCCTCTCCCCACAAGGCAGATAGGGTCAGGGAGCTGAGGAAAAGCTCCTAGCACTTCCTGCTGCTTCTCTGCCTTCACCTGACTGTTCCCTCTCACAGGAGACCCGAGAGGGGAGGAGTCCCAGACTGTCTTTTCCCTGTTGCCTCGGACTCTTCAAGAGCCTTTCTTACTCCCTGACACCCTGCACTTTCTGCCTGACTTGCACACTCCTTGGCCCTCAGCTGGCCACTGACTGGCAGACTCTACTGACATGCCTGCTTCTGAGCCTGTGCACAGAGCTTGTCCCATACCCACCCTACAGCTGTGAACTCGTCATGGCTTCCTGTCTTTGTCCTGTCAACACACACCGGCCAAGGGAGGTGGCACCTCCTCTGAGAGGGCAGTGTTTGCCCCATAGCAATGCCAAAAGAGAGCAGAGACGAAGGGAGTGAACCTTAACTCACACAAGCCACTTTAGTAACTGCACATGTCACTGACAGCAGGGGCAATGAGCTATGTCCTAATTTTTTCTATTTATGGTCACTTATTCTCCTGACAAATACCAAACGACACTTGGTACAGTACAAGGTTACCAGAACTTGGCTCTGCCACTTCCTATTACCTGACAGTCTGTGTAGGCCTCAATTTCCTCCTCTGTAAATATGCAGTTGTAGAGGGGGTTTGGGGCCGTCCTTGTGCTCAAGCCAAGTCCTGTCAGATACACGACAACCAGCTTTCAGGCCCCACTCATTCTACCCTGACCCACAATGCCTGCTTCTGAAATGTCAATGCCCAGGGAGACAAAATCTGGGAAGGGATGGGATCCCCTTGAAGAAGTTGTGAGAGGAAGCACAAGCTCTTGGCCTGTTCAGCTTCTGTAGTGGCCCGGCTGTGGTGCGATATGGGCAGGCACCTGTCTACCGAGTCCTGGGTGGTCAACACTCCTTCCTCATGGGCCACGTCTCTGGTGGCCCTAAACCAACCCTGCCGTGGTGCTGTGCTCCCCTCACACTGCCTCATAGGCTAGAGCTCCCGTGAGAGTCACCAGGAGGTAACAGAGGTAAAACGAGGTCAGGAGTGGGGCCCAACTGGACAGGACAGTGGCCTGGCAAGACGAGGGAGAACGGGGGAGCCAGGCACAGCCTCACAGTAAACTTTCTGGCTAATACATGTTAGTGACATCCAAAAGCACACAGGGAAGAGGAAAGAACAAGACATGTTACTGCAGCAGCCTGGTTTGTAACGGTGGAGCCGACTGCCACAACCACAGCAGATACTGCTGATGGAGCATACATGGTTGGCTGGCCAGCCAGGCTGTGTTGGATAAAGCTCTTCGTATAGCCCTTAACTTGCCCTGGGGGCAAGACTCGGACTCCTCCTTGGCCCCGCCTCTGCACTGCACTCACTCCCCGGGAACCAGGGACAGGAGGACAAGAACACCAGGGCTCTCTCCTCAGGGCCTCCCCATGCTCAGCTCACTCCTTTGCACCAAGAACCCCTGGACCACTAAGCTGGCTGGTGAGATAGAAGGTGCCACTTCAGCTGCATTACAGCACTGGCACCAGCTCCAATAAAGTGCTTCTCCACACCTGGGGTGGACACACAGACTCCACGCATTTCCACACACACTTCGGAACCAGCTTTCATCACCACGCCTGCCTGGGACCATGGAGCATCTGTCCCCGTGCAAAGTGCTAGAGCCTTTGGGATAATCACATCTGTGTGGGACAGCTGGATGTGACCCAAAGCTCCAGGACACTCTCGGTCCCACAGTGGGCCCCTTGACAACACTGATGGCCATGAGGGCCCAAGTCTGCAGGGCAGGGAACCCTGGAGGTCACCAGATCATCTTAGCCTCGGAAGATGTGCATGCCCCCTACCTTCATGAGCAACCAATTAATTCATGTCCTTTTCTGCCTATTTTCCCTCTTTTTACATAAGATTTTTCCCAGACTCTAGAAAAGTACAGATTTACACACCGCCAGGTAACAGAACTAATCTGCAAGTTCTTTACAAATGCAATCATGACTGAAGAAGGAAGGTTACCTATAGATGCAAAGAAGATGATGGCCAGGAAGTCCCGGATGGGCTCGATGTAGGCCGTGATCTCCTCGGTGACCATGTGGCCTTGAGAGGAGACCAGCGCTCCAGCCAGAAAGCAGCCCAGCTCCATGGAGACATCCAACAGCTCTGTGACCTGGGGACAAGGAGAGACCAGAAGTCATACAGGCACGCAGTGTTGCTGAGCCCAGCCACCTCCAAGGGGAATAGTAGCACCAGCCTCCCAGGACCTGTGAGGAGACCTGCGGGGTTAATACTAGGAAGGAAAAATTTAAATATTTGAATTTATTGATGTAGGCTACAGTGGTATCTCTGAATAGGAATATTTTCCAAACTTTAAGCATTTGTGATACACTGTCTCTACCTGAACCAATTAATAGCCAGACTGGCACTAAAAACAGATTCCTGTCACGAACCTCAAGCCACACAGAGAAGGCAGATACAGCTACCACTCACAGGCAACCACCTGATAAAACCCAGGGAAAAGTGTCCAATAACCAGGGCGTAATGGATTTGAGGACATAAACGAGTGAGGCAGACTAGAGAGAATGGTCAGCCTGATGTACGAGGTCTTTTGCCTCTGGTCCTGGTAAACACAGAGCCCAGGTCAAGCATCTCCATGAGACGGTACTGACAAAACAACTCAAAAGAAGATGCTTTTTATTTTGAGAAACTAAATCTATAAACAATAACAGCACCAGACAACTATAAAATGAACTTCTAAAGGAATGCCACTTATAATAGCACCAGAAAGCATGGACCACTGAGGGGAAGATCCCACAGAAGCACGCAACCTCCAAACCCACACAAGTCATCACGAAGACGAGGAAGACCAAGCAGATCATGACAGCAGCCAGACCAGAAGGCCTCACCTCACCTTTAGCAGCTTGGCAGAGATGAGGAGTCCAACAAGATATTGTGTGGAAAACACATATGGAGTTTGGAAAAAAAACACAAATACAGCCAAGATAGACAATGACAGAGAATCATGACAGGGCCTCGTTGCTACCAGAGGTCAAGCAAGAGACAGCGTGAGAGCAGGTGAGATCAAGGGGCAGAGCAGAGAGAAATGCGGGCGTGCGCGCGCACACGCACACACACACACACACACACACACACACACCCATGCCACATACATACATGTACATGGGTCCTTGAGTGCACATCAACTACACACAGGCACAGTGCGCATAAGCACAGCTATGAGGATGTGGACAAGGATAATAGAGAGCATCTTTTACACACTGCAGGAATCTAGGCCACTTCCTTATTCTGCTGTGACCAGAACATCCTGGCAGGATGCCTCATTTCCAACATGAACATTTTCAAAAATCTTTCATACTATGGCAATAGAAGTTATACTGCTAACTAGCTCATCATCATCAAACAGAACTAAAATTTGATTTAAACTTTACCTACTATTTCAGGTGTGCAGTACTTTGAAAATTTAAGGCAGAGTAACAGGGTTTGACACTGATGTCAATGCAATATTCCTAAGTCACATTTTCATAAAGAGCTTAGACATGTAAGTGAAACAGATTTAGCTCTAGCACTGTAAAATACATATGAAATAGAAAGTATTAGCATTTCAAATATTTTAATCACTAGTAAAATGAAAAGATAAAGAACTCATTATAAACTTCTAGGGAGATTGTAAACAGGAGTACAAAGACAACACAGGTAATGTGAGAATTACCGTCAACATTAAAAAGATGAAAGCAGATATTCCCAAGATAAGGATTTCTTTGTTCCCTTTGCTTTCCAAATGCAGCTTTCGATAATATGGTCCTATGAGGTAAGTCTTTATAACAAGACATAAAAGGAAAACAGCAGCTAGTGAAAAAAGAATCTGACCAATCAGGAGCAAAATTTGCAGAACTTCCATGATAATGCTAGAAAAGAAAAAAGAAAGAGGCATTATTTCACTTCCAAAACTTTTTAAAAACTCTCCAAAAAGATCTTTCAATCCTTTTAAAAATGTTGCAGAATAAATTACCCAAGTCATACACATTTTTACTTTCAAATACTAAAATAAAATCTAAGAATTGTGTTAGTCACAGAACTTGAGTTATGTGAATTAAATGAGGACTGTTTTGAATAGATACTTTGGAGAAAATACACTTCCCAGGACATAAAGATTCTTGATGGACAGCTTTCCCATCCCAGCGGATGCTTGATGGCAAAATTCCTCACCGGGAATCAGCCCCAGTGTTCTAGGCAAGGCCACAGCTCACACCACAGCTACGTCACTGAGTGTCCCCTGAGCCACTGGGCAGCGCGGTAAGCATGCTCAGACGCAGATCACGGCTTACCTAAGAGCCAGACCCATGCTATGCTGCAGTGGACACACGTCTATTTCCGGGCACATGTGTGTACGCAGGGTACTGTTAAGACAAGCCCACTTCATTTCTGCTGGTGGTCGCTCTGATTCCCACTCCCAGCCACAATCCATGTGTGCACCAACCCCACACTGGGCCTCACACAACTTCTAAGTTGCGATCTGGCAGGAAGCAACGATATTTGCCTTTCTTTGGGGAAAGGTGAGCATTTTCACTTTCCCCAATGCTATGTTAGCAGCACAAACTGCTCACTTGGTTTTTGAAACTGAGATACTCACACAGTTCTTACAAATGTACAGGAGACTTAACCCCTGGCTTTAATATGTGCATAACCATCTTCCCCTGCCCTCAGGTACAAGAAACTAGAGCTGTTATTTCTGAGTTCTATTCCTTGCCTGAGAAATGTCTGGAGGAAAGTATTTATTCTTTCCTTTAGGAAGAATCAAGATTAATTCTGAATAAAGCCTCAATGAAGTAAAGGCTATATTAACATTACAACTGATTTTACTTCTACTATTTATTTTTTATTACAAATTTCCCCTGGTTATTAAAATTGGAAGAGAGATACATTACAGAAAAGTTTATAGAACAGACAAAAAGATAACCAGAAATCAATATACTAGAATGTTACAGTGCAATCAAACTAGGAGTTAGAAACAGATGACAGGTACTCTCCAGGGCTTGGAAGTGAGGCACCAGGGCTGGACACTCTGGGACTAAAGAGGAAACAGTAAAGGGAATTTAAAAACTCAATGAAAATGAAAATGCAGCATATCCACACACAAGAGCCACCTAAAACAGAACTAAGAAGGAAATTTACAGCCCCAACTGCTTACAGCAGAAGACAGGTCTCAAATCAATAACTTAAGTTCCACAAGAATCTAGAAGAAATCCACAGCAAATAGAAAAGCCAAGGAGCAAGCAAGGGACAGCACCACAGACCTTGCAAGTGCCCAAGGTCAACAAGGAAGACCTGTATGTGTGAATGTGACAACTGAGGAGGGGACCGCATCCTACTCCCAACCTCTCTTCCTTTGTCTCCCCACCACCTGCCCTGTATCCATCCTACATAAGGTAGGCCACATTCTTCTACACACGCTCCCCACCATGATGGCCTTCCTTACTGCAGATCCAGGATTGGAGCCCAGTGTCCATGGACTGAGCCCCCTAAAACCATGAGCCACAGCCAATCCTCTTCCTTTAGGTTGACTTTCTCAGACACTTGGTCAGTGACAAAAAGCTGACTAACGGGCTGCTACACTTCCCGCCGTGACATTTGGCCTCACTGTGAGTGTGGAAGCAACAGAGTCCAGTGGCCATGGACTGAGTCCTCTCAAAATCAAGGCCTAAAATTGATTTTCCCCCTTTAAGCTAGTTACAGCGCTGAAAAGCTAACACAAGTACTCATGATAAAAACTCTCCCAAAACGTCCTCGACTTGACACAGGACATCTACAAAAACCTACAGCCAACATCATGCTTCATGGTGGAAGACTGAACACTTCCCCTGAAATTAAGGAGAAAGTAAAGATGTTCTCTCACACAATCCCATTCAACAAAGCCCTGGAAATTTGGGCCAGTACAATGAGGCACAAGAAAAACAAAAATACACTCATTAGGAATGGTGAACAAGACAGGTCTTTGTGACTCAAACTGACTCCAAGAACTTCAAGCAAGTCTATTCGTTTTGATCAGCTGAATCATTGCTGTCATAGATGCAGCACATGCTGGCCCTGGAGACAGCTGAAGCACAACACATATAAGCATAAATGATAGTACATCTGCTAGAGGAAACCTGAGCTGTGTCCTACCCGAGTGTAGCCTCCCCATATGTTCCCAGGGCTCCCAAGCTTTCCAGTGGTGCTGCTCATGGCTCCACCAGCTCATCCGCACAGGCTCACAACCCACCATCCTCTGGATGCTGCCACTTTCCCAGCTGGCTTCTTCCACATGAACCCAGCAGGTGCACTATAGCTTTGGGCTTACTTTATTGGTAAAATGGTAACAGGATCAGGGGAAGGGGATTATGGTAATAATGATGACAATCACAAACACCACTGCAACAACAGCTTTCACACACGCAATATGCCACATGCATGTGGACCTGCAGCATGCATGCATACTCATGGATGCCAGCCCACATACATGTGCATATACGCATGCATACACCATACACAAGCATGTGTGCAAGCCCACACATATGCATATTCACACACATCACTTTCTCTGCTAGGGGCTGCCCTAGCACACCCGTGTCTTTGCTCATTCAGTGCCCCCAAGCAGCCAAGGAGGGTGCTGCTCCCATCTCCACCTGAGAGATGGCATAGCAGAGGGACAGTGACACTGCACCTTTAGCTCATGCCCAAGAGATACAAGCAACAGCGCCAAGGCCAGCGGTGTCACACAGGCTCTGGACAGCCTTTCAGAACAGTGTTAGGAAGCACAGTCACCCACAACTTCACACACCAGAAGAGTAGAGTGTGCGCTGACCTTTACCTGGAAGACAAGCTGGCCCCTGCTTGTATGAGCGTCGGCATGACCGCGATGAACAGCCCCAGCTGCACATCCTGTGTCACCAGCATGCCCAGTAGCACGGCGCTATAGTCCAGGTCACCTGCGGGACAGAGGTGTTCAGAGTGCAGCTTCACACAACAGGGGTCCCTGAAGTCGGGCACAGTCATCCATGTGTTTCCAAAATAACATGAGTAACTTCGGTAACCTGGATAATGAACTTTGAAATCTCTCTGAAGCCGGCACAGTGGTGTTATCCCTCTGTAGCCCCAGCTGCTCAAGAGGCTGAGCCAGAATGATCACCTGACCCAGCTGAGGAGCAACCGGGGCAGTGTGGCAAGACCCCACCTCTGAAACAGTTTTTAATGTTTAAAATGCTCGATTGTTCAAAGGGATTTTAAATTGGTCTGTTTTGCAGGTCCTCAAACTTTACAAACCCAGCATCTCCTCCTGGCGATGCGTCCTGCATCTCATTTCCCTTCAACACTGCAGGATTAACCCACACCCTGTCTGTATTGTGTCGATGAACATGCCCTCATTATCCAGAAGTTAGTGAATACTCATGTTGTCAACTTTTGCTGTTAAAGATGATGCTGTCTCAAAGAAACGGATGCTGGATGTTCTTACTCTTACACATCGTTTTCTAGGATATGTAACAGATGATGAACTTTCTGTTGTGAATTTGACTCCAGAGTACTTGGACGTGTTCCATTTCCACTGAGCATGCTGAGGAGCTCCGGGGCTTGTCCTCCTCAACACTGTGAGAACCATTAAAGCCATTTCCGGTGGTAAAGGGAAAGGGCCCCTCAGCTAGTGGCCTGATTCCCCCACCACCCAGCAAGCCCCAGCATCTTTCTGTGAGCTCCCTGCACTGGAGTGTCTTCCATGGCACATTCTACCCATTTTCCTACGAGGCTCCCTCCTGTTTGGATTTCCAGACATTTTCAAAATGCTCTGGGTTTGAATTCTTTGCTCATTATGGAAAGTGAGCAAATGTCTTTCCACAGCCCATGCCTATAAGAAAAACCTTTGAATAAACATTAGAGCATTAGCTGTGTTCTTATCTACCAAGCCTCTCCATCTGGAATTCTTGTATTTTAAGAAATTCATTGACCCCAGGTACCGAAAAAAATAAAAAAATCACTCCACCCTAGGGTCATAAGGATATTTCTCCTGTATTTCCTTCCCGCAGTTTTAAAGTTTTGCTCTTCACACATAGATGCTTCATCCATGACTTTGTTAGGTTCTTATTCTATTTTTTTTTTCCTGGTACCGGGGATTAAACTCAGGACCTTGCACTTGCAAGGCAGGTGGCGGAATCACTGAGCTAAATCCCCGGCCCAGCATCCATGACTTTTTATATGTAGCTCAGGACAGGGTTCTTTCTAATGGTATTGTTATTTTCATGTGGATAACTTTTTCTCATTCACTTACCCATTTCTCCTACCTCCTTGAAGTGCCAGAGCCATCTGCTATCCCATCTAAGTGGTGGCTGGGTTGGGAGGGCATGCTCCTCACCTCAAATTTATATCAACTATTCTTGGACTTTGGTTCTAAATAAATCTTACAATCAGTTTGCCAAACTGTGTGTAATACCCTGCCAGACCTTTTACTACAATAGTTTTGCGTTTATAAATTTGGGGAGAAATAACATGTTTATATGCTAAACCTTTTTATTCACAAACTCTCTCCAGTTAAGTCTTAGTAACATTTTGGAATGTTTACTTTTAAAGGTGACATATGCCAGGTATAATGGTTCAAGCCTATAATTCCAGCACTAGGGAGGCTGAGGCAGGAGGACTGCCACAAGTTCAAGGTCAGCCAAAGCTACATAGTGAGTTCAAAGCCAGTCTGAACTACATAGTGAGTCCCTGTCTCAGAAAAAAAGGGGGGGGTACAATAAAGGTGACATATCTTTTGAGAGAATTATTCCAACACTTCTTGTACTTTTTATTATCTTTATAAACTGAAACACTTGTTTAAAATTATATTTTCTAACTATGCTGCAGATATATTACATTTTAACATTTTTAATTATAAATTTCGTGTCAAAGTCTATGTCCTCCCAGTGTGTCTGACCCCCTCCTAAACAACATTCATGAATGGTGACTCCTGCCTTGTTTTAGGGTGGCCTTTAAGAAAATATATGCTACAGTCTCCTTTCCTACCTGCACACAGTAGATTTACCCACTCTACAAATCTCTGAGCCTGCGGCACCTGTCCCGTCTGACCAGGGCTGTCCCAAGGTATGGGACCTTGGGGGCTGTCAGTGCTGTCTTCCCACCCCATTCTTCAGTGGAGCACACAGGAGCCAGCACCCCAGCATGTAGAGTATATAGCATATTTTTCTACCATCGTCTACCACCTCCCAAACACCCAGAGAAGCTGCCTTGCCCATCTGGTGTCCTTTTTCTGATGTGGCACACCAAGAGTAAGTTTAGCTTTGTTTTTCTCCTCAGTTTTGGAGATGTACTCTGAATGTAAAGACTAAGAGACTCCAGACACTTCTAAGCCTCTCCTCTCTTGTAGACTGAGCCACCCACACAAGTGGCACACAAATTTCCTCTGTGATCTTTTCCATTTGATGTCTGTTCTACACTCCTGTGTGAGCCAAGTAAGCAGAGGTAGAACCTTCATTTACACTGCCAGAGTTCCTAGCATGCTCACTCTGAAGTCTTTACCAAGCCTCTTCATGGGTAGGAAATTCATATTGTAGCTGTCGGGGTCTTTTTCTAAAGTCTTTACAGCGCTTCCTCATGAAAAGGGGAGCTAACATCATGAGGACTAAATCTGATGGCTGCTTTTCTAGTGGCTGATTTCCTCCCAGGTGTAGAGAGTCTGGGGTGAGGCAGATCCATTCAGAGTGGTTTCCATACTCCATTACTGTACCCGCTTCATCCCTGCTGTCTCCATCAGCTCCTGACCACGGGTCCCTGTGCAGTTCTCAAGAAGGTGGACAGGAAAGAGGTGATATCATGAACATCAGCCCAAAGGTGGCTGCTGTGATGGAGGCAACTGGTGCCAGAGATGGATGGTCAGCATCCACACCACAGTCCCAAAGCAGGCGGCAGTTTTCTGAACCTGTCAGGTAGTCAGTGAACTCAGTGTGGCTACTGTGGGCTCAGGGCTCTGATTCCTGGCCCAGAACTCAGAAGACCCAGGGCTGGCCCTGCACACAGCCAGGCAAAGGGCAGCCAAGGGGCCACCCATGCCGCTCTGGCTGTCTTTCCACATTTTCTTCGATTCCTGGGTACATGGGATATCAGTGTGAAGTTACCATGGCACCCTCACCTTATATTTTATAGACTTTCATAGAATAAAAGCAAAACAGTGAGAGCTTTCCTCACAGACAAGCATGTTGTAAAAGTGGGACCCTGCGAGACCTCACTCCCCTGACTGCTCCACAGTGGCAGTGCAGACACCAATCTCCTGTCCGTAGACTTTGTTTTTGTTTTTTGTTTTGGTTGTGCAACTCGGGACCTTGCACTTGTGGGACAGGCAGCGGAACCACTGAGCCAAATCCCCAGCCCCTCCTGTTCACAGACTTTGAACTGCCCACCCAGGCTGTGCGAGTTTCTTCTGTGATTTTCCCCTTCAATCGTCTTTTTGTCCACACTTAGGTGAAACCCTTCACAAGTGTCAGGCATGTCCACTCCTGGAATCTGCCAAGATTAAAACAGTGAACAGCGATGCTAACCTCTTCAGCCACCAATCCTGGCTAGCTTCTTTGAACCTTGGTCCAGCGTCTGTCAGGTCTAAAACTATACTTCATTTGGAAACGGGTAATGGCCATTTCTTTAGATCTGGTGAAGAAGTGGTGGCTTGCACATGCTGAGCTTCTAGGTACCCAGTCCTCTGCTAAGCACAGGCCTGAGAAGCCACGGACGCCTGGACAGCCCTGAGGGGAGAGGACTTGCAGTTTCTCCTCATTGGTTTGGACTGTGAACTCACAAGTGAATTCCACGTGAGCACGAACTACACATGCACTCAGAACACCCATCACCTACCTTCTTTATCTCCCCGGGCACTGCCCATAAGGAACCTGGACACCAGGGGTGTGCTCGATAAGGACAAACAAGTCGAAATGAAGACACTCTGGGTGGGTCTGATTCGTAGAAGGTGTCCCCACAACAGGCCAAAGGCAATCATGAGGACTGTCATGTAACACGGTCCTTGCAAGGATATTTTCCACACCTTAAAGAGAACACACGCGTTTATGCACATCCTGGGGACAGCAGCCATCCACAGTGCTCTCGCGTTTACCATGCCCTGTCCTCCAGGGAAGCAACTCTGGCCACACACCCAGCCGATCCTGACACGGTGACACTCATCCCAGGTGTGCACATGTATGCACACACACACATGTACAATCAGGGGCCGCCCTCCAGACCCCACAGTACATTTTTTTTGATTCCTTGGGACATGGGTTATCAGTGTGAAGTTACTATGGCACCTTCACCTTATATTTTATAGACTTTCATAGAGTAAAAGCGAAACAGTGAGAGCTTTCCTGCCCCTGTGTATCTTAAATCACCTGGAGATGACTTACAAGACCTAAAATAATGCAGAGGCTATGCAAATAGTTGCTATATGACCTTGCTTGGGGAATGACAAAAGAAAAGGTCTGTACATGTTCAGTAGAGGCACAATTTTTTTCTTGAAGTTTTTCAACCTGCAGTTGGCTGAACCTATGGTCGTAGAACCCACAGAGGTACAGGGCTGACTGAGGGTCATACATCTCTGTGTGTATGTAAATAAAAATCCTCAGGGAAAATCTTAGAGACTAGACTCCCTCACCCATCTTTTGCTGAAAATACTGAGACACACAGAGGTGGAGTAATTTGCACAAGGTCATAGGGACCCATGGAACAAGAGGCAAGTCCAAGCCTTGTGGCTCAACAGACAATTTTTATTAGGTGCTCAATATGCATGATTAAAACCACGATACTGATTCTGACATGGGCGATGTGTGTTAACTGGAAACTCAGCCTGCTCTTCCTGCATGCACATTCATTTTCCTCCCTGCTGCACACACTCAAAGCCAAGGTCCCTAAGCACGACTCCCAAGGGAGCTTCACACGCCCACCCTCCGGCCCCTCTCCCTAAGTGCTGGACAGTGAGGGGACAGAATTCTCCTCATCTCTGCTAATCGGGGACAAGGAGGCTCTTCCTATGCTGGCTGTGGGGAGACCTCACCTGGGCCTCCACAACACGGCCCACAGCCAGCCTGCCCAGCCAACCCAGGCTCAGAAAGTCATCACAGTTCCTTCCGGGTCACCAAACCCTAGCCCGAGACAGCTGAGGATCAAGGAAGCTTGTGGGGAGATGAGCCGAGTCCAGGTTCCACTCAGCATCCTCTGCCACACAACCCTCACTGACTACGCTGATGCCCTTTGCTACTTCCTGTGCTTGGGTTAGGGATAGAGACTGTGATGATGCTCTAAGCTAACTTGTGCTCCTTGCTTCCTACCATGACCATCAAGACTTGTGCTGGACTGCACTGCCTAGACTAACACGAGCCCCAACGTAGGAGTTTGCTCATCCTCAAGGCTGCCTAAGTGGCTCTGTACCCGAGCAGCATGGCATGAGGCCCTAAAGTCCCCACCTGAGTGGACCTTCTCTAAGCCCATCATCCAGTGCCCCTCCTCAGGCAGGAGGCCCTAGGGAAAAGACTCAGACCAGTCAGAAGCTTCTGGTCAGAGGGGGTTCTCAGCACCCATCAGAAATGAAGCCTGCAGACCCCTGGGGACCCCTGCCATAGGGCATAGGAAGCACTACCCACACACCCTGGGCTGCTGCACTACTCTTGTGGGTGCCTCGCATCAGTGGGTGTCTTCCCCTCTCTTGCCTGAGACGTGTCTTTTTGAAACCCGTGGAGGAGTCCTGTGTGCACTCAGCTACCACCAGGGCTATTTCACGCTGATCTAAAGCTTTGCCAGTTACTCACATCTCATAACAAAAAAAGCAAAAATGAAAAAAAAATATTTAATAAATGTTTGTTGGGCATCAACTTCGTATATTCTGAATCCATAGACATGAAAGAGCAGTAAGATGCTTCTTAGGTGTTAAGAATGGGATGGTCAGGTGCATAAAGGTCAGGGCTGCCCCTCAGCAGCTGCCCAAGCTCAAGAAAGACGCCAGCAGGCTCCTGCTAGATCTGAGGACCCTGTAAGGAGAGGGTGAGGAACACAGTCCAGCCACCAGCTCAGGGCCCAGTGAAGCCTCAAAGATGTCAGGGTCCCGGCACAGCATTCATTCCACTTGTGCACCACACACCACTAGCCAAGTGTAATCAGCACAGCGGTAACTCCTCCTTCCAAGCAGCCCCACTCAGATCAAGCGCAAAGACCCAGGCAGGGGTCTCAAACACAAAAAGGAAGAACAGCAGGACAGACAAAGGGCCACTGCTATACAGTGTCTGAAATTAGTATGTGAGCTTTGTGTGACATCATTGAATTATTTAGCTTTGAATACTACAGTAGAAAAATATAATTATGGAAGTTTAGAGCTAGAAGAAACATTAATCTCCCAAATTCCTACTATAGATCCTGTTGCTACTCCTGGCAAAACCAAAGCCTCCCCCTTCATTTGTTCTAAGCCACTCCTGGATGTAAATGCTGCTAATGAAACACACTGGGAAGCAAAGCCTCCCCTCCCTTTTCCTGGAGCCTGCCCGAGATGGGGTCTGTGCCGCTGGGTCCTGAGCTGCTGCGCAGAAGCAGACGCCCTAGGAGCCCACTCTAGCTACACCTACTCCCTTCCCTGCCCACAAGACTCCCAGAGAACTCACAGGAAGAACAAGCTGCTTTTCTTGAGGACCCGGGACAGTGATCAATTTCCTTAAGCTTTAAGTTCAGAAATTGATGTGTGGAAAGCACCAATAGAAACAAGAGAAGCTAGGGGAAGCACTGGAGTAATCTGGAATGCCCAGGAGGAAGCAGGCATTCCTGTGAAGTGGGTACAGAATGCCAAGCTGTGTGAACACATGGAGAACAGGGCTTTCCAGGGACGAAGAAGGTGGAAGAAGCTGAAGGTCCTAGAGATAGCTGGATGACCTAGGGCAACACACAGCAGAAACGTAGAAAGGAACTGTCAGAAACCACACTGTATATCTTGAAAGTAAACACAGCCTTTAAAAGTTGATTTTTCTTTATATAAAGAAGTATATACTAGTATAGAAAATTTAGAAAACACGGAAAAGAGAAAATGGTGTCACTGTGGTTACTTCCTGTTGCTTCCCATGCCATATGATTTTTTTTTTTTTTAGATGAGATCTCACTAGGTTGCCTGGGCTGGCCTCAAAAGTCACAATCCTTCAGTCTCAGCCCTCAGGCAGCTGGGATTACTGGTGTGCCACTATATCTGCCTTCATTTTCTTCCTCTTTAGGTTTAGTGCTTTAACACTCATTTTTTGTTGCTTTACAATTCTGATACTATATTAACGGCTATATAATATTCCAACAAGAAATTAACCACCAGAAATTCAGCTTTGCTCCAATCTTTCTTAAGCAAATTACAAAGAGAAGTCAAAATTCTTTTCATGGATAAAGCTCCAAACTCACACTTGGATCCCTCCTCTCATAGAGACCCAGGAGACCCACTGGTTCCTTTGTCAAAGATTAGATGGCCGAGTGTGTATAGCCTCTCCTGCACCTGCTGGGCTGCCTTCAAAGGTCTCCAGCCTACAGACACCTCCCCTACACAAGCAATAACACACTAACTGGTGCCAGGGAATCTGTCTTTACTCCAGCCTTTCTCTGATCACCCCACTGTTTATCACTATTTTCCTCATCTGTGAGGTATCTGCTGAAGTAGCACTAATTAATGCATGCCCATCTCTGGAATTGTGTACTACGGTAACACACTGAATATTCACTGTCAAGGACACTTCATCTTTAAACAGTTAAAATTCAAATATTACATCTCAGCTCTTGTCTAGAATTAGCCACATGGAAGTTAATTTCATTTGTTGAATTTTAACTTTTTCAAACCCTGTATTTTTCTTTACAAATTTATGTTTTAATAATACCACACTAAAATATCACAGTCTATCCTAAAAGTAATGTGATAGTTAAGTTGTCAATAAATGTTAGAAGTGAAGAAATTGAAACCCTTTGATGTGCAGTTTCTTAAGGGCAATAAAGGATTGAGGCCTTACCTTTCGCAGTTTTTCTGGGGAAAACTCTAAGCCAACAAGAAAAAGAGTAAAGAAGACTCCAAATTCTCCTAATGTCTCCACCTGTACAATAGACTGGAAAGCAAGAAAATAACAGCCAAGTCACTTTAGGCTGAACGTACTGCATGCACTCCACCAGATATACTTGCAAATTTAGTGGAGCATCCACCAAAACAGTGCTCTTTTAAAGAAATGAATCCTCTGAACTTCTATAACTGAGGTCATTTTGATTTCCTGCTTCCCCCTTTTTCTTGATTAGCCAGAGAAATATTTCTCATTTTGTTTTCTAAAAACCCCTTCAGTTCATCAACTTTCAAATTCATCACCACTTCTGTCTTCTGCTTTCTTCAGCCTTCTCTGGGACCAAGCTTGTGCCTGGCCATCCACAAGCTTCCTGCTGGGAGTTCAACCTGTCTGGCAGCTAAGTGTTCTCATGAGCACCAGGCTTGTGGCCATGCCCCACAAGTTCTGATATACTGGACTCTGTATTTGTTTTGATTCTTCATCTGCTACTTATTTTTAACATTATTATACTAGATAAGTAAACAGTACACAGAATTTTAAATCTCTATTATGCCTCCTAGCTGCATAGTTTCGTAAGTGCCTCCACTGTACAGGAGTTCCTGACTCCAGTGTGAGCAGAATTCCTGTGTTAGGATTCCCGTCGTGCTTTTATTTGTATCTAAGTTTTAACCTTACTGTTGTAGTCAGCAGGATTGAGGGAGGCAATACATTAAATACAGGACACATAACTTATAAGGTTATTTTACGATAATTACCCAAAGAGTCAAATGAAAAGTAGTGCAAGAGATTAAAGAGTCCCCATTCAGCTGAGGGCCTGGATCCCGGGAGTTTCCCACACAAGTCCAGCTAACGGCTTAGAGTCCAAGGCAGTGTCCTCCTCGAGTCCAGCCAGTGGTCCAGAGCCCACGGCAGTGTCTCATGCTTGTCTGTATTGAGGATCTGCACCTGGAAGTCCCAAAGGCCAGTGGTGGAAGCCAGAAAATCCTAAGACAAAGGATATGTGCCACCAGACTGTGGGATCCACATTGGAGCCAGGAAGCGATGCTCACGATGAAGATCAGAGCTCCACTGATGAGAACAGCAGACATTCCCAGCAACTATGGGGTCCTGAGCTCCTCCTCCGATGAGAACAGCCTCGTTCGCATCGGGAAAACCATCCAGGGCAAGCTTCTCCTAGAAAACCAACAGCCCCCATCTTCCCCTCCAGTTCTCTTTTTATGGCTATTGGTAACAATCTTCAGGTGGATCCTCCATGCCCAGACCACACTGATTCAGTTATCTGGATGTTACAAGTTGACCAATAGTCAATCCACTACACCTTACTTAACTGCTTTATTTTTATTGAATCTCCTGTTTATAGTATTTTTCTTGGGATACCATGTATAAGCCTCTACCTTTTAATAGGAGAGTTTATTCCACTTTTATTTACTGTTATGCCAGATGCTTGTTTGCTTTTATTTTTTGACATCTTCTCTCTCTTTTTTTTTTTTAGTAAACTTCTAGGGATTGAACTCAGGACCTTGCTCTTGCCAGGCAGACGCTATGCCACTGAGCTATAGCCCCAGCCCTCTTTTGACATCTTCTTATCTTTAGGCTTCCTTTCTGTTACTTTTTCTTTTATTTTTCTTTCCTTTTCTTATCAAACTGTGACTTATGACTTCAAAATAACATACTCAAGCCTGTGTTTCTCATTGTGGCAAATAAAAACCTGGCAAATTTCCTGTGGAGGAGATGAGTGTTTTGGTACAACTGTCTTTTCCAGGGACTCTCCTACCTACTCACATCCACCTTACCTTTCCACAGTGACTGCCTCCTGAGGTCAGGCTGCCTGCAGCACCCAGCTGTGCTGCTACCCACCATCCTACCCTCCCTCCTGCTGTGAGCAACCTCTCCAGCCAGACCTGTGTTTGCTTGTCACACTCTGATAAGGGTGGGAGAGCCAGAGAGGCTTTTCATAGTGCTCTGAACAACATGGCAAAGCCAGTGAGTGCAGAGGACAGCTCTGAAAAGAGCCCACTGTGCCCAGCTGAGTGCTGGTGGGCTCTCGCAAGGCTGTGGGACTGCATGTCAGTGATGTTCACTGCTCCCTGGAGGGCCCAAAGCTTCAGCCTGAGATGGCCAGATGGACTGGCTCTGGCCTGTCCAGTGCTTATCTGCTGTAAGATTGATCTTGTGTGGCCACCTCTTCAGACCCTTCTGCTGTGCTTCCATCTAGGGAAATCACTGAGTTCTTCCAACCTGACTCCAGGTTTGCTCTTCCTTGCCTGCCTCCCCTGCCACCACACTAGGTTCACTGGAGAGGATGGGAGACTGTGAGGTATGCTGTCTCACCCATCTCCTGCTCCCCCACACATCCTCTTCCCACCTGCCCATTTAGGTGTGTGCACAGCACCTCTGGCATCCCTTCCTTCCTCCCAGGTAGATCCATGTGTGCTGGGTACAGCAACCTGCTCCACAAGCAGCCATGGCAAAAGCAGTCTGGGCCTTGGCTGCCTCTCAAGACAGGAGCTTTGCCCTGGGTCGTGACCTCTTTAAAACATGCCAAGCCCAGCATTAGCTGCTTTCAGCATTTGAGGTTGGTGTGGCCACTGCAGCACCTGAACTTAAAGATATGGAATCTTTAAAACAAATGCAACTTAGAGAGAGGACAGGGCCTTTCCTCCAGCCAAACCACCCTCACTAAAAAACAAGACCCTCCAAGGGCATCTCTAAGCATGGAGAATGACACTGGTCTCTTCGCTGACACAAGCCAGAGCCTTCAGTGTCTGTGTGTGTCCTTTGCATCCTTCTAGACACCACAAGAATTAAATGTTGTTCTCACCTTGATGCTGTTCAGTCCCGACGGCCCCAGGAGCACACCACAGATGATGTACCCGAACATGGTGGGCAGTCCTATTGCTGTGCACAGCCAGCCACAAGGCAGGGACAGCATTCCTATGGTGACAATGTCCTGATGTGGGATAAACACATGAGAAACCCATCTCAGCTAGCAGCTGGGCGACAAGAAGAGCAGGACAAGACAGAGGGCCCAACATCATCTCTACAGATGAAAGAAAGACAGCAGGGCTGAGAGGAGTTCTGTTCGTCAGGGGTGTAGAGGCACTGAGAGGGAGTGGTGCGAACAGGGCGCCCACGGGCCTCAAAACAGCTCCTCAGCTCTGCTAACTCATCGTGAAGGGAGAGAAGAATGCGCTTCACAGAGAACACTACCAAAGGCAGGGCGCAGACTCCAGTCAAAACGAGACAGCACCACATTGTGGGCTCAGCCCCGAAGGGGCCCCCAACAGGGCGGACTGGGCCCTCTGTCTGGGCTCCTGTTCCCATACAAGGCTCCAGTGTTAGGGGTTCTGCGCAGACCTGGCCACGGACTGGAGCTGCCAGGCGTCCCCGAGAGCTGCAGCCCAGGCCCACCGACCGCACAGCAGTCACTGTTTCCTGGACCCGGCTCCTGGGGTCAGAGGTGTGGGACACTGGTGGCTGCTGGAGTCCTGCCTCACCCTCCATGTCTGAAGGAGGCCAGGTATGAGCACAAACTCCTCTACACCATAGAAGCTTTCTATTTTAGTAAAAATAGCTTTTGTTTTATTTTATTCCTTTTGAATAGAGGTCTTATAATGTTGCCTAGACTAGTCTCGAACTCCTGGTCTCCAGAAATCTTCCCGCCTCGGTGTCTTATGAAACTACAGATAATTGAAGCTTTAATCCCATCAGAATAATTCCAAATTCCAAATTCTCAAAAACAGAATGAAATTTCATTTAATGAAAAAAATTTAGAAAAAAATTAAGAAAAATTGTCTAAAGCCACGGCCCTGAGAGACACTGTCAGGCGGAAGGCCACTCACTCCGATGAGGCCCATCGGTCACGGCCCACCCGCTGGCCCTGGGAGGCTGTGCCAGGCTTGCCTTGATGAAGTGGGGGTCTGCACGCGGGATAGTGGCATCTCGGGGCTTGGTCAGGATGTACTGGTTGTTCTGTGAGTCGATCAGCATGCTGAGGCCCAGACCATCTTCAGCCTCCCGCTTTGTGATGTTCTGCTTTGAACTGGCCGCCTCCTCCTCCACCCGCAGAACTGCCTCGAAGTTGACACCTTTGACCTATGGAGTAGGCAGCACTGGGCAGCAGAACCCCACACTCAACCCCTTGTCTCAACAGAAGGGCAGGGGCAGGGGAGGCGGCAGAGAGTGACCTTTGTTCAGGGACACTGATGAGGTCGTTTCTCCAGGTGAAGGGTTTAAGGGTGGGAATGTTTAGGACTGCCACCACTGCCAACATCTGCTCACTCCATGTAGGCGAATACTTTCAAAATTTCATAGTTCTTAAAATACTTAGAAGAGATTCTATTCCCAGAATTAGTGCATTTTTAAATACCCTTCTCTTTACTCTTTTTATTCTCTTCCCCGTTTTTCCGTGCTCTCCCTCTGATCAGTGAAAAAGATGACCTATGCCTTTTTGTAGATCCATCCTAAGATCTATGGTCAGTTTACTTGCACCCATCCCAATTCTTTCTTAGGGTCCTAACACATGACAAGCGAGCAGCCCAAATCCTGCTTCTGATATAGCACTGTCTTCTGCAAAGCACTTACAGAATAGATTCTCTGATGGAGTTGCCAGGAATGGTGGCCCATGCCTGTAATCTCAGTACTCAGGAGGCTCAGGCAGGAGTATTGCTGCAAGTTCAAGCCCTGCCTGTGCTACACAGCAATACCATATTTCAAAAAAAACTTTTTCTTCTGTTTTAGCAGTACTAAGGATTTAACCTAGGGACTTAGGCACCTCAGTCCTTTTCTTAAAAATTCGGAGACAATGTCTCACTAAATTGTTCAGGTTGGGCCTGAATTTGCAATCCTCCTGCCTCAGCCTCTAAGAGGGGTGGGATTACAAGCATGTGCCAACAAGCATGGCTTGAAAAAAAATTAAGGATATTTTTTAAAAGGAGGGGGACAGGAATTTAGCTCAGTGGTTCTGCCACCTGCCTTGCAAGAGCAAAGTTCAGAGTTTGATCCCCAGTGCCAAAAAAAAAAAAAGGATAACTAGCTTACTTCTAGAGACCAGGTCATGTGATTTTCTGTGTGACACACAAGTGTCCCAGCTTGTTCCATTGTCAACCTCCTCTCTCTCTCTCTCCCTCTCTCTCTCTCTCTCTCTCTCCCTCACACACACACACACACACACACACACACATGCACGCACTCACACTCTCACCAGCTTTCAGGCACATCTCCACCAAAGCAGCTCAGCTGGCAGCAGGCTGTGAAGAAGGTTCTTACTGATTTGTTGTCATCAAAAGCATGCTCTTCTATCTCCTCCTCCAGCCTATCAGCAGCCTTCCTCACATCTTCAAGAATCTCATCTAGCATAGACAGACTCTTATTTTGATGCTGCATATTTTTAAGGGCTTCCACTTGGTGTTTCTCTGCAGCAAGAAGTTCCACATATTCAGTCTCTTCCTATGCATTTGTAAGAAACGAAGAGTGAGAGTCATTGAGATGTCATCCTTGGACCCACTCTGGCTCAGGTCTGACCAGCTCCACAGCTGCTTCTGAGTTCACGCACCCACCTCATGCAGGTGGACTTTAACTGCTGTCCTAGGTAACCACAATGTACAGGGCAAGTCACCTCACAACATTCAAGGGGATATCATCCTACAATGGGTCTCTCCTCCCTGCAGGTGGTCTGCTCACAGAACTGCCTGCTGAGTACCCCAAAACAGCTATGGCACATGGACACTGAGCTATTTTCTGAATTTCTAATCAGGATGCCATCAAAATCCCAGTGTGAGTGTGTGTGTGTGGGGGGGTCATTCCACAAACACATGTAAACATGTAGAACCAGAGTTATTTGAAAACTGATGGGTGGTGCTGGTAACAGAATTTAGTAAATGTATTTTATACAATTTTTTTTTGACACAGGGTCATTCTACGTAGTTCAGGCTGGCCTTGAACTCACTATGTAGTGCGTGCTGGCCTCAAACTCATAGCCATCCTCCCGAGTACTGGGGTTACAGGTGTGCACCACCACACCCAGCTACAATAATATTTAATCAATAACTTAACATTACAGTTTTTACTTACATCTGAAGGGGTAGGCCAGGCTGGGACAGGGTGGTAGCAGGCAGCACCCATAAACATGGCTACTTTGTGGCTGTCTCAGCCCCTCTACCAAAGTTGCCATGCCCATGCTGAGCATGTCAGGGCCCTGAGCAGGAGCCCGAAATCTGAAACTCCTGGAGATGCCACAAGTCATCTTTGCCTCTTTCCTAACAGAAGGGCCACAAATCTGCACTCTCCTAAGGATTCCGACTTAAAATCAAGGAATCACATTGTCTTGACTGTCCAGGAGCCTGTGAGACAGTGACACCAGTGCAAGTACACGGCCTTTTGTCCCTGAGGGCAGCTGCAGGGACAAAGGCAGGACAGCTGCATCAGGGATACCAGAAGCCTTGATTTAAATGTTCCATCCAGTGTCTCCTGGATTACCATGTCTTGGTAAAGGAAGTTTAATGTATCTATAGTCTCTACTTCCCAAGCCTTGTAATAATAGTGGGTTTTTTTATGAAGATGAAATGGTACTTTGTGTTTTAAGTGCTTGGCGTGGTGCCTGGCTTCTAACAGGTACCTAAAACAACTGCTTAAAAAATACAAACCCTACCTCATCAGATATAGCAATAGTTTCTTCTTATCATCTTAAATGTATATTTGATCAAAGTCCTGAATTTAAAGGTAAGCATTTGTTTAAAACTAATTTTAATGTTTTTTTTTCAGTATGTGGACATTGAAGACAGCCAAGCTTCACAATGAAAGGAATTCCTTGCAGGAAAGAAACAAATGTTAATCGTATTTACAAATACAGTTGAGCGCTGCTCAAGGACAGACACTTTGTGTTCTATGGACTGCATCTCATGGGTCAAGGTCCCATCATCCTTACATCAAAATCCCTCGGGACCGAGCAGCAAGGACATCACTGCATGAGATGACCTTCCTTGCCCCACCCAGCGTCTATGACCACAAGCCAAGCGGCAGGCATTGATTGCCCTGACAGAAAAGCACTGGGGATGGGTCCTCCTGTGCGTGGTGACAGCAGCCGCCATGCAGCAAATCAGGGTATCCTCGCCTCCTGTGGGACATGTGCCCTGACAGATCACACCCTCTGCAACGCTGCACTACCCCCAGCTTGGCAGCTCACCTTGATGGCGGCCTCCCGCAGGGCCTCCAGCCGCTGCTTGCTGCTCTCCTTCATGTTCACGACATCCTTGTAATCCCCCTGAAGGGCTCTCTGCAGCCCATAGATGGCCTGGAACACTGAGTTTTCACTTTCATTCAGCTCTTTCTGGAAGATTTCGAACATGTGCACCTGGAACAGCTTTTCCTCGTCCGACAGACCAGCGTCTCTTTCCACTGCTCGGATTGCATTTTTCAGTTTGTTCAGAACCACATTCTTCTGCCGCAGGAGCCCAGTGAGCTTCCGGCAGCTGTCCAGCACCCACTGCTTCCTGTGGGCAGCGGTGGCTCCCTTCCCACGGTGCAACTTGATCACATGCTTTGCCACCTCCTCATGCTCCGCAGCACTCACTAGCAGGTGAAGGACTGGGAGCAGCACCCAGAAGAGATTCTCCTCCAACACCCTCATGATCCAAGCAGAGCAGGCAAGGGAGGCCAAGGAAGGTCACAGACAGCCTGCATTTTAGATGTGTACTGTCCACTGAAAAACAAGTTTATTTTCACAATGACTCATCGCTACCAAGTTCAGAGTTAAAGTACTTATTACATCCAGAAAACTGTCACCTTATAGCAAAATCTTAACTACTTACTATTCCTACATTAAAATCAAACACCAATAGTTAAAGCACCTCCTCTTACAGTGCCTGGTATAAAGTAGAGGTTAATTACATCTGATTTTAGAGGCAAGTAAAAAAAGAAAACCTGGCTTCATATATTTACCACATGCAAGTTGGTCGAAACGCTGTGTTAAACTGATTAGCGTATATTTACCACACGCAAAAGGTTAAAGCCAGTCCTACTTACGAGGGTTCACACATCAAAGACCAGAAAATACCACCAGCTTCCCCATTGGCAGGGAGTGCAGTGACAGGAAGCAGGTCTTGCTCAGGAACATTCCAGAAAGGAAATCTCCCGGGATCCTGAGGGGCCTGCTCGGCCTCTCTGTTCACTCTACAGGATCATTTGCAGGGTGGTCAAATTTGCAAATTCAACCATTAAGTGCTAATAAGACATCAGGATAGGAAAAAAATTACAAAAATACAACCATACGTGGAACTATAGGACTTATTAAATGTTCAAACCTTTTCTATCATTGAAATCCAGACTCCTTCTTGCTTGCGCTGTAGGAAGATCTAAAGCAACACACAGCAATATCTCCCGGCACGTTCAGCACAGGCAAGAACCTGCTTTCTGAAACACGTTTTTTTGTGAGTGATGGCTCGCGGCGCAGGTAAGGGGCCAGCTGTGACCAGGGTGTCTCGATGACATTGGGCAGAGGGCAGGGCTGAACCCAGGCAAAAGCATGTTTAGGCAGCAGGTGGGAACAGCAGTCAGCAAAGGTCACTATGAAAGGACAATCTCAGAGGCTGGAAAACAGAAGAAAGGAAGAAGGAATAAAGGTGAGAATAAAGGTAAGCTCTAAAAAATATGCATGGAATCTGATAGCCAGGAAACCCCTGGCCACAAAGGATTATACCAAAAAACAAAACATTACTGTATAACACCTACACCCTCAACAGCAGCTGCCAATGGATGGACTGTCACATCAAGAAGGCCTACGCATCTCTACTCATTCATAGGAAAATGGATACATATGGAAGATATACTCCTAAGTGAAATAAATAAGGCACACATGTGTAAATACTGAATAGTTTCTCTGGTCTGAATAAACTGCAATGATACATAAGATCCTAATAAGATTACTGACAATGTGAAATGGGAAGAAAGGGGCTAAAGGTGTAGGGAAGGTGGGATGGGTAGGGGAGGGGTAATAAGGGGAAAGAAAAAAATGTGAGAATAAAGAAAAGATGGAAACAAAGTGTTTGTAGGCGGGGAGGGGAAGACGGGGTGAAGGGAGGGCAGGGACAAAAAATAAATAAATAAAAATTTTTTAAAAAGAAGGCCTACGCAGGGCCAGGGATTTAACCCAGTGGTGCTGCTACCTACCTCACAAGTTCAACGTCCTGAGTTTGACCCCAGTACCAAAAAAAAGAAGGCCTATGCAACGGTCACACACACTGTGTCTTCTCTCTCCAGAGACACTTCCTAATAGATATATAGGCATATTTACTTTCACTGCTAACCCCATTTCGAAGCTATTTAATCTGGTTTTCCAGGTGGAGTACATTATATACAGCAAAAGTAAGAGTGTAACACTTCTAGAGATCACATTCTGAACACACCAAGCTGGGACCAGTACCAGCCTTACAAAACCAAGCCTAAAATTTCAAAGCCTAGAGGCCAGGTTATATAACAAGGGTTATGTTGCTGTGTGTGCTTCAATAGAGCCTAAAATGACACTGTGGTAGACAACAGGAAAGTCACTGATGTCCAGGAATGACAACCAAAAGTCACCAAGAAATGATACACTACTTAAAGGGGGAGGTGTGCCAGGTATAGTGGCACATACCTGTAATCCCAGCATTCGGGAGGCTGAGGCAAGAGGATCACTATGAGTTTAAGTCCAGCCTGGACTACATAGCAAGACCCTGTCTAAAAAAAAAAAGTGTCAGACCAAGCACAATAGCTCACATCTGTAATCCTAGTTACTCAGGAGGCTGAAGCAGAAGACAGTAATTTCAAGGCTAGCTTGGACACCTTAGCAAGACCTTATCTCAATAAAATAAAAAGAAAAGAAAAAGAAAGACAGAATAGAAGAGAGTGTTGTGTTGGGTTTCAGTGCATTTTTAGTGGCTCAGCTCCAAAAGGGCTCGCTGACACCACATGGAGAATGTAAGCACTCCTCCTCAATCAGCACCTAGGGGTCAGGAAGATACACTGCTCCTGTCACTGTGTTGTTGATCAGGATTCACAAAAACTTCAGGTACACGAAACTACTTGAAAAACAAGCTCTCCGTCCCTACTGAGTAAATGCACTGATCTCTTTATTTTATTTTTTTGGTACCAGGGATCGAACTCAGGTCCTTGTGCTTGCGAGGCAGGCACTGGAACCAGAGCTAAATTCCTGGCCCTGCACTGATCTCTTAACTTAAGACCTAGTCAGCTGCTCAGTGCCTTTGCTTCTCTGGCAAAAGACTGCTCCTACCTCAGAAATGCACTTTCGCCAGGTGTGGTGGCACAGGCCTGTAATCCCTGTACTTCAGAGGCTGAGGCAGGAGGATCACTGTGAATTCGAGACCAGCCTGGGCTACATAGTGAGTTCTAGGTCAGTCTCAACTATGTAGTGAGATTCTGTCTCAAAAAAAAAAAAAAAAAAACAAAAAAAAACGCTTTCAATGTCTTCCAGAACCAGGATGGAATCAGAGATGTTCCTTGTGCTTCCCACTTTCCTACAAGAAAACTTTTGGAGAAAAGTGATTTTCACAGTTTCACACTTCAGAATAACCACTTGCGACACAGTTTGTGGTGTGATGACACCTCTCTACACTCACTTCTGGTTTCTTCCTCCATCTTCCTGGAATTAATGAATCCTTCTATGCCATACCTAAGGAACCTACTGATTTTTATGAGGAGACACTGATAGTTAAGGATTTCAGTGGTGGTTACACTGATATTTTCCACTGGAACATACTTAAAAACATGAACTTGGAATCATTTATACACCCTTAAAACATGAACCACTCCTTCACAAGCTCATTTCATTTTACCTTCAGACCTGCCCACAAAAGCCCTACTGCTGAGTCAAATGCAGTAAAATGAGTAAATATTTTCGCTTTGGTGGTATTTTGTTATTGTTACTGATAGTTACTAAGACAATGGATTCCTCTAAGCTACAATACTGACCCAAACAGCAGCAGGGACAGACCCCGGCTGAACACCAATTCCCCGGTCACACACCATGGGACTGACTCATAATCTCATTGACAACACAAGCTGGTTGTGGTGTGCAGTCTATAATCCCAGCAACTGGAAGGCTGAGGCAAGAGGATCACAAGTTCCAGCCCAGTGTGGGTAACTTAGTGGGGCTAGGAATGTAGGGCAGTGTGAAGGCCCTGGGTTCAATCCCCAGTACCCCGGTACCACATGCACGCGCACACACACACACACACACACACACACACACCCCGAGATGCAGCACAGTAGGGAAGGGGAGGAGGTGACTGTGAAGAGGAGGAGGGGCGATGCAGGAATGGACATACCCAGGATGCACTGGGGGAGGGCAGTGCTCACTCCCAGCCACCCAGGGCTCACACAGAGCTGGTAAAGTCCAAGCAGACCCACAGGTTCTCCCCGCGGCAACTTCCTGCTTCTAGTCCCAGCGGCAACTTCCTGCTTCTAGCCCAGACTTGCAAGGTGCTACCCCTGGAGAAAGTGGAGCAAATCACCTACTCCACCTGATTTCTCTAAAGCACTTCTCAAAATTGTACGTGACTCTATAACAGTCTTCACACACAATCTGTATAGAGGTAATGATCACCACTGATGGCTCCCAACATTTTTATATTTCACTTTCAGTATATACAGAGATCCGCTGCTACAAACTCCAGGCTAATTTTCATTTAGAGGAACAGCAAATCAACATGTGGTGCACAAGAATCACAACATTGACTTTTAAAGTGAGTATTTGATTAGGATTGTCATAAATGCCTTAAATCAGAATAAAAAGATGGGCTCACCATTAAATCTACTCCAAAAACAGCCCCAAAACTTCCAATACTTGTAGTTTAAAATCATTTTAAATCAAACCACATTACCCTTACTTTACTGCTCTATTGATTATATTATTTTATTAATTTAGAAATGATGCATAACATTTATTGCATAACAATCTCTAAGTCAGGTTCTCAAAGCAAAGTCACCAAGGTTAGAGACTCCTCCTGTTATAGCTTGTGTTCAGGTGTCCCCCCCAAAGCCTCATATAGTCATAGGTGGGGCTTTTTCAGAGTGGCTGGATGTAGAGTGTGTGATGCTGGATTTGATGAATGGTGCATGATTCAGGGCACTAGGATTAAGGGTGTGAGTGCTACCCACCCTAAGTATCCTGGATAAGATATAAGGGATAGAGCTGTGGCGGTCCTTGCTTGTTTTGCTACCTTTTGCCTGCCATGAGCTGTTTCTCCTCTGATGCCTGTCTGCCACACCGCCCTGCCTTGGAGTCAGCTGATTATGGACTGAAACCTCTATGAACTGTGAGCTAAATAAATCTTTCCCCTTTAACTTTGAGTGTCAGATATTTTGTCTCAGCAACAAGAAAAATAACTAAGATTAAATTAGGTACCAGAGAAGTGGGGTCAGTGCTGTGACTGTACCTGATCACATGGTTTCAGAGCCTTTGGCACTGGCTTGTGGGAAGGGGAAGAGTTAGGAAAGGTTCGGAAATGCCAGCTGAAAAAACAGAGCTGGAATGTCTTAGGCTGAACTTAATGGAAGATTATAATCAGAGCTCAAAAGACCAGAATGCTGATTAAAATGCGCCGGTAAACACCAGACTCTTTCTGCTGGGAAGAAAGAGACTGAATCGGCTGTTACACTCCAGGTGAAGTGTGCTATGGCTTGGCAGAAAGTTTGTCCACATTTTTCTCATGTCCAGAGACTGACCAAGCCTGAGATTAAGGGTAGGGGACTAATTAATCTGGCAGAAGAAATTTCAAGACAGTTTTTTTTTTGGGGGGGGTACTGGGGATCGAACCAGAGCTTAGAAGGCAGGTGGCGGAACCACTGAGCTAAACCCCTGGCCAATCAAGACAGTTCTAATGTTGAGGTGGTGGCATGGCTACTGTTTGGGGCTTTTAGCCAGATTTATGTTGAGAATCAAGAACAAGGAGCCCAGAAGAATGATTTAAAACATTTTGAGTTTGGCCAGAAAGGAAGCTCCAGGAAAGCTGTGGACTGAAAAGACAGAGCTGAGATCTTGATTGCTGAGAACAAACAGAAGAAAAAAGTCTGAGGACCTCATAAGAACCAGCAGGACTCCACCTTTTGCAGCCTCAGAGTTGAAAAGGTGAAAGACTGCTTTGATTTGTGGGGTTTTTTGGGTACCGTGGATCAAACTCTTGACCTTGTTCTTGTGAGGACAGCACAGTGCCACTAAGCTGATCCCCAGCCCATTTGTGGTGTTTTTTTTTTTTTCATAGTAACAAGAATTGAACTCAGGACCTTGCACTTGCCAGGCATGCCCACCACCAGAGCTACATCCCCCATCCAAGACTGCAGGCACGGTCCTCAAGCTGGTCCCCGGCCCATTTGTGGTGTTTTTTTTTTTTTCATAGTAACAAGAATTGAACTCAGGACCTTGCACTTGCCAGGCATGCCCACCACCAGAGCTACATCCCCCATCCAAGACTGCCGTGAGAGTCCCAGAGCACCATGTTCCAGAATGATGCAGCCCAGGGAATTTGTTGCTGGGGATTTGGTTCCTAGGCCCTCAACTCCTACAGTCAAGACAGAAGGAAGCCTGGCCACTGCTCCAGCTGGCAGCAGACCCTGGCATCATCCACATGGCTCTGGTTTTAGATGCATGCAGAATGCAAGAGTTGTGAGGTCAGGAAAACTTCCACCCAGATTTCAGAAAAAGGCCTGGGAGCCCAGGCAGTACACCCTGTGGAGAGTAGTGTGTGAAGCTGAGAGTGTGAAGCCGAAGGTACAGTGAAGACCCCAGACGTTTGGAAAATCCAGGAACAAGGATCATCTGAGAAAAACTGCAAAGAGCAAGCAGAGCCAGCCCCAGAGAGAAGCCAAGGGAGCTACAACCACTAGCAGTGCCATGCAGCAGAGCCACCCAAGCTCTCTGGAGCTCACAACTTGCCACAGATTTCTGGGGATGCTAAGAGGGGAACTGTGGGATTTAAGGCTTGCCCTGCTGGATTTTGGTCTTGCTTTGTTCTCATTCCTTCCTATTCCCCCATTTGTAACTTTTGGAGTGGAAATGTCTACCTTGTGCCACTGAATATTGGAAGTGTTTAACTTTCTTTTCATCTGTACAAGGGCTCACAGAGACTTGGACTTTTCAGCAATGCTAAAACTGCTAGGACTTTGGCAGCTCTTAGAGGTGGACTAAGTCGCCTTTTGCATAAAGAGATATGCATGAATCTTTGGGGAGACAGGGGTAGAATGTCATGGTTGTGTCTAGATGGCCCCCAAAAGCCTCATGCAGTCACAGGTAGGGTTTTTTCAAAGGTTGGTGGATCTAGAGTATGTGATGCTGGGATTGATCCATGATGCAATGCCAAGTTCAAGGGCACCAAAATTGAGGGTGTCAGTGCTACCTGTCCTAAGTAGCCTGACAGACAGAGCTGTGGTGGTCCTCGCTTGTTTTGCTACCTTTTGCCTGCCATGAACTGTTTCTCCTCTGCAATGCCTGTCTGCCACACCACCCTGCCTTGGAGCCAGTCAATTATGAAATGAAACCTCTACAAACTATGAGCCAAAAATAAACCTTTCCCCCTTTAACTTTGGGTGTATTTTGTCTCAGCAACAAGAAAGGTAACTAAGACTCCTCCTAAATCCTCTGGCTTCTGAGGCTCCATCACAAATGTAGGCAGCACCAACTGCTTCATCTCCTGCAGAACACAGGAGGATCAGAGCCTAAACCCTTATCGGATATCAGTCACTTCAGGAAACAGGAGGCCAAAGCAGCATGCATCTACTCTCTTTTTCTGATGAGGAACATACTTAAAACATGAACTTGGAATTATTTATACACCCTTAGACCTGAGTCGGGAACCTCACACTCTGCTTCCTGTAGTTGCAGAGCCCTGCCATCCTCTCTTCCTTCGGACCCACTGGAACCATTACTTCATACTCAACAGATCAAACTACTAAAGGTCAAACTGCTGAGGACAAACCTGACTATGCTGTCCCCATGGCGGTTAAGATGCCAGGATCATGGAGAAGATAACAGAAAGGTCATGGTGGACTCCCTCTCCTGACTGTCCCAGCTCTGAGGACAGCCTAGTCCAGGGCTCCACCCAGGTTTGCCCTAGTTTGTACACACACACACCCGGAAGGGGAAGGACATGTATTGACCAAGGCAACCAGCCCAGACTGTGGGCAGGGAAGTCCATGGAGTAGGGGTAGGTGTGGAAGGAACACGATTAATATGTCTGATGTCTGTATAGTTATTTAGTTTCCCCTGAAAAAGGGGACATATGAGGATTATTTGAAGTAAATGACTTAAAATTAGAGTTTTTTAATGACACTACCAACACTTCCAAGTTCAGCACCAGAGAGTTAACAAAGGAGGATGAGATTGCTGAGCACGGTGGCGCACACCTGTGATCCCAGGACCTTGGGAGGCTGAAACAGAAGGGTCACTGTGAGTTTGAGGCCACCCTCAGCTACATAGTGAATTCACAGCCAGTCTGAGCTACACAGTGAGATCCTACCTCAAAGAAAGGAGGATGAGATCAATGCAATAGGGAGGACTTAACTTCAAGACTTATTTTAAAGTTTAAAATGTATTTCTTAAAGACTACTTATGATAATCTCATAAATACAGCTGACAGTTACCAAAAAATAAAGTACATGATTCATAAATATAATGTCCAGTCATTTGAGAGATGCAGATGAAAACAACACTGAGATCCCACCTCACCCCACAAAGAATGTCTGCTATCAGAAATCAACCAATAACAAATGTTGGCGGGGTTGTGGGGAGAAAGGAACCCTTCTCCATTGTTGGTGGGAGTGCAGACTAGTGCAACCACTATGGAAATCAATATGGAGATACCTCAAAGAGCTGGGACTAGAGGGTCCATTTGACCCAGCCATCCCTCTGCTGGGTATCTTTCCAAAAGAATTAAAAGAATCATACCACAGTGATATATGCTCACCAATGTTTATAGCGGCACACAGTTTGTAATAGCCAAAACTTGGAAACAGCCCATCTGCCCATCAATTGGAAACTGGATAAAGAAGATGTGGTTTTCCTATAAAATGGAGTACTACTCAGTCATAAAGAATGAGAAATTAGATTCATTCATAGGAAAATGGATACATATTAAGGATATACTCCTAAGTGAAATAAATAAGTCACACATGTGTAAATACCGAATGGGTTTCTCTGGTGTGAAAAACTATAATAGTACATGAGATCCTAATGAGATAATTGACCATGTGAAATAGGAAGAAAAGAGCTAAAGATGTAGAGAAAATGGGAAGGGTAGGGGAAAGGTAATAAGGGAAAAGAAAGATATGACAAAATGAAAAAATGGAAATAAAGTGTTTGTAAATGGGGAGGGGAGGAGGGGGTGAAGGGAGGGCACGAACAAGGGTAAAAAAATGAGAACCAAGACCTGTCATGTAAAGGTACAAGATCCCAATAATGAACGTAATTGTACTGTATACCTAAAATGTACCAATAAACTCAATAAAAGAAAAAAAAATAAATATAATGTCCATATCTTATTAGTAAAATTGAAGAACAAGTTAATAAGAAGGAAAAAATAATTCTTAGGTCATTAAAAAACTTTACAATGTTTGAGTTAAACCACTAGAAAAAGCAAGCATTTCACTAGTTAATTCAAACAGAGACCACTTTTTAAAAACTGGTAATGGATGCACAATAAGATGTTCTGATCCAAAGAATGAACAGAAAGATGCCCAAGCAGAGGCTGAGTCGCAACCTGTGAGCCACATTTCATGGGCAATGGGTGTTCAAACAGCAGCCGCACCTGTCCAGGCAGCACCAGGTGAGACCCGCAGGGGCAGAGCAGCAGGGGCCAGAGGAAGCACGCCAACCAGCTGCTTGTGCTGCAGCCAGGAAAGCCGAGAGGGGCGCGGGGGACTCCTGAATAAAAGACCTTTCAGCCGCAGTAAATATTCCAGTAGTGGGGAGCAGTAAAAAAATCCACACAGTGGAGCTGGGTGCACCACGTCTACCCACTCCCAAGGGTTGACTGAAGCCCCAGGACAGCACAAACCTTCCCTGTCCCCTCTACTTATTTGACTGGTTACTACCACAAAAATCCACGCCAAGAAGTTATGGAGGAAGGCGCCACCCAGGAATTTGAAGACCGACCTAGCTGTTTGTCGGTTTTCTTGGACACCTTCCAGACTCTCAGTTTAAGAAAAGGTGCTGCAGGACGCTGCGTATCTGCCCGGAAGGTAGACAGTGCACGTCTTCAAAGACACTGTGAATGACGCCAGAATAACGTGCATCAACGCAACACAGGGTAAGGCACAGATCCCACGAGACTGTAAGCAGCTGGGTTCAGGGAACGGAGTGAAACCCCAGGAAGGGGAGCCTCCGCCCGGGAAGACATCTGGTAGGGAAACTGCCAGGATACCCAGAAAGGGAGCCCCCGCCCAAGGAGAGACCCAGAAGAGGAGCCTCGCTAGAAGGAGGGACCCAAAACAGGGAGCCCCCCCAAAAAAGGAGGGACGTGGAGGGGAGTCCCGTGGCACTCACCGGCACGTCGGAGGCCGCACCCAGCACGTCCGGACTGAACATCAGCTGTCCCGGCCAAGAGCCCCACGGTGCCGCGTGCCAAGAGCTAGGTGGGGACTTTCCCCGCATCCCTTCCTCTGCAGTCGTGGGGCGGGACCCCGACGCGCAGGTTGGCCGCCGCCCTCTACTTGTGCGGAATCAACCGCTGCGCACCGAAAAAGAGGCGCGGCCCCTTTAAGAGGGCGGGGAGGTCCCGAAGGCCTCCGCGCGGCGCCGTGCATGCTGGGAGCTGGAGTTCCGCGGGCCAGCGGATCTTCCGCCTCGTCCCGGGGTCTCTTCCTAGAGCTGCGAGGCTCGCGAACCCTACGCTGTCGGGTGCCTCGGAAGCTGGGGTTCTGGTCGCTCCCAGAGGCGGTGTGTGCAGACCTGAGGGGCCGGGACGGCGCGGGGCATGCCGGGAGCCCGAGCGTAGCGGGTGCCGCGAGCCTGGCGACAATTCCCAGTAACAATGTTTTGCAGATTAGCAAGGGGTTTTAAATTCCATCATAGTTTTACCATTCTAGTCTTAAGGATTAGATCAGAAATTAGTTCAGCCAGATGTGGTGGCACATGCCTATAACCCCAGCACTCGGAAGGCTGAGGCAGGAGGATTGCTAGTGCTGCCCTCCTGCGGACACGCGCGAGGCCGGGCGGCCTCTGGAAGAGTGGGGCCGCGCTCGTGCCCAAGGGAGCGGTGAGCCGGGGCCGGGAGGAGAGCAGGACCCAGCCACCGGAAGCGAGGACCCACAGCGTGCCCGGGGGCCTCTGTCCTCGCTTAGCGGGCTCGTCCTGGAGCGTGGCTGGAGGAGAGCGGAGGGTACCTGGAAGAGCGGATTAGAGAAACGGAAAGCTAAAGCTGCTGCCTAGAGATGGGGCGGATGCGGGGGGACTCGCCGCGGAGGTGGGGCCCACAGACCCCGCTCCAGCGCAAGGTGCACAGAACAAACCTCAGAAGAACTTTAAACGTGCAGAGGTTAAAGATCCAGAAGCATGAATTCCCATCTCCCCTATCCCTGCTGATTAACTCTCAGCTCCGTGGAGCCTGCTCTATCCCAAAACAGAGTCAAAGTGATCTACAAGTTCATGTAGTTTATTTGATTCTAACTGTTGCCCCGTCGCCCCTCGTAAGTTGACCGGGGGTGGGGGATCTTGTTCTGTTAAATGTCTTTGTAAGGACGTTTTAAGAGCGCTTTTAAAATTCTTGTACAGTATAAAGATATTTTTGGGTACCTGGACTTTATCAGTGACTTTTCGCAAGGTCACAGTTGACATGTTTGAGGTGTTTGCTTGGTTTTTATTTGATGTTTCCAGGAGAATGCCCAGATTTTCATTTCAGGAATTTTGTATATTTTAACAAGTAACAAAAGGTTGAAAATACTCTCCTTTAAAAGTTTTTTTTTTAGTTTTCATAACACGGTAAGCCTCAGGTGAGGCTGTCAGCTCATGACAGGTAGGCTCCTGGTCCTGCCAGTTTGTAGACCCTTAGTTTAGCCTCTGATGGATTCAGAGCTCTCGTCTTTCGCCTTGAATTTGGGGAAAGAAGGTGTGAGACAGGGTCTGTATGTAGTCCAGGTTGGCCTTGAAGTCTTCACAATTCTCCTGAGTTCTGGGATTGCAGGTGTTTGCCACCGCCCCAGTCTTCCTTTAAGTTTTATAATCTGTAAGCCTTTCTTTCCTTTGAAATTTTATGCCACTTCCCTTTCCTACCAGTTGAACCTACATCTCTAGTCACTTTTGGACACGAAGCAAACATGCTCTTTAGACTTAGCTTTTGATTATTGTTTTAATCACTTATTTTATAGACAAACCTGTAAAAGATGACATCAAATTATGCAGCTTTGTTGACAGACCCCACGCTCTTCCTTATCACTGCTGTGCTCATGCCAAACTAACACCTTGGCTCCCTCTTGGGTCCAGGTTTAAGGGGGTGTCCTGTACAGATTAGGCAATTTAAGTGGATTGAATAGTGATCTATTTGTTTCTTTGTTTCCACTTCTACCTCCTTTGTAACTAAATAGAAATAATTCTAAACCACTTTGTACGACCTGGATCCATGTACCTGTATCTGCCACGTAGGCACTTTACACTGTGGATTTAGCTGTCACATCTCACATGGGTGACCATCGAGAGGTGATCCTCATGAGTAATAATAGTTCAGGTACCCCATCTTCCACATGTCCACATTGTGTTGGTATGGAGCCATTAGTGGGGAGACACTAGCACGTGGTCCAACCATCTGAGGGTGTGTGACTCTGCTGAGTAGTCTTGGGGGCTCTAGGGTGCTATCTGTATTAAAGTGGTACAATTCAGTGCTGCTTAGAACATTCACATTGTGCAGCTGCCACATGTAATTCCAAAACATTTTCATCATTAAGTACAGACCCTATACACACATTCACTCCAACTCAATCCTCCCCCTCAACCCTTGGCATCCATTCATCTACCTTCTGTCTCTACAGATTTACCCATTCTGGATATTTTATACAGTGAAATCATGTAACCTGTGGCCTTTTGTGTCTAGCTTCTATTTCTCAGCATATTTGTATACTTTTAAGGTTCTCCCACATTGTCATGTGTCATTACTTCATTCCTTTTTGTAGATGAATACTGTTCTATTATGTAGATATACTGATTTTATAATCATGACAGAACTTTTAAATCTTGTTAGTAGTTAGTAGTTCTGTAACCAAGATGCAATGGCTGTTCCTAATGGGGGGCTGTTTTGGAGTTGCATAAGCTATCAACTCCATAAAACGGTCCTGGCATTTTGTTTATCAGTTTATTATCATAGCATGTGATACCTATCCTAAGGTAAAGTTAGTCTTAGGAGAGAATATAGCCTTGAATTCTTTGTCTCCTTTTCATGGGCTCGCTTTTAGAAAATAATTTATTTAGTATATATTCCATGTATTTCTTAGACTCTAGATCAGGGCCACGTTACCGCAGACCATAAGCTAGCTGCTGATTATGTAAATAGTTTTCAGGTACAGTGCACATTGTCTGGACTGTGGCTTTCACCTTGCAGTGACAGAGCTGAAAAGCCACTAGAGACTGTGAGGCCACCACCCACAGTGTTCATCGTTTAGGCCTTTGCCTCAGGATCCTTAAGTATTTTTAAGCATGATTAGGGTCCCAAAGAACGTTTGTGTATGTAATAGTTATTGATATTTACCATATCAAATTAAAATGGGAAGTTTTTTTAGTATCTGACCTCATGAAAGTATTATTATTGCGTCTTTCATGTTCATTCATGATTTCAAGAAACATACAGGCCTGGAGGCCTGCCCTGCATGCTCAGCAGAGGCTGAGTAACAGTTGAGAGTGTTAGGAGACAGTTTTGTCATCGTAAAACCCCCAAAGGGCCCAGATCCCAGAGCACACTAGTGCACCATATGTCTGCACAGCGTCAGCTCACTCTCCTATTGAGTTTTGGTATCGGTACACATTTGGGCTGCCCTAGTGAAAACTCTGGAACTTGCTTGGCTGTCTAGTGTTGACCTTTGGTAAAGAATCAGTCTGTACAAAGAAGACATTGCATGTGTCCTTTTACAAAGGGCAGAGGGAGCCATTTCCTTAGGGTTTCAGGCCAGGAGGAGTGGTCCCACTTCTGAGCCCTGGGAGGTTTCTAAATCTACTAGAAGATATTTCCCTAACTGAACATATTTTCTTCTTTGCTATGGCACCTGGGAGGCTCAGAGCCCTGCTTTTCAGCCCATGTTCAGCTCTTGTACATTGTACACCTGTCTTTACACTAATCTTATGGTTTGGTTTGATTCTCCTTTCACCCCTCTTAATTTCTCATCTACATCTTATTATCCCTTCCTGTAAGTTATGATTTATTCTATGTTTCTGTAAACTCTTGCCTTCATTTGAAGATGTAGTGTAATACTCTTTAGTAAACGTTTCCCCTTAGGGTATTAGTGTGTAAAACATTTGTGTTAAAAAAAAAACCTATTGGTTCAATTCATTTAATATACAGATATTAGTAAGTCACTTTATTTTAGTGTTGCTTTCTCCAGGTTACCTTGAGAAGTGGAAATTTAAGCATCCTGTATCTGGAAGCCTGAAGATGTTATTCTGTTTCATTGCAGGCTATATATAGTACAGTTACTTGGCAGTTTTATTATTTATTGCAAACCCACAGCCTCTGCCCTGTCTCACATAAACGGACATTCTTGTTACTGGTATATCACTTCTCAGTTCCTGACAAGCATTCTGTGCCTACTTGTGACACTTTTCCAAGTCACTTGTAACACAAGTTCTAGTTGTATGTATATGTTTTCATCAATGTGGTTCTATTTTTCAAATGAAAGAAACTTAATAATATTTCCAGTCTGCACAGCCTCCTGGTTATAGACTGAACTGCTGGTTGTCCCTGTGATGACATCAGGCCCTACCTTGGGTGTTAGACTGCGCTAAGATTTTTAGGGGAAAAAGAAATATTACTACATGCAGAGAACTAATCAAAATTATTATAAAATAAAATTACTAAATTTATTATAAAATGCCGATTTTCATAATTCTTTGAAGATTAGACTCAAATAGTTGTTCACATTAGATGTTATCATTTCAATTTCAGGAAGCTATGCAGTCTTTTTTTTTTAATTTTGGTACTGGGGATTGATCTCTGGACCTTGTGCTTGCGAGGCAGGTGGCTGTGCAGTCTTTTTAACCAATGATGAACAAGGCTCTGGCTTCCTCTAAAGTGGAGTCACCCAACAAAACATTTAAGTCCAGTTAAAATGTAGGCATTCAGAATAGAGGCTGCCACAGAGGCTGCCACAAATGCTGTAGTCACTTCATTGGCTTTCCCGCTTCTTTTGCATCCCAAAGCATAAGCTTAAATCAACTCAGAAGGAAAAGGTCCGCCAGTTCATGGCCTGTACTCAGGCTGGTGAGAGAACTGCTGTCTACTGCCTAACACAGAATGAGTGGAAACTAGACGAGGCCACAGACAGCTTCTTCCAGAATCCAGACACATACTACAGGGAATCCATGCGGAATCCTGTGGACCAGAAGAAGCTGGAGCAGCTGTATGGCAGGTACAAAGGTAAGGAACACATGGCAAGAGAGCCAGACCACACATTGTCTCTGGTGACAGAGGGAAGAGCACTGTGTTAGATTTTTATCTCTGCGGCGTAATATCCAGTACCCACAACTTAAAGGAGAGGTTTATTGTGGCTCACAGTTTTAGAGGGTTCATTCCCTGTTTCACTAGCTCCAAGATAGGTCTGTCATGGTAGAAGGGTGCAGAGTAAAACTGCTGTCTTCATGGCAGCCAGGATCCAGGGCACAGAAGAATGCCTGAGGGGATGTGTCCAGGGACCAGATGTGGATCCCAGAGTCATGCTTCCTTGACTCACCCAGATACATCCAGAACCGTGCTTTACTAATCCCTTAGGCAGCTCGCAAGCCAGTCAAGTTACCAGTTATCACAAGAGTGTGTGTAGAACTTCTTTTGCCATGGACAAAAGGTCTCCAGGCTGCTGCTCCTTTTGAGTTTAGCTCCAGAATTCCATTTCTTCAATAAAGAAACTGGGGGTAAGGGAAGGGTACAAAGAACTGATCAGGAGCTATCCCTCACCTAACACTTGTTCTGTGCCTTGAGTGTGACATATTGACAACAGTTGGAAGTGTCCCTGTTTAGAAACTATATTCGCCCCTTTCTCGTCACTAGGACAAAATACCTGACACCTGCAACTTAAAAGGAAGAGAGGTTTGTTTTGGCTCACAATTTCAGTGGCTTCAGTCCATGGTCAGCTGGCTCTGAGATAGAAGCATCGTTGGGGAAAGACCTGGAAGAGGAAAGCTGCTCACATCATGGTAGCCAGAAACAGAGAGACAAGGGCAGAGTTGAGAAAAGAATACACCCAGGTCACACCCTCAGCTACCTGCCCCCTTTCCACCTGGCCCCACTCATATGAGGCTTTTGGGGACATTTTGGTTCTAAACAAGTGGTGGAGAACCTGTGGCACGTGTGCCTCAGAGGGCTGTGTGTCAATTGAAAGCTCTAAAAGATTCGCCATTGCTGTCTAAACTGTAAAAGGCTAGTGTCTCAGACATTCCTATGACTGATAACTTATTTTTCCCTAGCATTTCATGAGAGCAATTGTATAAGGGCCATCATCAGCCTGCCCCACATGTGCAGCAGTATCTACAACTTAAAACTTTTATTTAAATAGGTACTAGATCCAACAGATCATTTCCTTGGCCTTGCATTCTGTTATTTTGAGAATACTGTGTACTTTTTCCTTGCATGTTGCATTCTTTTTTTTTTTTTTTTTTTTTTTTTTTTTTTTTTTTTTTTGTACCAGGAATTGAACTCTGGACCTTGTGCTTGCAAGGCAGAGAGCAAAACCACTGAGCTAAATCCCAACCCTGAATATTGCATTCTTTAAACAAAACAAAACAAAACCCTTTGTTCAAGAACATACTATGTGGCTAAAAATACAAAACAACAACAAAAAAGGTTTTACTCGGTGTAGTTTTCAAAAACTGAAAATTGTTTCTTATATTTAAATTTTTTTGGCCTGTAAAACTAGCGCTTGGGAGGTTGAGGCAGGAGGATAACCAAGAGTTACTTTTTCTATTAAAAGAAATCAAACCCAAAGCCCCAGCAGTTTTTTAATGTTTATTTGTAAGTTGCCCAGGCTGCTCTTTATCTCAGCTTCCTGAGGAGCTTGGATTACAAGCGTATGCCACCTCACCCGGTAAAATCATTTTTTTTTTAAGGTTATCGGTACATTTTAGGTACACAATACAGTTACATTCATCATTGGAATCTTGTACCTTTACATGACTTGTCTTGGTTCCTATTTTACCCCATTCCCAGCCCTCCCTTTACTCCCTTCACCCTGCCCTGTTTACAAAGACATTGTTTCCATATTTTTCCTTTCTCATATTTTTTTTTTCCATTTTACCTTTCCCCTACTCCTCAAAGAAGTTTCAATGATTTTTCCTTCCTTAAAATTCAAACCTAAATTTTAAAGATAGTACTCTCTATGGGTTATTTGTTCCCCAATGGTTATTATGTAAAAAACTATAATCATTTGATTAACATATCTAAACTATGTAATAGAGTGGTGTGATCCTAATTACCTATTTTAGGATTACTTTTCAAAGTAGTATAACTTTTTTCCCCCTAATTTTAACTACAGATCCACAAGATGAAAACAAAATAGGAATTGATGGGATTCAGCAGTTTTGTGATGATTTAAACCTAGATCCTGCCAGTATCAGCGTTCTGGTCATAGCATGGAAATTCAGGGCTGCCACTCAGTGTGAATTTAGCAAAAAGGAATTTGTAGATGGCATGACAGAGCTTGGGTAAGTAAATTGTTCTCAATTTTAATTTTTTCAGAAAGAAAGATACATTCAGCATTTTTCAGTGGTTTCACATCGATGTTTTTTTTTTTTCCTCATTGAGTTTATTGGTACATTTTAGGTATACAGTACAGTTAACATTCATCATTGGGATCTTGTACCTTTACATGACAGGTCTTGGTTCTCATTTTTCCCCGTACCCCTGCCCTCCCTCCCTTCACTCCCTCCCTTCCCTATTTACAAAAATTTTATTTCAATTTTTTCATTTTCTCACGTTTTTTTTCTTTTTCTTTATTTCCTTTCCCCTACCCTTCCCACTTCCCCTGCACCTTTAGCCCTTTTCTTCCTATTTTACATTGTCATTTAACATCGATGTATTTAATTTGTATGTAATGTAAATACCTTATGTTATCTGCACTATTAGGCCTGTAGTTTCTTTTTCAATTCTAATTTAAAGTTTTATTTATCATCATTCGCTCTAATCCTTTTTATAATTCATTTTTTTTTTATTCTCTGCCAATTTTGAATAAACAGTATATATCAGGAGTCTTTTCAACCATTCAGTTTATTTCATAGTGTTGTAAACAACATAAATAATTTATTATGTCACTACATTAAACATTAATAAACTCATTTTGGTTTTTGTTACATTTCTCTATTCTACCTATACGTTTGGATTAACACCTTATTTCTTAATTACCAGATGAGCCATAGAAGTAAATGAAATCACCTCATGAACCTGTCTTTTAATCATTAAGCTCACTGAATTATTTCATGTGGTGGTGTAAAAGCCAACTTGTTTGACTTGCTAGTATTTCTGGATCTCTGATATGTCAGAATTGACGTCTAAGAACATCCTGCTTTTTGCCTAGTGTAAGCCTATAAACCTGTTCTTAAGGCCTCTGCTTGCTTTTTCCTGTGTAATATTTATCCTTGTGTGTTTGGACAGTAAACTCTATAAGACTTTCTTTATTGCTGTTGATACTTTCCTGGCAGCCATACTGAACCAAAGACACCATTCTGACAGTTGTGTGACCACATATTTCTTCATTTCTGTACTTTGGAAAGTACACCTGAACTACCGGTTCATTTGGGGTGGAAAACTCCTATGTAAAAGTGTTAAAGAATACATTCTTAGAAAAGACTTAAGCAGTCATGAGAAAGGAACTGATAAAATGTACTTTATCAAAGTTAAAGACACTGCTCATCAAAAGATATGTTAAGAAAGGGGCCGGGTATTTGGCTCAGTGGTTCCACTGCCTGCCTTGCAAGCACAAGAGGATAAGTTCAATCCCCGGTGCCACGAAAAAAAAAAAAAAAAGATATGTTAAGAAAATGAAAAAGTTAAAATATATGAGAAAATATTTACTAAATAAATATAATTTCCAAATAATAGAGAGAGAAATAGGATAACTTTAGAAATTCAACCAAAATGAATGTAAGCTTAGGCAGAACAGGCAGCAAGTGCATGGTGAAATGGGAGATTTAAACCCACAGGTGTCAGTGGTTATACAGTTGCATTAAATATTAGCTAAATGCTATATTTTTTAAAGCAGTTACTGTGTACACTGTTTACAATAAGTACACCTAAAATATAAAAGCACAGAACAATTGGAAAGGATAAAAGTTGATGTATTAGGCAAAGACTAATCCAAAACAAGTGCAGCTTTATTAATGTTAAAATAAGCTTTAAGGGCATAAAGCAGTTCTACAGATAACATATGAAAAAATATTTCATAATGATGAAAGGTTTGTTTTACCAGGAGAGCAATAGCTTTTATGTTTTTCTGTACTTAGTAGTTCCAAAATCTTGAAACCAAAAAAAAAAGTTCAAAGAGAAAGCTAGAAAATATGGAATTCTCAAACACTTCGTAAGAACTGATACAATGAGCAGGTTAAAAAGCAGTTTAAAAAATAGAAGATTTGGACAACACAATAAATGGCCTTTTAGGCATTTGTAGAACATTGCCTTTGAATAATATTCTTTTAAAAAATACAGAACATTCGTAGCAGTTGATCATAAACTGGGCCATAAAGGTGCAACCAATTGCAAAGGGTTTGAAGTGATAACAGGGTATGTTTTCTGGCCACAGTGCAGCTAAACTAGAAATATAAGGAAGTTAAAATATGTGTGAATAACATGTGTCTTGGAAAATAATTTATAATAGAAATTAGAAAACACACACTTAGAAATGAATAATAAAATTCTGATGTAAAAACTTGTAGGATTCAGCTTTTTTTTTTTTTTTTTTAATACTGGGGATCAAACAGGACCTTATGCTTGTGAGGCAGGTGACTGCGGCCCCGCTGAGCTAAATCCCTGGCCCAGGATTCAGCTTCTTGAATGTACATTTTAGAAAGAAAAAAATACTGAAAGTCAGTAAGCAGAGTGTCCACTTAAAAAGTAGAAAAAGAGGGCTGGGGTATTATTCAGTGGTAGGATGTTTGCCTGACATGCTCAAGGGCCAGCACTGAAAGAAGAGATAACTTGCAGGATGTTAAAAGATATGGAATACATGCCTTTCTAATGAGCAGTAATTTAATTAGCAGTAATGGGAATAATCATTAGCAAAGAAATTGTTGAAACAGTGAGTTAAACCAGATGTTTTGTTATTTGCAAAGACATAAAGCACTAAATAACTGGTAGCCAATGCAGAATAAAAAGAGAGGACGTTACTATGGATCCTACAGACATTAAGGCATAATTTTATTATGGACAACTTTATGGTGGTAAATTTGACAACTTATAAAATATAATTTACTAAAACTGACGTGAAGAAATAAGAAATCTTAATAGTTCCCTAAATCCTAGCATTTGAACTTGTAAAGTCTCCACAAGGAAACTTATGGTTGGAATGGCTTCATTGGCACATCTCTTTAATGAAAAGGATCACCAGTTTTAAACAACTCCTCCAGAGAAGAGAAGAAATCCTCCAGGTTATTTTGAGGCCAGCACTTGCACTTCCTGGAATAAGAAAAGCTAGGAAGAACATTGTGTAAGTGGAGAATTATGGCCACTCTCAGTCAAAAGACTCAGAACATGATAGCATGTGCCTACAATTCCAGCACAAGGGAGGCTAAGGTAGGAAAATCACCATGAGTTTGAGGCCAATCTTGGCTGCATAGTTCAAGACCAGCCTGAAGTGCATAGCAAGACACTTTCTGAAGAAAACCTCAGAACATTTGGTAAAATGAACATAAGATGTGACAGGATTAATCAACTAAATCTAGTTGCAAAGCCAAAGCAATGGATAAAAAGCTAGAATAATACATCATGATAGCTTGTTAGAATCAAGGAATACAAGATTCTTTTGATATCACAAAATCAGTGTAATTCACCACATTAACAGACAGAAAAAAGATCATCTTACTACCTAAAATAAATTAATAAAATTCAATATCCATGGTTAAATAAAAATGAATTGACTAAAAAGTTTTTAGTTTGACAAATCCAGTAAACATACTGGAATTTTTGAGATGGAGGAACAAAACCTAACATAAATCTAATTAAATGTAATAGTGTAACAAAAAAGAGTGAATTTTAGTGTTACTTTCGGTATCATCAAAACCTCAAAATGCTGGCCAGGGATTTGGCTCAGTGGTTCTACCACCTGCCTCACAAGTTTGATCCCTGGTACCAAAAAAAAAAAAAAAAAAAAAAAACCCTCAAAATGCTTAAGATAAATCAGATTAAAGATGTTTGATAAGACAGTAACTCATTGAGGGATAGGAAAGATCTGAGACATCTTTTCCATCAGTGGTCCTGAAAGAATTGGTTAATTATAGGGAAAAAAATCTTGATCCCTCTCTCACCATGGATGAAAATCAATTTCAAGTGATTATAGACCTTGATCCCAAAGTCAGAAGCAAAGCCTCTAAAAATAACTTCAGGTCACACAAAACATCAAGGAAGTAAAAAGGCAATTCACATTCTGGTGAGAGTACTTTTAAAATACCCAACTGATAAAAGCTTGTGTCTGTAAAGAATTCTTGCAAAATAATAAGATGCCTGATTAAAAAATGAATAAGTTCCTACAAAAGGATGTGCAAATGGCCAGTGAAAACATAAGAAGCTGCCTCATTCACTGGGGAGCTACAGGTAGATGGAACCCCCATCAGGGCCAAGGATGTAGCTGAGTGGCACCATACCTGCCTCATGAGTGCAAGGTCTGAATTCTATCCCTTGTACCAGGAAAAAACAAAACAAAACGAAAAAAAAAAACCTGCCTTCTGAGTTGACTAAACACAGCAGCGGGTAATGGGGATGGGGCCCTCTGGCATGCAGAGGACCTGGGACCCAGCCACTCCTCTGTGAGATGGATCCCTGGTAGAATGTGTTCATATGTGTACTGAAGTAGATGTGCAGAAACCTGACGTTACTTGTGATTAGAAGACGAATAGCCAGACAGTTCGCCAAATGCTGGGATTCAGCATGGCAAAAACAATGAAGGAGCTGGGGTGAGGGATGTAGCTATGCTGCCTGGCAAGCGCAAGGCCCTGAGTTTAATTCCCAGTACCAAAAAAAAGAAAAAGAAAATGAAGCAGCATCAGCAAACCTCATTCACAGATAGACACAGGGCAGAAAAGACAGACACAAAATAGCATACTGCATCCCCAGTCACATAAAGCACACAGGCTCTGGGGAGGAGCTCTTAGAGGGCTGGGGTAGACCAGAGTAAGGAAGGCTACTGCTGCATCTCCTGCCTGCCATGCCATGAGCTGTATCTCCTGCATTGCCCCTCTGCCATGCCACCCTGCCTTGGAGCCAGCCGATTATGGACTGAAACCTCTACAAACTGTGAGCCAAATAAACCTTGCCTCCTTAAATTTTGAATGTTGAGAATGTTGTCTTAGCAAAGAGAAAAGTAACTAAGATAGATTTGGGTACCAGAGAAATGGGGGTCTTTGCTATGATTCTACCCGGCCACATGGTTTAGGAACCTTGGGCTGAGGAAGCAGCCCTGGGATGCTGTAACCTGAATTTGATGGGAAATTCTGGTCATATCTCAGAAGAGAATGCTGATAGAAACAGCCAGTAAAGACCAGGAGGATTGATTTAGGAGCAAAGACTACATTGGCTGTTGGACTCCAGACTATATATGCTATACTTTGGCAGAAAATTTGTCTGCATTTTTCTCATGTCCAGAGACTTCACAGGAGAATGAGATTAAGTGCAATAGACTAATAAATTTGGCAGAAGAAATTTCAAAGCCATCTAATGAGGGCTTTTAGCCAGCTATGCTCTGGGTTTGGCCAGAATAGAAGCTCTAGTAAAGTTTTAGACTGCAAAGAAGGAGAAGAGGAGAACTTGGTTGCTGAGAAGGAACAAGACAATAGAAAAGATGGCCTGAGGGCACCACAACAACCAGCAGGACTTCAGCATTTGCAGTCTCAGAATTGTAAAGGTGTAAGACTGCTTTGACAAGATAGCCACAGAGCACCATGCTCCAAAATGGTGGCAGCCTAGAGAATTCCTTCTTAATTGGGTTCATAGCGCTCAGCAATCTAGGCACTCAACCCCTACAAAAAGTGAAAGAAACCTGGCTGCAGCTGGCAGCAAACCCTGGCATCATCCACGTGGTGCTGATTTTAGGTACATGCAATACACAAGAGTTTTGAGGTCAGGAAGGCTTCTGCCCAGATCTCTGAAGAAGTCCTGGTAGGCCAGGCAGTATACCCTGGAGAGAGCAGTGTGTGAAGTCAAAGGTTTGGAGAAATCAGGACAATGGATCATCTGAGGAAAGCTTCAAGGAAAGAGCAAAACTGGTCCAAAGAGAGGCTGTGAGAGCTACATCTCCTGACAGTGCCATAGGGGCTGAGCCACCAAGCCCTTTGGAGTTCAAATCTTGCCACAGATTGCCCTAATCGCTAGACAGACCTATGGGACTTAATGTTTGCCCTGCTGGATTTTGGACTTGCCTTGGTCCTGTTCCTTTCTATCCTCCTGTTTGTACCTTTTGGAATGGTAATGTTTAGCTTGTGCCATTGTGGCCTGGCAGCACTGGACAGGCTGCAGAGGATCCTAATGGACGCCACTCCTTGCCCTTTGAAAACTAAGTCAGGGGCCTGGAATTTAGTTCAATGGTTCCGCCACCTGCCTCGAAAGTGCAAGGTCCTGAGTTCAATTCCCGATACCCAAAAAAAAAAAAAAACTAAGGGCTGGATTTAAAGTTGGGGAGTGGGGAGGAGAAGAGGAGGGCTCCACACACAGTGCTGCATGGGATTGGTAACAGGTTTCTTACCTACGCACCACTTTCCCATGAGTGGTAGTGTTTGCCCCGAGAACAGGTTGCCGATGATGCTGGGCATAAAATTATGGAACTTAATGTTTGCCCCCTGGCTGTTGAACTTGCTTTGGTCCCATTCCTTTCTATCCCCCTATATGTACAATTTTGGAATGGGAATGTTTATCTTGTGCCATTTTATTTTGGAAATGTTTAATTTTCTTTTCATTTGTAAAGAGGCTCGTAGCTAAGAGTTTGCCTTAAATCTTAAAGTTCAAGTCTTTGGACTTGAACTTTTAAGCAATGCTGAAATTGTTAGGACTCTGGCAACTCTTAGAGAGACTAAATGCTTTTTGCATAAAGGGATGTTCATGAGTCTTTCGGGGGCCAGGGTAGAAGGTTATGTCTTGTATCTATGTCCCTCTAAAACTTCATGGGCTCATAGCTGGGGTTTTTTGAAGGTGGCTGTATTTAGGACAGTGGTGGTGAAACTATGAAACGTGTTTTTTGTTTTTCTAAGATAAAAGATGCTAGTGTATGAGTTGTTTTTTTCTAAACTAAAACCTCACTATTCAGGTTTAATTGCACTGTTGGCACTTTGCAACAACTAAGTGGGTTTTGGGTTGTAATTTGGGCACTCATCTCTAAAAGGTTCGACATCACTAATCTAAGTTGTGTGAATGTTGATTAAGGCTATGTGGATATGAACTACAGGTGTAATAACTAAAGTAGTCCGCTAGTTGGTTTCGCATAGTTCTGGGTGTGGAGACTGGGAAGGCCCACCCTGGGTGTTGGTGGCACTACCCAAAAGGTTTGTAGCCTGAAGGCTTGCTGCTGCTACTTTGCTACTGCTGCTGCCTCCTGTCTGCTTTGCCATGGCCTGTTTTTTTGTTTGTTTGTTTGTTTTTTTCTCCTCTTTGATGTTCCTGTGCCATGCCGTGCTGCCTTGGAATCAGCCAACTATGAATTGAAACTTCTACAAATTGTGAGCTACAATAAACCTTTCCTCCTTAACAAACAAACAAAAAAAAAAAAAACTAAGGAAATGACTAGTGCCAATGTCTTGAGGGGCGCTGTGGGGAAGCCCTCACCGCTGGCCTGCATGTGCATGGGCCAGGCACTGTTGTGGAAGCCAGTGCTGTGTATGGGCTCTTGTGCATGTGCTCATGGACTTTCCTGGCTCTTCCTAGGTGTCTCCTATTCTCTTTGCTGAGCTCTGCTTTACTTGGAAGTAGATAAGTGAAATATAGCATTGTCTGTTATTCCCAGGCAGATGAAATAAAAAAGGGAAGCTTTTGTTCCACTGTTCTACATTTCTGCCTTAAAGGCCGGATGTTTTTATTGGATTATATTTAATTTTCCTTTTGCAGTGTTGAGAATTGAACCCAGAGCCTCATGCATGCTAGGCAAGTGCTCTACCAGTCTCCCATTCCCCCATCCCAGTCTGACTGATATTTTAAGTTTTTTACTTTTTGAAGGAAAAGCCAATTTTAAAACAATACAGGTTTTATAGTAGAGGTTTCATAATAATTGCTGTCGTAAATCTAGCCCCCCACAATGAAGAGGCCCGGAAATACTCAGGAATAAGGTCTGTTTCCCTTGTGTGGGCAGCACAGAGACTGCAGTTGCCCAGACTGGTTGGGGGCCCAGTCCTGAGGTCACTGAGCTCCCCAGGATGTCCATCCTGTGACTGTATCTGTATCATCTCTAGGGCTTTGGCTTCTCCACGTAGTCACAGCTACAGAGCTAAACTGCCCTAGTCTGCCTCTTAATAAGGGGACAAGTGGTTTTGGGCTTTTCTTTGAACAGTTTTACTGAAATATAATTCATGTACCATGCTTTCACCTGCTTGATGTTTACAGCTCAATATTTTAGTGTACCTACAGCTTTATAGGCATCACCATTTTGAGTTTCTTTGTGCAAGAGAGTTGTCGTCCACCATGGTCCATTCACACCCCATCCCTTAGAAGTTAACCTTGTTGCTCCAGAGTATAAGAGAAGCCAGGAAGTGCAGCTCCCACCGAGCAGGAAAGGAGTGTTAGGGGCCTGTCTGCCACAAGTAACAGACCTGTTTCTGTCATCACAGGTGTGATAGCACAGAAAAGCTGAAGGCTCTTCTGCCCAGATTGGAACAGGAGCTTAAGGACTCTGCAAAGTTTAAAGACTTTTATCAGTTTACCTTTAGCTTTGCTAAGAACCCCGGGCAAAAGGGTTTAGGTGAGTATGAAATCCAAATGTGCTCCGGTGTGAGGCCTGGCTGAGGTAATGAGTGGATATAGTCAGTATGATGTCAGCACAGGCTGTGATATTGTTGCCCTTGGTTTGGCATCTTTCTGTGCTTATTCTTATACCTGAAAATATCAACCAGTTGTGTCTCTTGACTTCTGGGTGTTAGTATTTAAATTTTTAAGTGTAAACTAATTTGCAAGTGTTTCATACCTTCTCATTGGTATCTCATTGACTAAAGTCAGCAGTTGCAGTTGATAGTCTTAGTGTTTAGAACTTGTTTTCCTGTGTGATATTTTGCCAGCTAAGTCTGTGACAGGCCTGGAGAGTTAAAAGTTGGCTTCTGTAAAACTAGTCTCCTGTGTACTGAATTGCACTTTAGTCCTCTCTCTGAGCTGTATTACCTATATGTTTTATTATAAATTATACATCTGTGTGTGTATGTTTGTGTGTGTGTGTGAGTTATGCATATTAGTAATATGGAGTAATTGATTCAATTTGGTATTGATATATGCATATAAGATTTGGACTATTTTCATCCCAAGTACGCCTCTGCCCTCTCCTCATCTCTAAAAGTCTACTTTCTAGTTTCATCTCAGAAGTTTTCAACTTAAATTATCAGTTTGAGATTTTGGTTTATTTGAGGTTTGGTGGGTGTTTTTTGTTTTGTTTTATTTTGTTTTTTGTTTTGCTTTGTTTGGAGGGAGTTGCATCCAAATACTATATGGTTTATTTCTGCTTTTTCTCCTAAAAATCTATGTTGACCTATACTTGGTTGCCTAGTGTATGTAACAGTCTTTGATAAGTTAAATAAAATCTCACATGTTTTTAGGGAGGAGTGTAAATAGGAATTAAACTGGCATATTAGAAAGGTATGCTTTAAAGAAAAACTAAATAAAAGCAGTATCATAAGATGACAGAAATTAACAGGAAACCATAAAACCCTTCTAAACATTCTAGGCCACGTGCAGAGATGCTGTTGGCCATAGACATTCTTCTTTCCTGTCCTGTGCCATCCTCCGCTCCTACATTTGTTGTCCTGTCAGTGTGGGTGCAGACCCAGGGCACCAGAGCAGGCAGGCAGCTTTCTCTTCCTAGATATGGCAGGGATTCTTCCTCATCTTCTCGTTTGTTTTAATGTTGATGCACTGGACTATGACAGGTTCCTTTGTTGAGCTTCTTCCTCTCATGTCTATTGCACCTGTGACACTACCCTTTACCCACGTGCCTCCTCTCATCTCAGAAGCAGTGCTAAGGTGCCAAAGAAAACCTTCCTCAAGATGGAGTTTGTCTCCTGCCCCAGGGAAGCTCACCTGACAGCTCCCCTGAAACTCAGAAGGCCCCATCAGTTTCTGTGGAGAGTGAGGATGTGTTTATCCCTGTTCTAGAGATGCCAGGGTCTGGAATGCAGCTCTGCAGTAGAGCATGTGCTCACTATGTGCATGGCCCTGCGTTCAGATGAGGCATCTGTGGGGCAGGGAGAGGCTGATCGGCTCTGCAGAAGACACAGGGTGGATACTTGCAGGCCCAGCCTCCCAGCCACAGCAAAGGCTTTGATGGGCTTTGAAGACAAGACATGGCTCTGGTCAGGGTGGCTGTGTCCCCTGCTGTCCTGAAGTCTTCCTTATCTGCAGTGTTATTAACAACGTGTTGGGTTCCCCAACTTATTATTATCATTACTCTGGCAATAACAGGATAGAAAGTCTGGAGCAGAACCAAGGTGGATCTGACCCCAGTGAGATCCAGCTCTGTTTCTGAGTACTGCTGCCCCTGTTTAGACTGCAGACTCTCAACATACCTTGACTCTTATTTCTGAGCCTGGCAGCAGGGTTTGGGTGACTGCTGTTGAGCACAGGATCAGAGAGGGGGCAGTGATTGCGGAGGGAGGGGGTCTTGGGAGCCGTGGGTCAGCTCTGGTTACTTTGTAAGTTTCCAGCTATATTGAGGTGCTTACTTTGCCAATCCTGGGTTGATAAAACATTATAGCGGTGGTGCAAATCTTAAATTGTAGAAGCTGTACTCATCAGCTTTGCCACAGCAGACTAGTCAGATGACCTTGTATGGATGTCCAGCTGTGTGCCAGCGTGTAGGGTGGCTGAATGCCCGACTACATCGAGCCACCAGGGACACATGCTTAACTCAGTCTGTTCCTCCCTGGCAGCTGCCCCAGGGGCCTGCCAGCTTCCTGTTTCATCTTGTGGCAAGACCTCAGTAGCGTTCGCTGCTCTTGAGGCTGGAGGCCCATTTTCTAGCTGTCTTTGCCTGGGACCCTCCAGCAGCACTCTGCACCCACCTTGATCCAGAAACTTGTTGAGGACTGCAAGGTGATGGCATGTACCCTTTTCTTTTCATTGTTAGCTGGACTGCTCAACTATAACTGATCTAAGTGAGAAAGTAGCAGAGCTGGGTGTCCTGATCTCCAGTAGTATGTGTCCTCCGCGATTTGGCTGTTGTTTCCCAGTTCCTCCGCAGGCAGGGTGATGCTCACGCTTTAGCTCAGGTTCTGAGCTGCCAGCCATTTACGTTTGCACTCAGCCTTCTTCACTTTACAACTTCATGTCCTTTTTTTCAGCCTCAGTTCTCAAGGGTGTGATGAAGACAAAATTAGTTGGTCACATCAGTATTCATTTGCTTCTTCCCATATCAGTGTACCACAGTCTACAAATAATGATGCTACGGCTGTCTCTTTCAGTTAAGGTACAGAACTTGGGAGTCTAAGATAGGAGGATGGCCACAAGGTCAAGGCCAGGCTGAACTGCATAGGGAGAGTTTGTCCTAAAAAACAGACAGAGTATATATTCTCCCCCAGTATAAAACTCACATGGTTGTATCGCCACTGTCTGAGCACGTAGCCACCTCTCCTTCCTGCCCAGGGCTCATGGCTCTAGACCCTGTAGCTGTAGAGCTTGGGTTCTGCTTGCTATTTTCCCATGTAGATTTGTTGTAAATGTTGCCTACAGGTTTGGCTTTGCTGTCTGATTGCTTATCTGCACCAGCAGCTAGTGCACTCTGTTCCCCTGGGTTTGGAAATGGTTCTTCAGGACTAGCTTGTTGGGAGGAGTTTTGTTGCATGTGAATCCTGGCCTCATACTTTTATTTGAATATCTTAAATGTTTACTTCCTCTGACAACAACTGCTGTTCAACCATCTGATGATGATCGGGTTTCCTTTTCCTTGTGACTTGCTGGCTGTTTTCCCTAAGTGCCCAAAGAGGCCTTAGCTTTTTTTCTAAAGTGAAGTAAAGTCATTTACTAAGATGTGTCTGGGTGCTGCTCACTCAGGACCAGTGTTCTCAGATAGGGGATGTACTCTTCAGTAAAGGTGCCTAGTTCCCCCCTCCAAGGGGAAAGTGGTGTTGGATGGCAGTTGTTATGATCTACTCTGCTTCTAGTGCTGGTTTCCCCTAGAGACCAGGGCCCCCCTAACAAGAGTCGTATCTCTACCTGTCACACGTGACCCTCCTCAGGTCTTTCGTATCTGAACGTTATATCTTTTGAGTGTATTTTCTCCCATGCTCCTTCTAGTTTAGTAATTTTGAGGATGATTTTTCCTTCCTTTCTAATTGTTGAATCTTAGCCCCTAATTTCTGATTTTTCCTAATTATGATTCGTGGCATTTCATTTCCTGTCTCTTAGCCTATTTTCAGGCTGAAATTAATTATATTCTGTTGTCTCCCTCTTGATGGATTTCTTGGTGTGCATGCATTTCTGTTTTGTTGTTTCTTTTCTTGTTAGGTGAATGCTTATGGTAGTTGATGTCTGTGCTATTCTGCTATGTGTTTTTCTTTACTTTTATTTTATTACTTTGTTTTGTTTTGACACAGGGTCTCACTATGTAGTTTAGGCTGGTCTTGAACTCATTATAGTAGGAAAGAGCTGGCAGAGAGAAAAATCAAGGACAGGAACAGTTTCAGGAAGCAGACATCACACTTTGCATACATGTGCACATGTATGTGTGCAGGTATACCCTCCCAGAAGAGTGAGCTGTGTGAAGTCAAGAAAAGCTATCCTGAACTAGAGGAAATCCAGAAACACTAGTTCATATAAAACACACAACAAGGCCGGGTGTGGTGGTGCACACCTGTAATAACTGCACTCAGCAGGCTGAAACAGAAGTCTTCAAGAGTTGGAGGGCAGCCTGGGCTATATAATGAGTACCAAAAAAAAAAAAAAAGAAAAACAAAACCAAACCCAGTGGGGCAGGGATTTAGCTTAGTGGCACCATGCTTGCCTGGCAAACGCAAGGTCCTGAGTTTGATCCCCAGTTCTGGAAAAAGAAAAAAACCCAAGGTGACTCCCAGTGTTATGCAGCCATCCCCAATGCTATCCTCAGAACCCTTCCCTTTTCCCAAACTGAAGTTCTTCTCCCTGGCCCCTTCCCAGCTCCTGGTACCCCCTCCACTCTGTCTCTGGCTACTGTAGCAGCCTTTCTATCAATGGAGCCATACAATGTCTTTCTGTGACTGGCCTGTTTCACTGGTTTCCATCCATGTTGGGGCATGTGCCAGAATTTCCTTCCTTTTTAAGATTGTATGATACTCCATATATGTAGATATAACATTCTGTTTATTCTTCCATTGAATGGACACTTGAGTTGCCTCCTACCTCTTGGTGTTATGAATGATGCTGCTTTGCATATGGATATGCAAGTGTCTTTTCGAGTCCCTGTTTCGTTTCTGGATTGCATGGTAATTCTGTTTAGTTTTTTTAAAACCCTTGTTTTTTTACCCCAGCAGTTACATCATCTTTCTTCTTTTCTTTATCTGTGCTATAATTCAGGGCCTCACATCCCAGACAAGTGTTGTACTACTGAGATACCCTTTCTTAAAATATATTGAGTCAGGGTCTTGCAAAATTGCCCAGGCTGGCTTCAAGTCTCCCCTCATCCTGCTTCAGCCTGCTGAGCAGCTGAGATTGTAGGTGTGTACCACATGCGTGGGACTTTGCTCTGTTTTAATAATAGTGTCCTGATGAGGACACTATTGTGTTTTTATGAGGTGATGTGCTTTCGTTGTTGTTGTTATTTATTTTGCAGTGGTGAGGATTGAATCCAGGGCCTTGGGCATGCAGCACTCTTATCGCTGAGCCACGCCCACAGCCCTGTGAGCTGAGTGTTTACTTTGGGGGCAGATCTTAGTTTTAATCTTTCCTATCTCACTAGTCTTTCCTGAGAGGCTGAGGCACAGTAGTTGCTACAGTTTAAGACTTTTAAATTTGCCCATCTTTAAATGCCAGCAAGTGAATAGACAACAGAGTAATAGCCCTTGTGTCCTTATCATGCCTAAAAAGGCTTGACTGTCCCATAGGACAAGGGCCCAGACTGCATGGGGCAGTGGCCCACGTTATCTCATCTTCTGCTGCAAGGTCTTGCTCTGTGTCCTGAATTATTTCCCTGGTAGTGCTCACCTGCACAAGGTCCAGCCTCCTGTGCTTCCCCCAGGTCTGGTGTCATTATTAAGTATTTTCCAAATAGGAATGTAATGCTTTGCCTTTAGCTATTTAATTCTGAAAGGCTTACCTGTTTCAAGGTGATAATAAGTCTGATCCATGTTTCTGAATAACAGCAGTCCTTTATTGGACACTTTGAAATGTCAGTGAATGATAAAACCATCTTTTCTTATTTTGGGGGAGGGGTGGTGCCAGGGATCAAACTCAGGACCTTGTGCTTGTGAGGCAGGCATGGTGCCACTGAGCTAAATCCCCAGCCTCAATTATCTTTTCTTAGTATTTTCTTCTGTCACTTCAGTATCTTCACCATAATCTTACCAGGGATCACTCAGGACCTTGTGCTTGTGAGGCAGGCATGGTGCCACTGAGCTAAATCCCCAGCCTCAATTATCTTTTCTTAGTATTTTCTTCTGTCACTTCAGTATCTTCACCATAATCTTAGGGTAATTTAGCTTCTGTTAGAAATTGGTCATTTAATTTGAGATGCAAGACTATGTAGTATATTTAGGCTCTATTTTATAGATTTTCTCAAGGAACACGCAGCAGAATAAGTCAGGGAAAACTATAGCACATATATAGATATAGATATTTCCTTTCCTGGAAACAAAGGACTGTCTTCTTTTGTTTTATTGCTCTAGAAACTTAAATATTTTTAGAATCATTTACTTGAGATTTAGAAGTTACTGATTTTGTTTCTTTATTTATTGTGGGTAAGTGAAAGAATGTATAGATATTCCTACCTCAGCTTCCCAGAGGACTGGGATTACAGGCTTGCACCACCACACCTGGCTGCACACACTACCTATCTTTAAAAGCTTTTTGAGGGCTTTGTTAAAAGAGAAATAATGGAAAGAAGAAATTTTATGACTGTCTACTAAAGGAGAGTGACCTATTCAGCCTTTCCAGATGTATCACTGCATGGTCTGTCTCCAGAAGAATCTGTATGTTGAATAGATGGGCATGTGTGTTCTCTCAGCTTCTAGAAGAGATGCAGACAGCAGTGGGAGGTAGCATTGAGAAAGCTGTGAGCTGGTCTTCCCTTATGTGTGTTTGTCCATGTACATGTCAGGATTTTATGTACTGTGATGTTGTGTTTGAAATGGGATCTTGTGCTGACCAGGCTGGGGACTCAAGGGTTCCTCCTGCCTCATCCTCCCAAATCTGGGACCATACGTTCCATCCACCCTGTGTGTGTGGTTTTTTTTTTTCGGTACGGAGGATTGAACTCAAGTCCCTGCACTTGCAAGGCAGGTGGCAGAACCACTGAGCTAAATCCCCAGCCCCACCCTGTGTTGTTTTTATGTAAAATTATTCTTTACCTTATACTTAACTAATGGTCATCCTAATCTAAAGGTTAATTAAAGGTCCCTGATTCTTTGCTGTGTGAAGGATTGAACCCAGGGCTGTGGTAGGAGAGCACTCTGACATGTGGCACGCCTGTGGCTGACTCCTTGGGACATTCCTGCTGGCTGGATCTAGTCATGTGGCCTAGAGAATTTTGCCTTTCAAGGATGTAAAGAATCCCCTAGTTTTTATTAAGACCCTTTTCTAACAGAGGGCCTGTCTTCATCGTCTAACCCGAAAGGAAGCATTATAGGCATAGATTTGAATCAGTCATTCCTCCTTGTGATGTTATCTCAATCAAGAGATGAGCACTGGTCAAGGTTCTTGGGGAGAACATTGCTGCCTGGAACATGAAGCACTGGAGTCTCCACTGCCCGGATTTCAGTCTCAAGCTTTGGGGTTGTGTTGTCATTGTTATTTTGCAAATGACTAAGTCCAATGGGACAATGGGACATTTTTACATAGATAATATTAAATATTGGAAATACATGCATTTGCTTCTCAGTTCTGTGATTTATCCATATCCAAAGCAGGTTCTTTATTAATAAAAAAAAAAAAAAAAAAAAAAAAAAAAGATTGCTAGGACCGAAACTAACCCAAAAGTAACTAGATTTTAAATGTATGCCATAAAACTATTTTTTTTTCCTTCCCAGGTTCACCTCCATTTCCCAATGTGAGCGATTTACTTCATTAAGATGAGTTGAATATAGATTTCAATTACTGTTCCTCCTAAGTGATAAGGATGTAGACTTGTAAGCAGGACAAGACTAATCACCCTAGCCTTACACTGCGGGGCCCATAGGTAAGGCTTAGAGAGCACCTCCATGCACCCCTCACTTGGAACTTCTGTCTCTGCCTGTCTTTGTGATCGAGACTCCTGGGTGCTGCAGCCCGAGCGGGTCGTAAGGAGCCCATGCAGGCACACATAGGAATAGGTGTTTCATTGAAAGTTGGTTGCTGCTCAGTCATCTCTTGCTTTTCAGTATTGGTGATTAACCCTGGGAACCTCAAGTGAGGCCTCCACCTTGAGTCATTTCTGTCCAAGTGGGTCCAAAACAGATTTAGAAGAAGATCCTTTGAAAAGTGTTCAGTTGGATATTTTGCACTGAAACTAGCCTGTTACCTTAATTTATCAGTCTGCTTTTCACATTAGTTTATGTGACATACTTACATAAAAATTAGGAAGTTATTTCAACCTAATTCCCCCTTTATTGCCTACCAGTGAGGAACACTGAATATTCAATGTGATTAAAGGTAGCCAGTTTTAAGAAATAAGCTTCTTAGCCCTTTTAATGTCCCTTGTATGCAAGCATGCAAACAAGAGTACTTCCTAAATTTCCAGTGAGCAGAGAATAAATCAGGACTCAAACCATTGTGAATTGGAGATCCTGTTCTCATGCAGCTTGCAAGCTCAGCAGATATTGTCCCTTAAAGCGAGCCCCCTAAGATCAAGTTGTCTCTGCTTTCCAGTCAAGAGAAAGGAAAGGCATTGGCTTTGGTTGATAAGCAGCCTAGAGTTTTAAATATCCTGTCTGTGAAAACCCTTCCTGTTCGTGCTATATGTCTTGACTATGTGATGAGAAATGCAAAGTCGTTAGAGTGTCTCTCTGACTTGCTTGTGAACCAGATCATTCTAAAACATTAGACTCAGGGTTCTTTTGTATAACACAGAGAGAGATCTTTTGAGCAGTGGGTCCCTTCCTTTCTGAACAAGTAGTTTTAATATGTAGCTCACCACTTGGAAAGGGCAGTGACCTATTTTTTAAAATAAATGATACGTTGAGACAAACCCTGACACATAAGAAATACAGTCTCCAAAACTGACTAATTGAGGAGTAATCACTTGCATATCTAAATAAATTAATATACAAATGCCTTTTTCAGTAAATTTAGTCAGATTTATAAAATTAGATTGCATACAGTTTTCAGGAAAACTTGTATAGAGATTAGGCCTCATACTACTCTGGCAAGGTAGCCAAATTTTATTAATCCAAGAGAATATCATTTTTGTACAGTGGAAAAAGAAATTGGGATTTATTAACTACTTTTTCCCTTTTGTGACAGATTTGGAAATGGCAGTTGCCTATTGGAAATTAGTACTGTCTGGAAGGTTTAAATTTTTAGATCTTTGGAACACGTTCCTGATGGTAAGTATCCACTCCTTGCTGTGTGTGCCAAGCCAGAAGAGAAACTAGCAGCTCTGAAGCTAAATGCACTCACATGTGAAGGTTTGGGTAAACTGAGTCCCTCAGGTATCGGGCGAGATGCTGCATAGCCTTCTCCTCACAGGGCATGGCAGCTGTTGAACCCTGGGTGTCCCCTGGCAGCCACTTGAAACCTACTTTGCCCTGTGGCTTCTGCAAGGTGGACTTCAAGTCCCTGCAGCCCTCCACTCACCATCCCCCTGAAGACTACACTAAACCATCATCCTTGTCCACCAGGAAACTTAAAGTGCTTAAAGAAAGTGCCGGAACCATGCTGCGAGTTGACAGCAGCTCCAGAGCTGTGAATGCCCAGCTGCTGTGTTTGTAGTCAGGTGTCACTGTAGAAGGGGAGGAGGCCCCTGGCAAAGATGCAGGCTGGAAGCAGGGCCTCTCCAGGCTGTCTTCGCTGGTGGGAGTGAGGGGCATGAGGATGTGTTCTGATTCCAGAGGCAGTTGTCTTAGGGGTGGTAGGGATATTCGACACCCCACTCTAGCCCACCCTGTGCCCCAGGATGAAAGGTGGTCACTTGTCATGCAGCACACCTCAAAAGCCAAATTACAAGGTACCGCTGTTACATTTGAGTGAAACTGTATTACTGAAATGTCTAATAGGTTTCATTTTGTTCTTAAATAAGTTTCTGTTGTGTATTTGGACTTTGGCACTGTTGGAGCACATACTTACTGTTATACAGCGTACCATTTCTTTTTTTTTTCTGGAAGCAAAAAATAAATGGTTACTTAAAATATGAAAAGTAATGTTAAGATATTATCCAAACATTTTGTTTCATTTAACAAGCATAAAACAAGACTTCAGAAAAAAAAGTTTGCAATTAAGTACAAAATACTTAAGAATATATTTTTGATATTCATTGTGGGTATGTCTGAAAAAATTAATTTTACTGATGTCGCAGAGTGCCGTTATTATTACCTGTAAGGATTTTGTTGTACTTACCCGCAAGTGAAGGAGCCTCACTGCTGGATTGTTTTTCTTTTATATTAGGAACATCACAAAAGATCGATTCCAAGGGACACTTGGAACCTTCTGCTAGATTTTGGAAACATGATTGATGATGACATGTCTAACTATGATGAAGAAGGTACTACACCTGGGAAATGGCTCAGCCTGCCACAGGTGCTGCCTGCCTGCCTCCAGCATGAGGGGACACAAGATACCTACTCGCATGTTGGATCTCACAGATCACACAAGACATGTGCTGTTAGACTGATGGGATGTGCCAACTTCTGTTTATTTCCCTCATGTGGTTATACATATTGCTGCGCTCGGTTCCTCTGGAGACCATGTCAGAGTCATGGGCAGTAAAGGCACTGTGCCTGGGAAGGTGCCCGGTCTGTGCAGAGGCATCCCCACCAGGAACTCTGGGCAGCCTCTCCTTCCTCTTCATCCCAGCGCCTTGCCCTTTCACTTGGCATCAGCTGCATTCTGTTCCTCACTAGTTCAGCTCCTTGCTTTGTGTCCTCCCTGCTTGGCAGAGTGTCTGTGTAGTGCCTATCCATGCTTGTGAGTGGAGTCAGTTAATGTGGCCAGCCCAGCTTCCGGGAGCATGAGCTGTAGCTGATGAGGTGAGGCCTCTGCAGGAAGACAGCCTAAGCCGGAGGCAGGGCATGCCGTATTACCAGGAGCTGCAGCCCCAAAGGTCCCCACCTTTGGAAGGGGTCGGTCCGGTGGGAGCCTGGGCTGGGAGGTGGTGCTCCTAGTGGCAGGAATGCCTGCATGACTCCAGGGAAGTGGCTGATAGCTCTTCCTGACTCCTGGAGCAGGCTGGGTACCTCACGGCTGGCTGTGCTATGCCTCTTCAGAGTGAGTCGTATCCCACCTGCCACTCGCTGACCCTGGCTGTGTGGAGTAATGGTACTGGGTAAAACACAAGCTCTGTGAACTCCAAATCATTTGGATTCTTGAAATACACATGTTAGACTTTGAAGAAAATGCTTTAAATATAAAAAATGGCCGTAGTACTGGCTGAGCTGGCATGTCACTCAGTGGCAGTGTTTGCCAGTATGTACAGGGCCTGGGCTCAGGCTCCAGCCCCAGCAAAGTAAAAGTAAGAAATTGCTGTGGCACCAGTTTAAAGGTCTTTGTGTTTGCTCCCCTTTAGGAGCCTGGCCTGTCCTCATAGATGACTTTGTGGAGTATGCACGGCCGGTAGTCACAGGCGGAAAACGCCGCCCTTTCTAGGAGGAAGACTCAGGTACATGGAGTTTGGAAGACGATTTGAGTCCTGCAGCAAGGGGTGGGTCAGTTGCTGTGTGTGTGTTGCTGCTTAGCAGCCTTCCTCGCCAGCCGCAGAACTGGAATCTGTACTGCACTTCAAGGCCACGGTGGCCACTGCCACTCCAGGAGGAGCTCCTCGGGACAGCTGCTTGGGCAGGTGAAGGTGTGTCATCAGCGCTGCCGCTTTAGGAGATTTCCCATGACCTAAGTTCACAAAGAGCAGCCAGTACCCTGCAGGACTGCAGGACTGCTGTTCGGCCCGTGATGTGGGTGAACACCAGCAGCTACGCGCTGCCAAGTCACACCACAGCTCCACATAAGAGCACGTGAGGGTCTTGGGCAGACCGGGGTGTTTCTATACATTAAGAGTTATTAAGAATGTGCCCTAATGGGGGTAACCTTGCTTGTCTGTTGTTTTCTAATCTTGGTGCCAGAAATTCAAGATTTATATTTTTGAACTATCAGATTATCTAGATGTACCAGATCTATTTTTGTTTTCGTGTTCTCTAGAGGTTTACCTGAAAATCATTTTGCACTTTGGAGACGCTATTAGTTTGCACAGCAGTGACACATCAAGTATGATTCCAGCAGAGTTTTATTTTAAGCTGTTTACAGGCCAGTGAGCCTATTTTACTTCTAATGCTGTTATTTGAGCTTCTTGAAAAGCTTCATATTTTTAATATATTTTATTATATTTTAAAAGACATTTTTCCATGAAAAATATTTCCTTTTGAGTGGTGAATTACAGGTTTAAAAATCAAATGCACTAGTTCCCTTCACTTTTCTGTGGTACCTGCAGCTCCCTACAGCCTGCCCTTAGGACGCTAAGCACAGAGGAGGCAAGAAAGACATGCTGTCATCCAGAGCAGTACCAAGTCCTCTGTCTCCGGGCATGCTGTGGCCTGTCTTGGCTTGAGTTAGCATCTGCTGCCCGGTGTCCGGCCACCCAGTGGAGATCCCAGTGCCGCCTGCTCTTCTGGTGTAGCACTTTGAGTGGCATTGTGCAGGCTCTGCCTTGCGTTCGCCAAGACTGCATCACAAGTGTGCCTTGCCACCCGCCTATGACAGCCATGGAGCAGATAGGCTGGGCTTGTTCCAGGACAGGGTCTCTGGTGTCCTTCACCAGAAACAGCTCCTCATAGCCTAGGATTGTGTCCTGCCACAAGATGAGCAATCAGTGCTTCTGCATAGTACCCTGCAGAGGACAGCAGGGGTGCAGGGCCAAGACGCTGTGTGTGCAGCCATCTCTGCATGACAGTCTGACCGGTGACGGGAGCAGGGCGAGTTATGTGACCTTCCTCAGGTCTCTGGCCATGTCTGTAAAAGGGAAAGCTGGGAAGAAGCACCTCCTTCACAACTCTGACTCGGAGAGTATGTATTTTATATAGCAAAAATGTAGGAAACGTAGAAGCGGCTTTGCAGGTTCTTGACGTGTAATCGTTCTGTTCAGAGAGGTTTATAGAATTCAAATAACTATAAATTATAGGGATCAGCAATACTTTTTAAGATTTAAAATTCTGTGGGGTTGTCAATAGATAATCAAATTATTGGAAAAAGGCTGTTCAAAAAATTATTCTTTTTCTCTTTAGAGTTGTGCACACTGTGAAAATGCTAAACTTCAGGAACAGAAAAATAAATTATTTTCTGTGGTGTTGTGTCATCTCATCTGTTTTCAGTTGCACAGTACACACTGCTGCTTGTCAGGGCCCTACCCTCTGTCCTGGGCCAGCAGAAAAGCCCTCTTTGTGGCAACCAGAAGGCAAGCCCCTTGCCCACATTGAGTCTGTGTCTGGCCCACCACCTGTTAGACTGGCCTGGTGACGCCTTCAGTAGCCGTCACAGTGCCTGCTGAATGAGAAGTCGCAGAATGGGAATCGCATTAGGATGCACTGGCCAGCTGAGGGTCTGGAATAGACATCACCATCCTCTTGGTCATGCTAGATGTTCCAGTGCAGTTCAGGACTCAGGCTCCATGGGCAAGAGTATGCTTTTGGCTCTGTTGCCATGGCCACCATTCCTAGTGGAATGTTGGGACCATAGATGGTTATGGAATGGACAGATTAGAGTTAACCTTATCATCATTTGTAGTAGGTTCAAGAGAGTGGAAGTTGTTCCCAGGGATAATTGAGAAAGTTTGCCCTCTGCCTCAGCCAGCCTCCTAGTTGTGAATGTTGACTAAGCAGGAGGGGGTTTCTTGGTTCTGTAAGCTCAGGGACCCTTGACGGCACAGCTGCTGCAGCGCTTCCCCACCCGAAGTCCAGTGCGGGGCACGGTGGGGAAAGATGTCAGAATCCTGCCTGTGGAGCGGGGAGCACCTTCTTTGCACTGCACTTTGAAAGCTGTTGCATCATTTTACCAGAAGACACATTTTCTTAAAAATGAAACTGATGCTGGGCCGGGGATTTAGCTCAGTGGTTCTGCTGCCTGGCTTGCAAGCAAAAGGATCTAAGTTTGATCCCCGGTACCAAAAAAAAAACAAAAAATGAAACTGACATTAAAAGGCAAGTACTAGTTTTCTGGAAAACTTTTTAGTACATAGCAAGGTAGTATGGTACATTTGTTTGAGATTAGAAATGGCAAAGAAAACTAGCCTCCGTGGTGGGATGTCCTAGGACAAGGGGACAGCAGACAGGCAGCGCCTCCAGGGTGGATGGGCTGGTGAGCTGCTCGGGTTTCCACCTGCGCCACACAGGCCTGTCCATGGGTCCCCTGCAGGGGACAGCGAGGACAGCCTGTGGTGTGGCGCTGGAGGTGACAGGAGCCTGTGAGCCCAGCAGCCACCCACGTGGTGGAGTCGGAGCCTCTTCTCATTGGTGCCACCTGCAGAGACAGGAAAGGAGCGCCTGGCCACTTAGAAGGACACCAGACAGTGATACAGCGACCGGTATAAATGTCAGCAGGGAGGGCTGGAGGCAGCCAGGGAGGACAAAACACTGCGGGTCTGGAGGAGCCGCCTCCCGAGATGGAGAAGTTCAAGGCTGCCATGCTGCTGGGGAGTGTGGGTGATGCGCTCGGCTACAGGAACGTCTGCGGGGAGAGCAGTGCTTTAGGCTCTGTCCAGGAGGAGCTGCAGAAGGCCGGAGGACTGGACCACCTCGTGCTGTCTCCAGGGAAGTGGCCAGTGAGTGACAACACCATCATGCACATGGCGACTGCCAAGGCCCTCACCACAGGTCGGCTCCCTGCTGCCTTGCTAGCTTGCTGGGGGGCAGGGGGCGGCTGCTCAGGTTCACAGTAAGCGGAAAGCCTTGGAGGCACACTTGTGAGTCGTGTTATCTGATGCCACTGCCGAAGTGGCAATTTAATACGTGCACTGCCCCTCAACAAATCAGGCGGGTAGCAGGTCACGTTTCTCCTGCAGTGGCTCTTTGAGGGGTGGTATTACTTTCTTTGTAGATAATGAAGGTTCATCTTGGAAGCCCAGCTGGCACTTGCAGAGTACAAGCCAGGCCCATGCTGTGGAGCTAGGCAGTCTCTTGTTCAGCCGTTTGTAGGTAGCTGGCCACCATGGGCTAAGTTGCTTGTGCTGAGTTTATTGCAGAACACAAAATGTGAGCCACTCTGAAGTCTAAAGATGATAATGTTTGGGCCTCGCATCTCCATTCCCTTGAACCACACTGTGTGAGGCACAGTGTGTGATGGTCCGGTGCCACGGGTGGGAAAGGTTACTGATAGTCAAGAGACAGAGAAAAGTTAAGTGTTAGTAAACTGATGCACTGCGAGTAGCAGCAGGAGAGGCCAAAAGCTCCTGTGAGAGTTGAGGTTTCTCTGTTTGAATTTAACATGAGGAGGGGCCTGGAAATGTCATCCCAGGGACACTGGCGTCAGGTTACAGCTGTCCTGTTGTCCCTCCATATCAGTTCTAAGCACAGCAGGCCTTGTTGGAAGACTCGTGTTTTGTTCCACAGAGTCCAGTGCCCTCAGCATTGTTAAGAACACTACTTCTGGGTAACATTCACTGGCGATGTGTGAAGATGTGTGAGAGGTGTCAGCGGTTGTGGTTCAGGATGTGTTTAGACTTGAAGGGACTTCGGATACAGTATTGGGCTAGGGAGAAAGACGTGACAAGATATTCTCTAAGGCCATCTGGTGATGTCCGCATCGTTGGTGTGTATAGCTCACACGAAATCGGGAGGAAAGTTAAAGATCTGCTGTAGACTCAGTCGGCTGCACTGTGGCCTTTAAAGAAACAGTGGTAAGATAACCACCACTCCCGACAAATTGAGGTCGAAATATCTGCCAGAATGGTTCAGCTTGGACACATGTTCTAAGGAAGTGCTGCAAGTTTGGATATGGGGAATCATTTCTTAAACTATTCTGTAAGGAGCAGGTTGATCTTAGGATCAACAAGGGTTTGCATGAATTTCAGAGAAACAGTTGGTTCATGAATGCATGTTCATGAACACCGTTTTCCTGCGCATCATGTCTGCAAAATTAAGACCTGACAGCAGCTGTTGAGTCAATGGGATTTCTCCTGCGTTCACTTCGCCATTCCATTTGTCTGCCGTGAGTGCTTGATTTAGCTCTGTGGTTGCTGTGTAGGAATGCTCTTCCCTGGTCCCTAAATAACTATGGAGCGCGCTAAAACATGTCGATAAGATAGGCTGTCACAGCTTGTTAAGGTGGTGAGGCACACACTTATGAAACCCGAATATTTCCTGCTTCTGTGGTCATTGTGTAGGAATGCCCTTGACTGGTCCCAAAATAACTAGGGAGAGCACGGAAGCCTGTGGATGAGATGAGGCATCACGGCTGCTGGAGCAGTGGAGCTCCTGCACCTTTGTGGACAGCGGTACAAAAGCAGCATCCTGAGCTCAAAGCCACCCCACCTCCCACTAAACCCTGCTGGTGGCACATCTTTGGAAACAGCTGCTTCATGCTCCCTATACTATCAGTGCTTGCTCCCGAAGCCTGTTCTGTCTGATGTCCCATGCGCACACCACGGAGCCACACAGAGGTCCCTTCACGTGGCTGGCTGTGGTGGCATGGTGGTGGCAGCCATACTGTGTCTGGCCGTGTGGTCACCCTGCAAAGCGCTGGCCCTGGTGGGGGGTGGCCAGTGAGGAGACATGCCACCTGAAACTGGCTCAGCAGGACACTTGGAGCACCTGTCACCTTCGTTTTCAGGGAGGAAGTGGATTGCTTGCCAGTGGTGACAGTGGCCAGAATGAAGGCGGGTGGTCAGGGGGTGATGGGCCCTGCCTTGGCCTCTCAGAAGTGAGTCGTGAGAGAATAATGGCAGGCGTGCCCCTTTGTCGATTGATGGCTACTTCAGAAACTAAACCAAGCATATTCTTTTCAATTCTAAATTTCAAAGTTGAAATCTCTAAATTTAGTTTTTGCACAGCTCAATATTTTCTTGAAGTGACAAAATGTAGCACGTTACAGGGGTCTTGGAGCCACATTAATGACAGTAGACGAACTGCCCAAGGCTCCTGGGTGCCAGCCTGTCCTGCCTGAGGACCCCAGGGAATGGGGCACACTGGAGAGAATCAGGACAGCTCTTTCGGCCCCTAAGACTGTGTGAGGAAGAGGACACAAGGAGAGGGGGGCACTGGGAGGATCAGGACAGTGTCCTGCGGCTCCTAGCTCCACAGCAGCGCGACGTGGAAGTTGACTGGTCTTACATGTCTGGCATATGGCGGCTGCGCGCCGTGGCTGGGGACCAGGCTTTGTAAGGTGGAGTAACAGTCCATTCCTTGTCCCTGAGTGTCCTTGGCCTGTGTGGTCTCGGAGTGCATAGCATGTTCCTTGATTTTCATTACCAAGGCAGAGCACAGAGGGAAACGTGAGGTCCTTTTGTCTCCAGGGAAGCTGTGCCTGATGTTTGGCTTTTCTCCGTCAGAACGGTGGCTCAGTGCCGGCCCACTGTGGGGAAGGAGGTACACGGAGTGGAACAGCTGCCCTACCACATAGAGCAGCCCAGGAATCTGCAGCTGGAGAACATATTTCTAGTCAGATTCTAACCTGAAAAGTCAAGGCTCTTCATGTCACTGTATTTATGGACTTTGTTTGTTTGTTGTTTTAGAAAGTTCAGCTTTAGTTACGTACTGGGATTTCCTGGTATCTGATTCCAGAATAAAGAACTTGGAGGGGCAGGTGAGCAGGCAGGTTGAGGGAGGTAGGCCTTTTGTAAGCTGACCCCAGTGGCAGGAGAGCTACATAAGCTGGGCTTCCAGGCAGCCTGGACGCCCTGGCCCCACCTCAGCACACTCCTGTTTGGACAGGTGTGGCCCTCTTGCCCTGGGGTGGGCATTTACTCTGCCCCCTCTCTCCTGCCCCCCTCAGGGCTGGTGAGATCGGTGGACAGTGGAGTCTACACCCAGGGATCCAACTGTCCATGGGGCTCTACCTGCCAGGCCAGGTCCAGATTGTCCTCCTAGTTCCCATCCTAGGCCTCATGCCCCATGGAGAAGACTGTCAGTGCTGTCCCTTCCTCGTAGGAGGCTCTACTCCTATTTCTGGAGCCCTGGCTCCTATGCCCTGAGCTGGGCTTTCTGTCTGCAGCTTTCCCAAGATGGACACCTGCCCTCATCATTTCCACCCTCCTCTGTTCCTACCCCCACACCCCAAGACAGGGCAGGCATTGTAAAAAACAAGGGCAGAGGCTGCCTCCCAGAGGGCATGAGACTCCCTGAGTGAAGTCGTGCTGCTGGCTGTCACAAGTACTGTGGACAATACCATCCTCCCCCTCTGCAGCCCCAAGCTCTCCCCTGCACAGCTGTTTTTGGGGTGGCCATGCCCATGGATTCCAGTGTCAGTGGTGTGTGCTGTCCCAAGCTGTGGACCAATGTCCTGGCCAGAGAGCTCTTCCTGCAGGAAGACATCACCTCCCTGAGCCTTTTCTAAGGAAAAAAAAAAAAATGACAAATTAGGACCCAGTGTGGGAGGTTCAAATTTGGCCCCCTCCAATGCAGCAGTCCAGGCACAGTGTAGGCCTTGGGCAGGTGTGTCCTCATGGGCTGGCTTCTCGTCCCCCATGCCCATAATCCTGGGTGTGTCTTCCTGTACTTATCCCCAGATTGTGCCTCGCAGGATGGGGACACAACTTGGGCAGAGCAGCTCTGCAGGGCCCCTGGCTTCCTTGAAGCCAGCAGTGTTGGGTGCTGGAGATAGGCAAGGCCCGTCCTCCATCCCACCCAAGCCAGGGCAGCCAGGCTCAGCACAGTTGCCCTGACATGGACAAAGCCATCAGTGCTCATGTCTCCAGACTGTCACGTGGGACAGGACATGCATGCAGACACCTTCTGTGTCCAGCATCTAAGAGGTCTGAAGGGAGTTGTTGGCCAGGCCTGTGCTACAGACAGAGCTGCTATCCACACTGACACCTGTTCCCCTCTCTATTCCTCTCTCCCTCAGACTACTGGTGCCTGGATGACCTATACCGCGAGATGGTGAGGTGCTACGTAGAGACCGTTGAGAAGCTTCCAGAGCACAGGCCTGACCCTGCCACCGTGCAGGGCTGCTCACAGCTGAAGCCAGACAACTACCTGCTGGCCTGGCACACACCCTTCAGTGAAAAGGGTCAGGAGCCCATCCTATCCTCAGAGCTGGGCACCTGTCCACACAGCACCCGGCTTCCCTCCATCCTTGGGTCACTTTCAAGAACTGTTTCCATGTGGAGCTGTGTTGGGGTGAGGGGGTTGCAGTGGAGGCAGCTGGCCCTGTCTTGTGCTTCCTTAGAATGAGTGGGGCTGGCAGCTGCAATCCGGGCCAAGTGGTCCGTGCTGCTGGTGATCCACCCTCAAAATGGCCTTGGCCAGGGCTGTCTCTGAGAGGGGCTTACAAGAGTGGCAGAGACACTGGTAGGATAGGCCAGCTGCTCTGGCAGCCCAAGAAGTTCAGAGGGAAAGTTATAGGCAAGCTGGAGGGGAGGCCAGGACAGGTGGAGACTGCAACCGACCTTGATGGCTCTAGACATCTCCACGTGGTACAGGAGCACACAGGGCTGGGCAGTTGGATCACAGGTGAAAGGCCCTCTGCTCCCCTCAGCCTCCTCCAGGAGTCTCGGGACCCACGAGGATGATGCTCTGAAGTGATGAGCAGAGACAAGTGCCCAAGGATGTACTCTGCACTGTGTGTGAGCAGTTCCCACATGGAGCTCAGGCTCCCCTGTGGAGAGGGAGGTGAATCTGCTGCATTGCACGATGCTATTCTCACTGTCATTGGAAAGATGAAGGCTGTGTGCTGGGATGTGAAAAGCCCTCTGCACAGACTGGGGAAAAAAGCAGTGTGGCTGGCCCCACCCTGCTGTGTTCACAGGCTGTGCATGGAGAGAGTTCACAATAAATCCAACCATATCAATAATGGTAACAATGTAAAGGATTTGAAGACCCCAAACAATGGCCCAGGGGTCAGGCTGGACTGAAAATCAAGTCCCCACTGTGTGCTGCCTACAGGAAACACTCCTTGGTAAATGGGCGGCAGAAAGATGGGAAGGGTGCACATGCCAGTGCTGTCCAAGAAAGCTACATTCCGGGGTGGCCCAGGTGGGATGTGTGCCTAGCTAGCAGAGGCCCCAGTTCCACCCCCAGGCAATGCCAGCAAACAAGCAAAAGCCAGAGTAACTGTATTAATGTCACAGTAAATTTTGAAGCAAAGAATATTGCCAGGAATAGAGAAGGCAGTGTCACTATGATACAGGGTGGGTGGTCATGGCGTTCACTGGGGCACATAATACACCAACATCCTTATGTGGCACACACGCCTGTAATCCCAGCACATGGGAGGCTGAGGCAGGAGGATCAACATTAGTTCAAAGCCAGCCTGGGCTACATAGTGAGTTAAGGCCAGCCTGAACTACAAAGCAGGACACTGTCTCAAAAAAAAAGGTAGAAACATCAGAGGAAAATAAACCCAGGGAAGAAGAAGAGCTAATAGAGACCAAAAGCAAAAGATAAAACAGTGAAATCAAAAGCTGGTTCTTCAAGAAGTTCAGAAAAAAGATAATCCCCAGTTGTGCTAGGTGGGCACATCTATCATTCCTGGCTCCTCAGGAGGCTGAGGCAGCAGGATCATAAGTTTAAGGCCAGCCTGGGCAGAGTAATAAAACCCTGTCTCAAAATAAAGAGATAAAAGACGGGCCGGCTATGTAGCTCAGTGGCACTGCACCTTCCTTAAGTGCAAGGTCCTGGGTTCCACCCCCAGTACCAAAAATAATAAGAGGTCTGGGGGTGTAGGTCAGTGAGAAGGCCTAGGCTCAATCCCTAGTACTGAAAGAAGAATTGATCTCCTCTAGCCAAACAATACAAAAGATGATGGGTCACCCCTGCCAACCATGAAGGAAAGGCCAGTGCGGCTGCAGAAATGAGGGGTAAAGAGGGAAGCTTCACACCACAGAGTCTAACCGCAGGGGACATGGACAGAGCCCTTGAAGGACACAAGCCTCCAAAGCTCCCTCTGGAGAAGGGGCGGCCCGAATAGCTTGTCTTACAGAGAACCATGGAGAAGACTGCATGGGACCCTACCTAATAGTCATGGGAGAGACTACAGCTGTGTGCACGGCTCCTCCAGCAAGTCGGAGCCATTCTGAGCCTGTTTCTAGCTTCCCACGCGAGATGGACCAGATTTGTTCTGTTCCCGCCTCACTGTACTGCCTCAGAGACTCCAAGGAGCTCAGAGGAGTGGAATGGGGACAAAGGTCCCAATGGAGAGGTCTGAGAAGGGCTTGGGGCCATCCGAGCAGACCACAGGCCACCCGTCCACAACAGACAGAAGGCTCAGACACTTTCCCAAAGACCATGTGAGGTGTCGGCAGCCACAGAAACCGCTCAGCAAGGAACCACTCCTGAACAGGCACGGAGAGAAGAAAGCATAGGGCTGCGCAAAGATCCAGTCACCAGGACCTGCTCCCCCGACAGCTGTAGGCCCCCACTGGAGCATCCAGCTGCCCATCTGAGGTGAACTGATGACCGACATGCAGTGTCTGTGCTGTCCGGCAGCAGAAGGTAAACCGGGTACAATTACAGGACACATCTCAAGGCACTTAGGCTGACTGAAAGAAGCCAAACACCATCTCACAGGGTTGCTAAGAAGTGCAGAGCCCTTGAGTCCAGGTGCGAGCACAGGAGCGAGCTGCAGGCAGGTGTCCTCTGAGCCTTGGTGCCAGCTTGGGGCTGTGCCATTCACTGTGTGCCAACTACAACTCAATGAAGCTGTCATTAAAGGGATAATGCCTATCTGGGTGAGAGCAAGCTGTGGCTACAACCCTACTTCTGTGTTCCCAAGGAGGAGCCCATCAAAAGTCCATTTTTAGTGGCTGCATAACCTTACGACAACAGTGGAACCTCCCTTCCATGTGACAGTTTGCCAGTGTCCCCTTGTTTAATGACCTTCTGATGAACATGTATCACATAAGTTTTTGTGCTTCAGAAGTTACTTGTGAATGCCAACTGCTGGGGCATTCGTGGGATACAATCTGAATCTGGGTGCTCCTTCACAGGCTCGGGGTTTGGAGCAGCCACCAAAGCCATGTGCATCGGCATGCGGTACTGGAAGCCAGCGCGGCTGGAGACCCTAGTGGAGGTCAGCATCGAGTGTGGCCGGATGACCCACAACCACCCCACAGGTGAGGCGCCCCTGGGGCCTTCTCTCCCCTACAGTGCAGGACCCCAGCCCAGCCCAGCCCAGAGCTGGGCTATTTCCCAACCTTCAGCTTTCCATGATGCTGAAGAGTCTCACAGGTTCCAAAACCTTCCCTGTCAGAGCACGAGGGAGGAGAGGCATGGGCTGTGGCCCTGATGTGGGGCTCCAGGCTGAGTCAGGCACGGTGGAGCCATTACCTCGGCGGCCCAGCTGCACCTCAGTCTCCCCACCTGTGCCGGGTGACAGTGACAATGGCAGACACACCGACCAGTGAGCTGAGTCTCCCACGTGGTCCCAGGGCAAGGCCAGTGCTGTGGGATTTCTCCACCACTGTGTGAGCATCACCCAGAGGGACATAGGACATGAGGACCATGGAGGGCAGGTGGCAGCCACCCAGCACCTGGCCCTGGGAGGTGACAGGAGGCATGAGGAGGTGTGGGTTGGCTCCCTCCCCGTCAGCCTTCGAATGCAGAAGCCTCCAAGGTCACCTTTCCAGAGTTGGTGTAGCCAAACTCACTCATGCATCCCCCAGATAGTGCCCTGAGCAAGGGCAAAGGCTGTGTGACATTTGCCAGGCAGATACTGGGGGCCGTGACCCACACCAGGAGTGCCAGGCCTGCATTCGCTGTCCTTAGCTTCTGACTCAGCCTGTGGGCAAAATCTGGTGCCTGGAAAGGAGTTCTTGTGGGGCCCCTGCTGACTGATGGGCTCAATCAGAAGTAAATCCAAAATCAAACCTTCAACTGCAGAAATGCCAGGGTTTAAAGCACCAGCAGGAACACAGGCACCTGCTTCTCCCGACTTGCCAGCATGTCTCCACTCAGTCTTGAATACCCCTTCACACTTGCTAGTACCAGGGTTCATCCACTCGGGCAGGGCCTGAGGGATCAGACTTGGAGATGCTCCCACCCTGCTCCCCTTTCCACTGTGAGCCACCTTGGCAGCAGGCGCCACCAGTCTGTGTCCCTGAGGGGCCACTCTGGCCAGCTGGGCACAGCTGGGCTGCTCAGCCTGAAGCCGTTGTGGGCATCGGTCTCGTGGGCAACTGTTCTTCACAGAACAGCTGTGTTAAGCGGCTGTCCAGTCCTTGCCTGATGAGGTCCAGTGCAGAGCTGACCCCGCGCTGCCCTGTACCCAGGGCAGGTGACAGCTGTCCCTCCCTCACACCCAGGCTTCCTCGGGTCCCTGTGCACAGCCCTGTTTGCGTCCTATGCGGTGCAAGGAAAGCCACTGGTGCAGTGGGGGAGAGACATGCTGAGGGCCATCCCACTGGCTGAGGAGTACTGCAAGAGGACCATCCGGCACGTGGCAGGTGAGCAGAGCTGGCCCAGAGACAGGTGACTTGCTCACCTGGCAGCGGTTGCCTGTCCCAAGCAGCACCAGCAAGCGTGGAGGAGCTGGTTCCTGCCTGGGTCTCACACTGACCCAGGGCAAGAGGGAGCTGTGTCCTGCAGGGAAGGGGGACCCACCTGCACCCTGAGCACCCCGGCCTGGAGGTGTGCATGTCCCTGCCACATGCCCGCCATGGGCATCTGGTCCCCACTCACCGAAAGCCTGACACCCATGCCAGTGATGTATTACCAGCTGGTCAGTGAGAGATCCCAGGAGTCCTCTCAGTCAATGCTGGAGAGTGGGTGTTGGTTGGCCCTGCTGAGGGGAGCTAGCCGCGGGGCCACAGGTCAGGGCCAGGACCCCAGGGTGTTCCCCAAAGCCGATGCTTCTGGAAAGTTCTTTTACCTTCCAGAGGAGGGGCCTCTGGCTCCAGCAGAGACGCCCCAGGATATTCTTCTGTGTTGAGGTCGCCTGCCTAGTGTCCTGGTGGAGAGGAGAGAAGCGGGAGGCTGGGGTCTGTCACGCCAGCCTGAGGCAGAAGCCTCGAGACCAAAGCTGAGAATCACCTGAGTGTCCCCTTTGAGGGACAGCCTTCAGGAACAGCTTTACGAGGACCCACCTGCTTGTCGTGTACCTGGTCACGGCCCTGGAGGACACTGGGCCCGTGGTGATACCAGCCTGTCTCAGGACTGCCCCCTCCCCTGGGCCGGCCACATGAGCCCCACTGCAGGGCACATCCCCAGCACCGGCTTTGTGTACTTGGTCTGGTTTAAGTCTCTGTTGCCTGGTCCATCTTTCCCACGAGCATGGCAGGGTACAGCAAAGCTGGGACCTTCCAGTGTTGTTCAGTGGGGGCTGTGTGGAGGGGAGCAGGTGCCATCTGCAAAGACACATGACCCAGCACCCTGAAATAGGCCATTGTCCTCAGTATTTCCTGTGGGGCAATCCAGGCTTCATGAGGATGGAGCCCACTGGCCAGGTGACCTGGGGACCGTCCCCTGTTTTGGGGGACTGAAGTGTACACCAGGTGGGGATAGCTTTGATGGTTCTGTTTGGTGTCAGATTTGTTACCTGGAGTCCTCAGTTCTCCGACAGTTACATGCAGCCCTTACATCCAGAGGAGCATGGCCTGACACCCTTGGGACACCTTCCCCTGGGCCATTCCTGGTCCCCAGGACAGAAAGGAGCCAGAGCCCAGGCTTTGTACAGCTGTTGGCAGAGCCATCTGACCACAGCCGGATTCCAGGGTGCTATGTGCCCACACTGCATGTCCCAGGCCAGGCATGACCCCAGTGCATGGCACAGTTGACTGTGAAAGCCCCGTGCAACTAGAGACCACTTTGGCCCCTCTCCATGTTGTCCCAGCTCTGATTCTGTCTGCAGTTGTGTCCTTTGTGTCTAGCCTGATGGCTCAGAAGCTCTGGAAGGGCACCATATGCTGTGTCTTCCTCACCACCCGGGCCACCAGGGTTTGCCACTTGTTTCTGGGGCTTGGGTAGTAGCTACTAACTAAGAACATGGGACCTCCTGTCCCTGCTGTGGAGGCACCATATATAAATTAGTGAAAACACTCAGTCTTTCTATGCAGAGGCGCTGGATCACTGCAGCCCTCTCTGTTCAGCTCTGGGCCGGACCCACTGTCACCTCCACCTTCCTTCCACCTGCCATCCAGGGCAGCCACCTGGGGTGGGTCCTGTTTCTGGCCATGTCCCCTGGGCACACCCCTCGTCCTCCCCACACTACCTACAGAATGGCTCCAGCCACCCTCCTGTGCTTGTGTCTAGAGTACCAGGAACATTGGTTTTACTTTGAAGCTAAATGGCAGTTCTATCTGGAGGAGAGAAAAATCAGTGACGACACAGAAAACAGAGCTCACTTTCCTGACAACTACAGCAATGCAGAGGAGTGGGACAAGGTGTGTGGCACCCATCATGGGACCGCATGGTCAGCAGGCAGAGTGGGTGGACACACAGACAAACGGACACAGTCATGGGGGGTGGGGGGTCAGGGGTGCTGGTATTCGTGCCACTTTCTCCTGAGGAGCTGCATCCCGGGTGAGGAGAAGGGATGGAGGGAGGGACAGATGGTTGGATAGAGGGTGGACAGATGGACAGATGGATGGATGGCAGCTGCAGAGGGATCCAGGACCTTGGGCTGTCTGCACCAATGTGTTCTGCTTGGGCCGTGCCCCTGACCCATGCGTTCCCCAGACTTATAAGAAGTGGAGCTCAGAAGGCCGAGGGGGACGCCGGGGCCATGACGCACCCATGATCGCCTACGATGCCCTCCTTGCAGCAGGGAACAGCTGGGCTGAGCTGTGCCTCCGGGCCATGTTCCACAAAGGTGAGGTGATCTCCATCCCAGGGCCCCCAAGACAGGGAGGGCAGCCTCACCCAGCAATTCTGCGAGGCTCTCCTATACCTGCCACCTTTGGGCACCCAGCACCTCAAGCCCCACGGAACTTCAGATCCCACCAGTCACCGCTGCGGGGAGCACCTGGTGCTTGGTGACAACACTCCTGTGCCTTGGCACTGCTAGTTCCAGAGTGGCCACTTCCCTTGAAGCCACCTCTCACACTTGGGGTTCTGGGTGGGGTGCTTGGCTTCCAAGCTGATTTTCTCCTGGTGGTGCCCATCCGTGGGGGACTAAGTGTGAAGCCAGGACGGGGTGGGATGGGCACTCAGTGCTGATGTCTAGGCACACAGTTTCTCCCGCAGGAAGAGGACCCTGGGCAGAGGGGAGTGGGTGAGGAGCTCCATGGAGCCAGAGGCTGCATGTAGGAGGGAGGGTGAGCACAGGGTGGGGCCATGTGGGTTGGGCAGGGGGAGAGTCGGGCCAGGAGAGGAGGGGCTGGGTACACAGCTGACAGAGCCAGAGGGAGCCGCACAGGCACCTCCGCAACCCTCCTCCCGAACCCAGCTGGGCTATCAGTGCATCTGTGCACGGGTGTGAGTGTGTGCGTGTGCACGTACATGTGAGTGTGACCGGTGTGGGCTTGACTGGGTGTGAATTGGCTGTATGGGAGAGAGTTGAGAGTGTGGCTGAGTGCAGCTGTGCATGTGTGAGTTTAGTGCAGTGTCTGGGTGTGTCTGATGTGTGCGCATGAGAGTTTCTGCGTGGGCGTGAGTGTGTGTGCGTCACAGTGTGTACAACACATCAGTGCAGGTGTGGGTTGGCTTGCTACCAGGCAGGCATCTTCCGTCTTGGTCTTGCCCTGTCCTGCTGTGCCCCTGCCCCGGTGGAAGGGACCCTGCGTCCCGGCCCAACTAGAGTGGGGTGCTGGGGGTCCCGGCAGCTCAAGCCCCGTCCACCTGTGTCTGCATTGCAGGTGAGAGCGGCGCCACAGGGACGATTGCTGGCTGCCTGTTTGGGCTGCTGCATGGCCTGGACGCTGTCCCCCGGGGCCTGTACCAGGAGCTGGAGCACAGGGCCAGGCTGGAGGAGCTGGGCGCCACCCTGCACCACCTGTCCACGGAGGAGAAGTAAAGCGCATGTGTGGCCCAAACGGGCGCCCTGGGGTACACACACACACACACACACACACACACACACACACACACGAACCTCCCCTGCCCTGGGGTGGGGAGGCATTGCGCTGTAACCATATGTTAACGCCCCTTCTGAGCACCTCATGCTAGATGAAATACGTTGTCCTATGAGAATATTTTTTCCTGACCTCAGAGGAGCCTAGAGCTTTTTTGATTTTACTCTGGACCTGCTAAGCTTGCGCCTGCAAATACAGCTTAAGAGTCATCTCGTGGATGGTGGTGTATCTTATTCTGTTGCTAGACTAGTGACTGCTACCTGTTCTCACTCCAACAATGCTGACTGCAGTGCTGCCTCCGAGCACCTGCTCACTCCACCTCCTCTTTGTGGGTCTGGAAAGCTGACGCATCTGCTACCCCCTAACGTTGGACGCCTGTCCACATGCGGAGATTCCCACCCCACCTGCCTTTGGGCAGCAGGCTTTTAGCTGCGCTACAGCGCTGGAACCAGCCTGGGAAAAACTCTTGGAGAAGGCCCGGAACAAAGGTCTCCTGGCACTGCCTCCCTGTCCCCTTGGTCCTCGTGTCACACTGCACTGAGGGTGGCCTGCAGGCTTCCCGGGAGGCACAGGTGGTCTGATTGCCCGAATGGCTTTGGCTGTCTGCTGTGCTGGGCATGAGGCTGTAGCGTCATCGTTCTGTCCCACAAGGTCTACTCTACTCAGAGCTTCGGGCAGATGTGCGCATGGATTTGCTGAGGATGTTCATGGAGGCCAGGCCTCTCCTCCTGTGGGCCTCGCTTCTGGCACAGCTCCCCAGGTGGCTGTGGGCAGCACAGCAAAGGCATTGTCTCCCGGTCCAGTGTGTTGGGGTCTGAGTGGCACATACTGCTCCCCTTTTCCCTCCTTGCCTGGGTGGAGAGGAAGGGGCGCCCCAGGCCAAGAAGCTGCGCTCCAGGGGGCGCCCTGTCCCTGCTGCAGGGTGAGGCGGAGCTGTGTGGACAGACTCAAGGGTTCCTCACTGAGCCAATCAGATAGCAAGCTGCTTTCAGCCAGCACTGGAGGCAGGCGTGGGCAAGGCCCACACTGTGACACCCGAGGGAGAAGGGGACTGGGAGTTGTGTTTTAGGAAAAGAACCTGAGGGGGTATACTGGAGGAGCTCCGGATGTGCAGCCTGCAGGGCCCTTGGGTCCTCAGGCCTCCTCCTTCCTCAGCTGGTCCTCAGCGCCCGCTGCCCCGGTGTGACTGTAATCTGTACTCAGCACTTGATGGAGCTTTGTTTCTCTCTGTGTGTGTGGCCATGGGGATTGAACCCAGAGGGGCTCTACCATGAGCTATGTCGCACCTTTTTAAATTTTCCATGCTCATATAAGGTCTCACCAAGTTGCCAGAGCCTCAAACTTGGGATTCTCCTGCCTCAGGTGGAATTACAGTTGCGCACTGCTGTGTCTGGCTTGTTTCCATTTCTTGAACAACAATTTTAAACGTCCGATTTTTGTGGTTACCTTTGATGCTACTTTCTCATCTCTTCTGAAAAAAATCAGTTTCTCCCAACAGTGATTCTACACTGCTGGGATGTGGGGGCTTTTTTCTCTGATTTTCTGAAATTGTGGTGCATCCTATATTTTGTTGTGCTCTGTAGTTTAATTAGTGGAGTTCTTCTTTCCCTAAGACCTAAGAAACAGTGTGTATCTATGAGCAGGAGAGGTGTGGCTGTCCCAGGACATTTCTGACCACAGGGCCACTCATGAGTGCCAGGGTTAGGGACAGCACCTCTCCCTTGTAGGGGACACACCAGAGGGTGCAGGCAGGTGTGTGTCGCAGATATGGCCGCCACCCTGATCTCTGGTTGAATCCACCTCAGACTCCTTTCTCAGGGGCCTGGGAATGCAGAGCTGAAGCTGGGACTTGGGACCCAGGGCTCAGGTTGCTGGCAAAGGCGTCCCAGGAGAGAGCTGGCCCACTTGTGCCCTCGGACAAATGCACAGGTCCTGTTAGAGAGCCAGCAGTGTGGGCAGAGGATGGGCAGGGAGACACAGGTCTTTGGGCTTCATGCTGTTGATGAGTTTATTTCCCAAACTGGATGGCTGAGAGATCTTTCGTGTGTACTTAATGTCATTTTTCAGGGTTTTGCTCTCTGAAAGCTAGATGAGAGGTAGGTTTGGATACGTGGTCCTTCTGACATTGGCGGGAGCAGATTGTGGAGGCGAAATGACTGGACATTCAAGAGAAGCTCTGAAAAAGACACTAAAAATCTGGACAGGGCAGAGCTTGCAATCCAAGCTGCTCAGGAGGCTGAGGCAAGAAGATCTCTGTTTCAAGGCCAATCTGGGCAATTTAATGAGACCCTGTGTAAAAAAAGACACTGATGGAATAACGGTAAAACTTAAAACACGCACTGTAATGGGGCGCAGCCCTATACCACCACAGCCTGGACTCCTGCCACCCACGGCTGGTCATGGTAACAACCTGCTCTCCTTAGCAGTTATTCCCCTAATCCATGATTCCTGTGAGGGAGGTGGGTGAGATCTCACCAGGAGCAGAGCTGCCAGACAAGGAACTTCCGCCCATGCGTGCTTCCTGCCCCTTCCCGGCTGGCAGACACAGAGCGGCCCTGGGGTTGGAAACACCGGACCCAGCCCTGCAGTGGGGGAGGCTCCTAGGTCTCCGTGCTGGCCCTGCATCCCCTGGGGACGGTCCACTCATTTCTAGGTAGCAAGTAGGAATAGACGGTGCATTCATAGGAGGGACAGGGAAGGAATCGCATGGCCGGAAGCAATGGCTCTGGAACTTTTCCATCCAGTCCCACAGCTTGGAAGCCAGCCATGGTGACAATGAGCACACAGCTGTCACGGCCACTCCTGACCTTTTGTCATCCATCCAGGGGGTAGTGCAGGTGGCCCTGGGGTCATCAGGCCTCATGTAGCTGGCCCCTCATGCCAAAGGGAGACCATTCAGGGCCACCACCTGCCTCTGCCTGGGCTCAGACGAAAGCCCTGGCAGTGACCCACCAAGTGTCCCACAGCCTTGAATGCCACCCCGACACCCTGTGTCATGGGGATCCTTGAATGCTGCATGTTACATCGTGGTTTTGCTTCCTTCCTTTTCTGTTTTCATTGTTTTCCAGTGCTTTTAAACTCATAAAAAGTCACAAAACTTGTGAGACAGCACCCTTGTCCTCCACCCCCTCACCAATGCCGATCCCAGGCCACCCCTGCCTACTGTCCTCTTCTACACACAGAGTGCACGGACACAGACACAGAGAGACGGAGAGAGACACAGACACAGAGACAGAGAGACACAGAGACACAGAGAGATGGAGGGAGACACAGACAGAGAGAAAGAGACGCATGGAGAGAGATAGAGAGACAGAGACACAGAGAGACAGACACAGGCGCACTCAGTGAGACAGGCTCAGAGAAACACAGAGACACAGTGACAGAGATACACAGAGAGAGAGAGACAGAGACACAGAGAGACAGACACAGGCGCACTCAGTGAGACGGGCTCAGAGAAACACAGAGACACAGTGACAGAGATACACAGAGAGAGACAGAGACACAGAGAGACAGACACAGGCGCACTCAGTGAGACGGGCTCAGAGAAACACAGAGACACAGTGACAGAGATACACAGAGAGAGACAGACAGAGACACAGAGAGACAAGGGCAGACGCCGATGCAGAGAGAGACAGATGCACACAGACAGACACACAGACATAGACACACAGATGAAGAGAGACAGAGACACAGAGACATGCAGGGTCACACACACTCATGCATACTGTTCAGGACCATCTGAAACTCACCTTCAGTACACATACTTTGACCATCCACGTTGCAGTGAGTTTCCTCAGTCAAGAATGTGTTCTTCTATGACCACTACATGCTGCTCACAGCCAGGAGTCTAACCGACATCCTGCTGTGACCCAGCTGACAGCACCCACTCTGCGTGACAGACTGCATTCTGCATTGTAAAATGTGTGGGGTTCCTTTTTGTCTGTTTACTTAAACCACAGACCCACCAGAGAGGCTTAGGGCCCTGGTGCTGCTGCACCCAGCCTGGGCAGTGCTGAGGGTGGTGTGAGGCTGTGGCCATCAGAGGGCCCAGAAGGCCACCTGTGAGTGCTCTGTGGACCGACTGAACCTCTGTGCCTTGAAGTGCACCCACACAGCAGCCCTCAGCCCCACAGCCTCAGGTGCTGGGCCTGGGATTGCTGACCCGCAGCCGCCTGTCTGTTTCCAGGAACCACTTGTTTGGGTCCCTGACTCAGCAGTGTGGTTCCAGCTGTTTGCCAGGAGAGCAGTACTGAGAATGGCAGTGTGCCTGCAGCTTCTCAGAACCCTGCTGGGGTGGGCACTCGACCTTGGCCTCGGCAGTGTGACGACGACACAGGCCACCTCACAACGCCCATGCTGTGCCCTCCCAGCCCCAGTCTTCTGGGCTTTTTTAGAAGGAATTTCCTCTCTCAGCATTGGGTCTTTCTTACACTTAAATCTGATAGATGTACATGTGAAATCTGGGGCCCTCCGAAGGTGAAAGCCATCTCAGTGCACGCAGCACGAGGTCCCCGACTCCATCCCCTCGGTCCTGAAGATGCCAGACAGCCTTTAAAAACCTGCCTTAGCAAAGAGAGTCCAGAGAGCTTCTTTTCCCCAGCACTTGTGTGGCGACGCCGATGGTGTGAGTGGACATGCATCTCTGCATTGCCCATCTTCTGTCATCTGTGGAGTCAAGCGGAGTACTTGTTCCAGGCGCTGGATGGATGCCTGGTGGGGCACCAGCCTGTCAACAGCAGGGCAGAACAAAGGAGACCACGGTGGGGAGGCCCTGAGTGTTCCCATCCTTGGGTCCCCTCGGCCCTCTGGATCAGAGCATGGGAAGAGCGGCCAAGACCCCAAGTGTGAGCTGGGGGCTCAGGCCTGTGGACGGCAGACAACGGCCCCGTCTGTGGTGTCCCCTGCCCACGGTGCAGCCAGGCAGAGGGAGCAGAGGGATCTTACTCTTTGCCTGCATGGTTTATGACAGACATTCCAGGAGGAAGCATCCATGAAGCTAGGACGCGCTGACCACTCGGCGTCCACCACAAGCCGGGCGAGGTGGAGCAGGGAGACCTCGAGCCAGGGTGTGTGGTGTGCCGGCAGAAGCATCCTAGAGACGGCCCCTGGTGCACACACAGTGCCCTGGGCACATGAGAGGGATGTCCTGGGCTGAGTTCAGGAGCTGAGGAAGGACAGACTTGCTGGGTCCCACAGAGAGGCTAGGAGAGTTACATCCAGCAGGTGCAGAGAGCTCATCCTCAGACAGCCAGATGTGGCCACCCGTCACCAGGGACCAGATGCATTTTCTAAACTACTGTTTGCCACAGGCACCCAGGGTCCTGCGGGACAAGTGTGGGGTCTCCTGGGGGCTATGTGGAGCCTGATTTGAGCTCATCTGAGACACCACTTTTCTCCAACCAGGATGGACTCTCACAGCAGGGTCACGCAGGCTCCGGTGGCCACAGCATGCCAAGGACTTGGTTGTGGAGGATGAGGTCCAGGTGCCATGGATAGTAATGGGGAGGAGCCAGGGGCCTCAAGGTGGCGTGGGCAGGGCTGCCCACTGTGAGCACCACAGTGGCCCAAAAGGCTGTGGTAGCCTGGATGCCCACATGGTGAGCATCTCGGCCTCCTTGTCTTTCAGATAACCTCCACTCCCAGCCAGGGGTGCTGATGCCTGCCTCAGGAAGGCTTGCTGTGCCCATGTTTGTGTTGGCCCTGGAGGAAATTCTGCTATGTGGCTGCTGTTCTGAGTGCCTGAGGCATTTGGTCACAGGCTTAATCTTGTGTGTGACTGCTGCTGGTTAGAAGCCAGGCTGTCTGCCTAACAAGGGCTTGGGTACAGATCATGGTCTAGGCTGAGGTGCCGGTCACAGGGGAGGAGGCCTGGATTGTCTGGTGTTTTAGAGACATTCAGAGCCATGTCCCTCCAGTTCCATGACCTCTGGGGTGCCCAGTGCCTTCCCCCCACAGGGGAGTTGATCCAGGACCCAAGTGCCCAAGGATGTGTGGACATCCAGAGCTCACCAGCAGGATGGAGATAGGATGGCCCAGACTCCACAGGGACAGGGCAGTGATGGTGGACAGATGGCACAGAGGGCAGGGGCTGGAGGATGAGGAACTTCTGGCTAGTGATGGCTGTGAGCCCCTGCTTCTGCTGTGGATGAGGGGCTAGGCCTGTGAGGCTCCCCAGAGGAGTCCATGGTGCTGGCCCAGCCCCGCATCCCTGTCTGGTCTGGAAACCTTAGAACAGGGTCCGACCTGCTGCTCTGAGGTCATTGCAGCATGGGGGAACTTTCTGGAACTCCAGCTGGGCTGATTTCTGTGTCCACATTGGCCTTTGCCTGTGGGCGCTGGACCCCACATGGGGCACCATGGCAGGCCTGAGCCAAGACAGCCCAGCTGGTGGACATGGACCACTGTGGCTCCTTCGTGTGGGAACAGCACACAGCAAGTCCACCCGTGTGGGACTTTCTCTGCCTGACACTGGGAGGTGTTGCCAACTCAGCAGCTCCCCTGTGGGGAGTACAGTGTCCAGACAGCTTGTGGTCTTCATGTGACCCACCTACTCCAGGTCGCCCACTGAGGGAGGGAGGGCTTGGGCCAGTACCCAGTTTAGACATGAGGCCCATCGAGAAGTGCGGACTATGACAGCCATTAGTCACATGATCAGAATGTCCCTGCTGCATGCAGCTGGGCAGCTATTTCAGTCATCTTAGTGACTCAACTTGAGAAATCCTGGAGATGATTGAAATAGCCCTGTCAGCCCCCAGGCGGGGAGCTCAGAGCTCAAAAGGGTCAAGGGATCTCCACTGATGCGCTTCCATCTGGGCAGGCAAGGCCGGCCCCTGAGAGCGAGGTCCTCCACTGACGTCCCTGCAGGTCCTGTGGCTCCCGGGGATTGGCCACAGGTATGTGTGTGACCTGGGCCATGGAGCTCAGCTAGGGCCCACTCGTGGGAGAGCCTTGGACCCACAGCAGAGCAGGGATGAATGCACAGAGACCCAGGGCATTGGCTGGAGTGCATGTCGTGATGTGAGTCATGATAGACCCCTGTGTGTGCAGGATCCTGGGTGCTCGTGCTCGGACACATGCTGAGGAGGAAGGAGGGTGCCGTCCTCAGGAAGAACAGAAAGCACTGAGGCTGGAGGGCAAGGCAGGGGTCCGCTGGGTGGGGCCAGCTGTGAGCTGGCGGGAGGCAGGATGCTCTCCTGCCATCTGTGGTGGGGCAGAGCGGGCGAGTCTGCGGGCTGTTTCCTGGTCATGAGTATGTGTCTGGCACACCTGATCATTTAGGACAAGAGCTGGGGTGGGTGTGTGACAAAGTGGCCCCAGCTGCCTGGGCGCCTAGGTTTGGGGCTGCCACCCGCAGAGGCAGGGGAATTGGAGGGCAAGGAATTTTAGGGTACAGGGATTGAGTTTGGGTGCCTGTGCCAGGAGCCAGCCCCAAGATGCTGAGCCTAAGCAGCCACTGATTAGATGCGTGTGTCTTACACGACCCTGGGAAATGAAATGCTGCCCACCATGTAAGCTGCAAACTGCAGCTGTGGATTATTGCACCGTCTCGCCCCAGCAACAGGAACATCTGGGCCCCCAAACCCGCACAGTTCCCACAGCCTCCCCAGACCCCAGTCCCACACAGCTGCATCTTTCAAGGCCTTGTGGGAGTGTGGGGCTGTGGAGGGAACCACAGAATGCTCTCTTCAACACCCAAAACTCTTGGCCCTGCTGTCCTCGGTGTCTGGAGGCTGAGCCTCCTTGGGGGAGAAGGAGGTCTGTCTCTTCCGGGGCAACTACACCTGTGGAAAGCAGGTGTCAGACCCCCGGTGGGACAGCCCAGCCACAGCTCCTGGTGCATGGACCTTGACCCTAGTCCCACCTGCCATTGCAGCACTGAGATCTGTGGCGCTGGGTGCCTTGCAATTAGAGATGCTGGCTGCAGGTGGGTTTGTCCATGCCGGGCTGGAAAGAAGGGTGGTGGGGACTGAGCAGCAGGGCCAGCTCAGGTTCGCTTCATCCTTTTGAGGACACTGTGGCTCCTTGGGGCGGGGGGCTGGCGCTTGTGTCCTGATTACTCAGAACAATGGCGTGTGGGCCGGACACAGCGCAGCTGTTGCTTGGATTAACTTATTTTTGTACGGGTGCCATTCCTGCATAGGGGCCTGGGTGTGTCCAGGCTTCACTCTTGTCCCAGTGTCTCACCCATGAGCGCTGCTGACCCAAGCTTGGGCATCTCAGCCCTCTCGGGTGGCGGCTCTCAGGTGGGGTCCACAGGATGGTGAGGTCTTGCAGGGGCTTGGGAGAAGCATTCATACCCCAGGAATTGGGGCCTTGTCAACCGCCCCCTGCCTTGACACCAGAATCACCTGGTAACTGTTTCAGAGGGTTTGTGTGGCTTCTAAAATCAGACTCCCTCTTCTAGGGGAGCTGTTCACACACCGCCTGCCAGGCCACTTATCAGAGGGTTGGTGTGTTCTAAAATCAGACTCCCTCTTCTACGGGAGCTGTTCACACACCGCCTGCCAGGCCACTTCTGGTTAGCCAAAATCTCTGCAGCTTGGCCGCTTGGGTTTTCCAACATGAGCAGAGGTGGGCACCGCCATTTCCTGTCTATGGATCCGCCATTATTCAGGCACCCTTGGTGGTAGACAAGGTGTTTGTTGACTTACATATTTCTGCAGGGCTGGGACAACCCCAGGGCCCCACACAGGCTAGGCAAATGCTCTTGCTCTGAGCCATGCCCCAACCCTGGGATGCTTCCAAGGATAGGATTATGCTACTATAATTAGCGCAGCAAAGACCCTGCAGCACTTGAAATTTTTGTTCTGTCTCCGGTGGACTCTCTAGAATTTGCCATGGATCAGTGCAGCTGCAGTGCCAGAACTCAGGGCGCATCTGACAGTCACCACTCAGACAGGTGGGAGGCAGCTCTGCCCCTACCTGCTGCAGGCAGCCCTTGCTGTTGTGGTCCAGGCCACCATAGAGTGGAACTCCTCAGCCTGCCACTGGCTGGGCAAGCACTGTCAGGTAACAGGAACCCATCTCGTCAGGCCAGCTGGCTGGCGGAGGAGCCAGGCCTGGCAGGAAAGTGTGGGACTGGCAGGAAAGCTGCCTTTCAGCTTCGGGGGGTCCCTCAGGGTCTGGCCCCCTTCTCTTCCTTCTGCAACAGCTACTTCCTACCCAGGAATCCGTCCCATCCCTTCCGCCTTGGGCAGGGAGGTGGGTGAGACTACAGATTACCTCAGATTCTCTGCCCTCAGGCCTTGGATTGAGGTAGAATTATAGCACATTTGTTAATGTCATCTTTCCTCCATAAAACTGGAAATGTGCACAGAGGACACAGAGAACATACAATTTTATACTGAGATGTCTTGCCTATTTTGCAAGCAAAATATCTATTTTTATTTAAGTACATGTGGTACGTGCAAAGTGGTTTCCCAAAGTGTTTTTACAAAGCCAATGAACATGGGCCCTGGAGAGCAGGGGGTAGTGGGGATTACAGGCAACAGCTCTGGGTCCCTGACAGCCCCAGTAGACCAGGCTCCCAACGCACACCCTTCCTATGGATACAGGGGTGCTTCCAACATGGGGCTCCCCCTCCAGGAGCTCTGTGGAGTTCCCTGGGGACCGTGATGATGAAATGTGTAACCATTCACTTCTTTCTCCCCAGCCCAAAGAGCAGCAAGACTCACAGAGACACAGCGTCCATGGATGCACAGGCGCTGAGGAAGAGGCTCAGCCGTACCAGTGGGGAGGCGGCCCGCACCCTCCTGAGTAGCCTTCTGCTCTATGTCCTGGACCGTGCCGAAGGGCCCCCGCAGGCTGAGAACGGGGAGCACAGGGCCAGCTGCTCCGCCCTGCCCCAAGAGGCCAGTCGGCGGCCCACACGCTTCCAGCTCCTGCAGGCCAAGTTCATGGGCAGGGGCCGGGAGCCCCCACTGAAGAGGACCCGGGAGGTGGGCCGGCTCATCTCCAAGGACAGGCAGGGGCCCAGCCGGAGCTTTGTGAACGCCACCATCAACAAGCTGCTGGAGAAGGCAGGGGAGGCCAGCGGCCCCAGCCAGAGGCCTGCAGCCCCAGAGAAGCCCCGCTGGGGCGGCACAGGCGGAAAGAGCACCGTGAAGAACATTCTGAAGAAGTTCCTGGCTGCAGAGGAGAGGGAGGCCAAGGAGAAGGAAGTACATGAGCGCCCCACTGGCCTGAGGCCTGGAGCCACCAGGGGCCCCCTGTCAAAGGTGGCTGGCCGAAGCACCATCCTGGCCAAGCTGCGGGAGAGGTTCGAGCAGAGCGGCTGCCTCCACGCCGAGGTCAAGGTGCTGCCACTGCACAAGGAGGACCGGAGGAGCCGGGCCCTGCAGAGGAGGATGCACCGGCCAGAGGTCCGCGTGCTCCACATGGCCGCCATGGCCATCAGCTGCACCAGGACACCCCCTGCCCGCTTTCTGGCCTGCACAGCTGAACCCCTGCCGTCCCTCAGCATCGCCACCGTGGTGGGCAGCCCCCACAGCTGGCTGTCCCGCTGTGCCAAGATCAGTCACTTGGATGCCAGGCGTCAGGCCAGGACAGAAGCCAGCCTGTACCCCAGCTTGGGGCACACAGAGCCTGGTGGGAATGAAACCCCGGGAGTGGGCATCCTGAGCGGGGATCCCAGAGGACAGTGGAAGCCTTCAGAGTCCTCTGTGCCCCAGGCCATGGCTCTGTGGGATCCCCACCCAGCCCTGACCATAGCAGGTGCCCTCCAGCCAGAATTCCCTTGTGCTTCCAGCAAAGACAGAGCCCTTCCTGGCCACCTGCCTGCTGTGGCCCTGCTCAGTCCTGCCAGCCCCAGAGACGCTAGGCCAGCTGGAGGGGACAGGATGGTGGAACCCACAGCAGCAGGGGCTGCGGACCACATTCCAGGGGTGGAGGAAGGCGCAGAGGAGGCCCCCCGAGTCACCATGACCGTGTGCAGCTCTGAGGACGAGGCAGAGAGTACTGTCCCAGCCTCTGAGAGAGAGCCCCTCTTTGCCACCCAGAGGAGGTGGCTACCCAAGCCTCAGCAGGAGGCTGAGCCCCATGTTACTCCAGCCATTCCAGCTGTGCAGGCTGTGCAGAGCACACAGCCTGGCATCGAGTCTCCACAGATAACCGTGCAGCTCCCTGTTGTCCTCAAGATGCCACAGCGCAGCACACTGAGCCCCGAGGCCTGGTGTCCTCAGGTGTCACAGGGAGAGGCTGTAATGGGAAGGGGAGCCCCTGGCCCTGTGGCAGGGGACAGGAGGGATACCCCAGCCCCAGAAAGGCTGAGCAGACCAGGCCAGGTGCCAGAGAGGCCCCTGTCCTCAGAGCCTGGACCCCAGAGAGCCCTGAGAGATGCTGCTGGCATGGAACACAACACCCCACAGCCGGTCCTGACACCAAAGTCCCCAAGTTCTACTGGGAAGGGGAACTGCTGCAGCCACCCTGAGCCTTCAGGACCCACCACCTCTGTGTACAGCAGTGAGACGCACACGTTGCCAGTATCAAATGAAACGAAGATGCTGAGTAAGGCCCCCTCATCCCATCACCCCCCAGTGTGGAAAAGCTGTCCATTAGGGAGCTCCCATGCTCCCCCTGGCCCTGCCCCTGCCTATGTACCAGGGCTGGGTCCCCAGGAGACAGATTCCTTGCTGGCAGCATCCCAGGATTGCAGACAGCCTGAGAGTTCTACCTCCATGGACCAGAGTATCCCCTGTGGGCAAGAAAAGTCCTCAGGGCTCCTGACAGAGCCACTTCTGCCCCTGGGGGTGGTCCCAGAAAACCCTAGCCATGACTTGGGCAAAAACAGACCATCCTGGCTAGGAGACCAGCCTGAGACAGGCATCTCACCCTCCAGGGAGACAACAGCTGCAGGGAAGGTCACGGATCCCACAGCTCCACTGGCAGGTCCCCAGAAAACACCACAGGTAGACACCCAGACAGCACCACTGTTGCTAGGTGCCCACACAGCACCACAGTTGCCAGGCACCCAGACAGCACCACAGTTGTTAGATGCTCAGATAGCTCCACGGGCTGCCACCCAGACAGCACCACAGGCTGACTCCCAGACAGCACCACAGTTGCTAGGCACCCAGACAGACCCACAGTTGCTAGGTGCCCAGACATTGCCACAGGCTGATACCCAGACAGCACCACAGTTGCTAGGCACCCAAACAGCAACACAGGCTGATGCACAGGCAGTGCCACAGTTGCCAGGCACCCACACAGCACCACAGGCTGATGAACAGGCAGCGCCACAGTTGCCAGGCACCCACACAGCAACACAGGCTGATACACAGGCAGCGCCAGAGTTGCCAGGCACCCACACAGCACCACAGGCTGATGCCCAGACAGCGCCACAGTTGCCAGGCACCCACACAGCACCACAGGCTGATGCCCAGACAGCGCCACAGTTGCCAGGCACCCACATAGCACCACAGGCTGATGCCCAGACAGCACCACAGTTGCTAGGCACCCAGACATTGCCACAGGCTGATGTCCAGACAGCACCACAGTTGCCAGGCACCCAGACAGCACCACAGTTTCTAGGTGCCCAGACATTGCCACAGGCTGATGCCCAAACAGCCCCACAGTTGCTAGGTGCCCAGACATTGCCACAGGCTGACGCCCAGACAGCCCCACAGTTGCCAGGCACCCAGATAGCACCACAGTTGCTAGGTGCCCAGACAGCACCACAGGCTGATGCCCAGACAGCACCACAGTTGCTAGGCACCCAGATAGCACCACGGGCTGATGCCCAGGTTTTGGAAAATGAAACAGCAGAACTGGCTGCTTTGGATGAGGAAGCAGGCAGAACACTGTCTGCATGTCCCTGTGCCACTGCAGAAGAGGGTCTCCCCCATGAACCAGCACCGAATGGACCCTCAATGCGCAGGATAGGAACCACAGAAGGAGACATTCTGGGCTGGGCCCAGCACCAGGCCCTCACCATGCATCCAGGGGACGCAGCTAAGCCTTCCCTCAGCCCTGTGGTGTCCCGACTGTGTGCTCCAAGCTACTTGAAAGCGAGTGGCCCTAGTGCATCTGCAGAGAACATCCGTCCCGTGGGAGTGGATGCTCTGTGCAACAGTATGACGCCCCAGAGTTCCCAGGGCTGTGGCCTGGGCCGGCCAAGGTGGCCCTCCCCAGAGCCACAGGCACAGGGCAGAAGGGGCTTCCAGCCCAACCCACAGCCGCCTCCTCCTGGCAAGGTGTGTCCCTCTGCGCATCCCACAGATCAGACCCACGTGGTGGAAGCCCCGCCTACCCGGCAAGCCCCGGAGCTCCCTGCCCCTGGCCAGCAGGCAGAGCCCAGGGCTGTCCCCAAGGTGAAGAGCTCAGGCCCAGCCCCAGCAGGCATGGGGCCACCAGAGGGTCACTGTGGGCCCGTGTGCTCACAGCAGACAGGACGGCAGGACAGTCCTCAAAAGATGGCACGTGTGGGCCCAGAGGTGGGGGAGTTTGAGCCAGAGACTTGGGCAGCTCTAGACCTGGCAGAGAGCAAAGCCAGCAAGAAGCCAGCAACAAGGGGAAAGCCGGGCACTTCCAGAGCCCTAGACCAGGAGCATATGCAGGGGCCCAGTGTCAGGTGGGTGGGCAGCCCAGCCCAGAGAGATGGCACACAGGCTGCAGGGAGCCCAGCTGCACAGGACCAGGGCTGGGCCAGGGGGACTGTGTCCCAGGCCAGGGACCAGCCTGGCCGTGTGGCCAAGGAAGCACCCACTGCTGGCGCCAGCAGGGACCCCTCAACACCAGCGCCCAGCATTGGGAGCCAGGGCAGCCCAAGTACCAGGCGGCCCACCCAAGGGGACAAGAGCACTTCAGACTGTCACCCACAGCCAGCAGACGGCTCTGCCCTGCCCGCACCTGATGTGGGAAGCCACCAGGTCCCCAAGGTCCTGGCCCAGGCAGGGTCCCCAGTCACCCCAGGGGCAGAGAGGGAGCAGTCAGAGTGTGAGCAGCGCAGGAGGCTGGTGCAGCTCGCCAAATATAAAGCCCAGAGCTTCAGTGACCAGAGAGCCTTCGACCTGTCCTTCAGGCCCATGGTCCTCCAGGCCAGCCACACCTTCGAGGCCCCTAAGTGAGAGCCAGTTGGGACCCCCTGTACCTGGTCAGCATGGGGTGGATGTTCCCCGCCTCCAGGGGCTCCTGGAAGAGATGTCAGTGCTCATCTTCACCTCTCCCTTCCTCCCCCGCCTGGGCTGGCCTTGGGCTGACCGGAGCAGTGCATCCCATGTGGTGCTGTGTGGGTTCTTCAGCCTCTTGGGATGAGGAAGGGGCCTGGCCAGGTCTGCTGTCTGTTCATGGCCCTTTCCTGCCCCAGGTCCCGGAGGGCACAGCTCAGCGCACGGCCACCCTCTCTGCATCCTTGTGCACTCTGGGGCCTCTGCTCCCCAACCCCCTTCCCAGCCCAGTGCATCCCAAGCCACCAGGATCCTGGCAGGTAAATCAGAGGCTCAGCAGGATCCTGGGCCTTGGTCAAGAACCTGCTGGTCCTTTGGGCTGGGGATTTAGCTCAGTGGTTCCACCGCCTGCCTTGCAAGCCCAAGGATCCAAGTTTAATCCCCAGTACCAAAAAAAAAAAAAAAAAAAAAAAGAAAGGAACCTGCTGGTCCCTACCACAGACCATGGGAGATGCCCAGCAAGCATGCGAGTCACAACAGTGTCCACCAACTCCAGCACTGCTGCTCAGAGGCCAGTGGTAGGGAGAGCACCTTCGCCAGAGTCCTGCTGGGCTACAGACAGTCGCTCACGTTCCTGACCCAGCTGCTGCCTGAGCTGTGCACAGATTGTGCTGTTTCTGTTTGTGTAGAGTATTTGCTCTTGTGAGGAAGCAGGTTCTAGGGATGGAACCCAGGGTCTTTGCATTGAGCTGTGTTCCCAACCTTTTTTTGTGAAATTTTTTTATTTGAGACAAAATCTGACTGAGTCATCAAATCACCCAGGCTGGGCTCCCACTTGCAATCCTGCCTCAGCCTCCCACAGCGCTGGGATTACAGACGTGTGCCACCATGCCTGGCTGCAACAGAGCAGTTTCTTAAGACACAGCTCATCTTGGAGAAGCTTCTACACGCTCGTGTGACCTCCTCGGTTTTCTGATTTGAATATCCACCCAGAGAAAGGCATTTTCTAACTCAGACATCTGGCAGGAGAATCCAGTCCAGGTAGGGCCAGGCTGCCTGAATAGACACTGGGCCATGCACAGGCTCTGCTGAGTTCTGAGGGCCACAGTGCTCTGTCCAGGATGGCCCATATGTTTCCCATCTTCCCCTCTCCCGCCAGCCGATCAATTCAAAATCTGGCTACCTGGAAATGTCTAACCCCAGGGCTGGAGGGTGTCTCTGTGCTCCTTGGCACTTCGCGGCCTCCACAGGGTACATACGGCAGGGGGTTGTGGTGTTCTGACAGCACAGTTGGTGGGTGTTAAAGCGACCAGACACAGGGCACCAGCAGCAGGTGTCAGACCACCCTGTTCCCTGGAGCCTGGGCAGGCAAAAGTGGAGCTGCAGACGCAGTGCCCCTGCCTGGGAATCGCACCTGGGTGGGGTCGCTTCTGGTCCTGGCAGAGGAGCTGGGCAGTGCCCAGACACCTGTGTGTGGCCTGTGCTTGTTTTCTGTCTTTATACTTTGTTCAGCAAGGACGAAAGGCAGCGATGGGCAGGAATGTGACCACAGAGAGAGGAGATGAAGTCTCTTCCACAGGGTGCAGGGAGACTTAGCGGGAAGTCCGGGAGGGTAGGGGGCATCAGGGGGAGCGTGTGAATGGAGTCACGCCAAGGACACAGGTGGTTGGGGTCGGAAGTCACTGCCAGAGCACCAAAGTGGTGCTAGCGACCTCGTGTCCAGGGAAAGCCGGAGGCACCAGTCCTTCATGTGAGCCACCTGGGAGCAGAGACATACTTTGAACATGCTGTCATTGCCATGGGGGGCAGGTAGCACTCCTGGGTGAGGGGCAGCACGTGCTTAGCATGGGTTTTAAGTGAGACTCAAAATTCAAAGAGAAAAAGGGAGACTGCCTCCTCTTGTCTGTCTCTGACCCTTCTGCCGCATGTGGGAATGGCTCCCCAGCTCCTCCTGCCCTGCACAGATGTCCCTGAGGTATGTGGCTACTGCATACACGGGGCACATGGGGAAGCGGTGTCACGTCAGTGTCCCAGACGTAACACCACTCCCTGCCTTAAAGATGAGCCCTCGGGATCACCCTTGCCTATCGCACTGCAGCCTTTTAACTGTGATCCACAGCTACATATTCAATTTTCCCTGCCTGAGCCCTTCTTTGTGTATAAGCAAGCTCTAAAATGGATTGGTCACAAAAAAGCAAACATGTATGTTTTGTATTTTCTCTTTTGAATTTTTACTCGCTTTGGAGAGCTGGGAATACTTTCAAGGAAAAGGAAATAAAGTCGATTTCGTATTGCGAATCTCCATGCATCTTTGAGGGGCTGCATAAGGGAGGGAAGGAGTGGACACAAATGAAGATCCAAGTGAAGGGGCTCAGGCCAGTCAGTGGGGAAGGTGTGGAGGAGGACCCCGGGTGGGTGCTGAGGAGGATCCTCCTTGGGTCCAGGTAAGGAATCTGCTGTTCCGGACGGAGGACATGCTGAGTGCGGGAGCTAGAGAGGCAAGGCATCCTGAGGCATGCCAAAGTCAGGCGGAAAAGCTGACCCTTGGGCGCGGCCACCCATCATCCAGCATGGCTGTGTATGGAGGGCAGGGGGCTCTCGGCCATCTCAGGCCCTGGCTGCCACGTCTGAGTCCCCAAGAGTGGCAGCCTGGTAGTCCCGTGGTGCCGGCACCCTTCATCCGAGAAAAACCATCACTGGAGCCATGACCCTGCAAGGCACTCTTGTGACGTGCGGCCCTTACTCCAGAAGCTCTGGTTGAAAGAGCTCTTTGGTGGGAAGGGAGAGCGACAGAGGAGAGAGAGGTGAAAAGAATCCAGATGTGTCAGGTCACCCTCCAGCTCTCCATAAGGAAGGGAGCCACTATACACACAGACACTCACTAGTACTTTTTACAAATAAGAAAACAGAAGAAAGAGCAAGCTCTTTGGGCTGACACACACACACACACACACACACACACACACACACACACGTGATCTCAGCTGTAAAGAGCGAGCGCTGACACACACACACACACACACACACACACACACACACACGTGATCTCAGCTGTTCTGGGCCATCTTCCTGAACTGGGGTGCACGGAGGCCTCCTGAACAGGACACAGCAGCACTGAGCACTGAGCACTAAGTACTCACGGTATGCTGAGTGCTGGTCTGTTTGCTAAACCTTGGTCTATGATGACTGCAGTTTCTGGGAGGAGCTGATGGTGACCGCAGTAGTCAGTTCATTCCATGGTGCCCTGGAATCCAGGAAATGCGTAGGGACCTGTCAAGGACCCAAAGCCAGGGAGGGTCCAGGCATCTTCCCGAAAGGCACACAGGGCCTGGCAGTACCTTGGAGTGGGTAAAGAACCGCACAGCTCTGTGGACCAGTTACCACCTTCCTGCCCCAAGAGGGTGTCTTGTGCTGAGCTGGGGCTGGCAGCCCTCTGTCCGGAGCCTGCAGCTAGGAAATGTCCGGTTTTTCAGGAATAATGACGCAGCTGCTGAATCCCAGGTCCCAGTGCTTAGTCTGTGGTGCCATAATAAGTGGGTGGAATCCCAGGTGTGGTGACCACAGCTGGCCGTGCACTTAACTCCCAAACATACACAAAAGTAGACGTCATGGGGGCACGGCCTGGCAAGGACATAGTGCTGTGCTGTGCATGCAGGCAGGAGCCAGCTTCTGGCAGCACCTTGCGTCCGCAGACATTACAACGGGAGCCGGGGCTGCCATCCACACAGACACCCTGTGCCCACGCCAGCACCCTTGCCCTGAGGGCTGCGGTAAACACCAGACCCTGGGGGATGGGCATGGGTGTCACCTCACAGAAGCACCGAGCTGTGAGGGGTGAGCGTGAGGTGTGGTAGTGATCTGGGAACTCCTGGTGGTGCAGATGGGGAAGATGGCAGGTCAGATAGGACAAAGGCACACAGGAGGGCTGGCAGTGTCATCCGCAGATGGCAAGTTTACGGCCACCTTTGTCTGCATGTGTCTCTCCCACCTGAGTTCGTCCCAGGCTGCTGAAACATTTCTGTGACCAGAAATCAAGGGCAGTACCTGTTTCTCTGTGGCCAGGGACACTGGCGACTGACCCCGCTGCCTGTTTGCCAGCATAGGACTTAGCCTAAGGCACCAAGGGCTCTGCTGGGCACAGTGTAGTGGAGAGGCCTCCTGGTGAGGTCTCTGGGGATTGTCAGCACCTGGGGACCTCAGTGGACCCTGTCCCATGGTGGACCTGGGGTGCTGCGCATCGCTGCACCTTGACCCCAGGGCCACTAGGGGCACCGAGTGTCCCCAGAGCTTCAGCAGGGAGAGTTCCAGGCTGCGTCCCAGCCACATGACCACACAAACTCCGAAAGGATTGTCCCCGTGGGGTTGTGTATGTGTGTGAATCAGTGCGCAAACTTGTAAAAAGGGCTGAGGACCCTGGGCAGCCTTGGTGTTGATGACAGGGTGAGGACCAGCTGACCTCTGCCCAGGGCTGGGGACAGCTGAGGGCCTGCAGCTCCCTGGGGGTGAGGTGGCTATTGATAAATGCCAGCAGCTTCTGCAAACAAAGGCACCAGGGATCCTGGCTAGGGCTGCCTGGACTTTCTGCTGACTGGCAGGAGCAGCTGCAGGCCACAGGTCACGGGGGTCCGTGCTTCCTAACATCGTTCCTTTATCTTGCTCTGTAAACTCTCTTACAGGAGAAAGTATGTGATACTCAACCTTCTGTGTCTCGTCCACTGCGCTTCCCATCCAGGAGGACATGAGCCCAGGCAAGCCCTTCCTGAAGGATTCACTCTGCCTTTTGGGAAGGGTCAGGGAGAAACGGGACACCCTTAGTGCAGGCTGAGCAGTGCCTAGAAACTGACCTGATTCCATAAAAAAAACAAAATTTTAAGGGCAGAGCAAAGTCCTCACTTTGCCTGCTCTCTGACAGTCTTTCCGGGTGGCTTGGGAGGCAGGCTGTGCCTCAGTCCTGGGTCACCCTGCTCCGCATGGTCCTGGGTGGCCCTTCAGGACCTCTCTTGGGACCGTGTTGCTACAATGGGAAGGAGAGGCTCCCGAGGATGACCACCTATGCTCATTCGTTAACACCTACCGTGTGAAGTCACACCACCGGGAGGGAGCTTGCCCTGGATTCCGACTGATACATTTGGCTCTCTCTCGCTCTCTCTCCCGCCCCCCATTTGTTTGTTTTGCAGTACTTGGCTCAGACCCAGCAATGGGTGCTCTACCACTGAGTTCTCCCAACCTGTTTCATTTTTCAGTTTGAGATAGGGCCATGCTAAGCTGCCCGGGCAAGGTCTTGTGCTTGCAGGCCTCAGTGCTGAGTTTCAGGTGTGCCCTGGCAGCCTAACTGATTCAAGTGGCTTTGATCATACATACTTGTTGACTACCTGTCCCAGGTAACAAAGAAGCAGGTTTTTTTTCAGCTTTAATTGAGTTTATTGGTACATTTTAGGGATACAGTACAGTTACATTCATTGTTGGGATCTTGTACCTCTACATGACAGGTCTTGGTTCTCATTTTTCCCCTTGCCCCTGCCCTCCCTTCACCCCCTCCTCCCCTCCCCATCTAAAAACACTTTATTTCCATCTTTTCTTTATCTCACATTTTTTTCTTTCCCCTTATTACCCTTCCCTTACACATCCCAACTTCTCTACAAGCCAGCCCACCTGGAGGTCCTCCCACATTACCATCCAGGTCCAGAGAAGTTAAAGCATCTTGAAGCTAGTCAGGACACAGCCCCCTTGTAAGCCCCCACTGGCCCCAGCACGTCCTTTCCCCAGATCTCTGAAACAGAGATTCCATGCAGTCCTGGGTTTGCAGCTCTCCATATCGCTCCGCTGATCTATGGGTTCAGCAGCCCCCAGTTCAGGTCTCCGGGAACCTCAGATTAGGACTTCATTTGGAAAGAGGGCCTTTGCAGATGTGACTGGTTCAGAAGTGGACCCTTGGGTTAGGGTGGGTCTGCAGCAAAGCTCAGGATCTCTGCCTTCGTTTTTATGTCACCTTGGTTCTCTCTGGGCTCTGCACACTAGATATTAATTGCAAAGGGATTGTCTGTAGTAGGAGCTGTATTAACCCTAAACTGACCTTCAAGATGAGGACACCACAGTAAGAGTAACTAAAGCTATCCTCAAGATTTTCAGTGTATCCAACCACCAACTTTTATAACATTCATTTCCAGCTCCTGGAGCAATGCCTCAGAGTCTTGACAGCGCCAAAAACCTGTAGTCACCTCGAGTTCCAGGATAAGCACAACCAGGCTAACCACTGCCTAGTAGGGTCACCTCCCCAACAGGAGCGTTCACGTGTGACAGTACCAGAGCTGGCCCATAGACCACCACTGAGCTCATGATGTTCAGGCCAAGCCCACCGCTGCACCCATGAAGGGATCCCTGGTCCTCTGGGGCCAGCCAGCTCCGTCCACCCTGCAGACCTGGGCAGCCTCAGCTCATCACACCTAAGCCTTCCTCTGCCTGCTGCCCCTTTCCCTTTCCCTTCCTTTCTTCCTTTCTTTCTTTCTTTTTTTTTTTTTTTTTTTTTTTTTTTTTTTTTTTTTATTGCTATATTACAATGAGGTTTTGTTTATTTAAGTGAAGCTTAAATCTGAAGGACTCTAAAAAACAAAAATTATTAAAGTAGATAGATTGCATTCTGTTTTTATGAATTCTTGGTACTGGGGATCGAACTTGGGTCCTTGCACATGCGAGGCAGGCAGCAGAACCACTGAGCTAAATCCCCAACCCCCTGCTTACTTTCAGTGAGAGCTTTTTCCTGTGAATCTGTGCTAAATGCCTCAGTTTTAGCTTCCATGATCACTGAAGCAAGAGCCGTGCTAGGCAGTGACAGGCCCTGAGTCGGTGCATGTGTCCTAGGAGAAGAGACTCACAGAGGAAGAAGGAAGGGCCTGGGAAGATGGGGTGAGGCCAGAGTGTCCAGCGATGCCCACACCGAGAAGCACAGGACGCTCCTGGGACGAGAGCTCTGTGCCAGCAACACTTGACGCTGGGCTTTGGGTCTCTGGGACTCACGATGTCTGCCGTCACTGTCACGGCAGCCACAGCAGAGGTGTGCCGCAAGCCATGTCCCCGTCCGGCCCACACTGCCTGGATGATCTGTGGATGGTCACAGCTCATCCGCTCGAACTCAGCTCTTCTGTCCTATGCTACCTGTGTGGCCTGTTATTGTTCAACATAGAACAGATCTGCTGACAAAACCTGAGTTTTGTTTCATGTTTTAAAAATAGTGGGATGCACCAATCTCAGGGATGAAGATGGGTTATGCAGAAGACATCATGGAGCCCACTCAGCCCTGACCACAGCTTCCCTGTGCCGTGCTCCATTCCCAGCACTGCCATTGGATGCTAACTCCAACCCTTCCCATAGAGGGCAAGCAGGGCTGTTAGCTGATGGAACTCAGCTCATGTTTGAATTTTACTTCAGGCGCTGAGTGGATTTCACTGAACAGCGCTTACTCCTCGTCTTAGAGATGTTGGAAAGGCTGGGCCTGGTGCTGAGTCTGTGAGCTGAGAGGTGACATGACCACAGTGTAACATGGAGAGAGCTATTCAATAGAGTGTGTGTGTGTGTGTGTGTGTGCATGTGTGAGCACACAGGGGTGTGTGTCCATGTGCACACCGTGAGCATGTGTGGGTGTGTCTGTGCACGCACACCTGTGTGCGCCTGAATGTGCATGTGTGCAAACACATGAGCATACACGAGCATGCACACACGTGTGCATGTGTCTATGCACAGTGTGTACACTTGCATGTGTGGCACAGGCACATACAGATGTGTTTGTGAGTCTGCGTGTGAGCGTGCACAGCAGTGAGTCTGGGTGCACACATATGCACATGTGAGCACTGTGGGCGTACAGGTTTGTGTGCACATGTATGTATGTGAGCATGCATGCATTGTTGTGTGTCCATGCGGGCACACAGGTGTGCACATGCGCACGGGTGTGTGAGCCTAGATAGGTGTGTGCATTCGTGTGTGCTCATATGTGTGTGCGTGCACGTGTGTGTGTGCAAATACTCATGGTGTGCGTGTGTATATTTGTGCGCGCGCCCTCATGGTGTGTATGTTCTGCTGCAGAAGACAGAAACCCTGGAAGGAAATGTACACAGGGACAGGGCCACTAGGTGGCGCCCCGGCAGGTGGGAGTGAGAGCGCAGGGCGGCCCTGGCCTGGATTCTGCCTTCAGTTCCTTTTGCGTTTGTTCCTCTGTGGCGATTTGTTTCTGAGGCTGACTTCCAGGATTCTAGCTCAGGCCAGTGGAGCAATCAATAGTGGTGACAGAAAGCCAGATGAAAAACTCCGAGGAGTGGGAGTTTTGTGAGGAAACAAAATCTGTGTACCCACTTTGGGGGAAGGTGCCTTCCTGGGTGGGTTGAAGCATCCAGTCAGATCGGCCGCTGTGGGAATCAGCACACACAGGACAGAAGGTGGCCAAGTGGA